CGCTATTATTATTATTATTATTATTATTATTCTCTCTCTCTCTCTCTCTCTCTCTCTCTCTCTACCTGCTTCGGAATCAGGTTATTAATTGAAGGAGCGACTTGACTTTGTCCCAAATCATGTCAGAATCAGGTCCCTCGTCCTTAGACAAATTGCAAAGCTGCTTTGATGATATCGTAGCTAAAAACACAATCTAATCGTCACTCGTCGTCGATGTCCAGTTGTTGATCCGCCGAGCATACTTTTTCGCCTTTTGTATTCATCTTTCCATCCTCCCACCCTGACATCGAAGAACAAGACACGGTAGTCAGTGTGCATTCTTTGAAGTATCAGAAGGTGGTAGCAACGGCGGATCTCTTGTCTGTAACTACACATCCACATCGATCGACGCCATCGATAGAGCAAACTAGCTCACCAAACAAGACAAGCACCGGCAACCACCAGCCTGCACAGAGACTCGGATCTTCCTTGTACACATCATCCAAGGCGCCGAATTCCCGGTCAGAGAAGCTGCACCCACCACCAAGTCGCCCTCGAAACACTGACAGTCATAGGGACTCGGGCGTTGCTTCGGTCAACAAAAGTATCTTCTTCTGAGGTTTCGGGAAGCAGCAGCGCGACATAAATTTGCTCTCGAGTCTGAAATCAGCGTACCACCAGTGGTGCTATATCGTCCTCGTCCGTCTATGGTGCTCGTAAACCTCACCTTTCCTGTTGAATCTGAATCCCCTCGATGATCAACTGGATCGCTCGAGCCTGACGAGATCATACTAGGATGTCTCTCAAAGCCGAGAGTCGGCAGATTCGTAGGACAGTAAATGCTTGGCATATTATATATTGCTGGCTCGGTGAACAACTTGATGTTTCATTGCTGCTCGCACCCCCCTCGCTTCAATCAGATAGAAACTAAATTGGAAAGTCGTGGTGTGCGAAGGTCAGCACGTAAGATGGATGGGCTTCGATATGCATGCAATGAGATTGCCTTTTCTAGTAGGATATTATTTCTCACTCGAATGTTACCTTTTCTACCGGGAGCTATTCATTACCTTCTATCGTGTTACTTACCATCACAGAAAAATACACGACGACAAGATCATGGAGTGAGTTGTTCATTATTGCCTGTGATCTTAACGTGAATCGTTCCAAATATCGTGTCACTAAAGACTCTCTAAAACTGGAGTTCGAAGAACAATTACATTCCTTTGGTCAAACATTTCCTTTGACCGTAAAGATGTCAAGTCAAAATGATCACATCCACGTCGATAACCTGTAGAAAGAAATAAATGGCACCAACACACGTACACGGCATTCCAACCGGAGCGCAGGACGGGTCTCTCCTCCTCGGCCCAACAACATTCCTGGCTTCGAGAAATGGGTGGGTTAGCCATCTTGGATCGACTCCACAATAATTCATGGGAATTCCGTTGTGACGAAGACGATTAACAACATCGTATCAGTTAATAACAGAATCGAGATAATTATGTACCCGAATCTGTGGAAAAGGCTTAACTAACCTAACAAATTAACAAAAGGCTTGCTTGCTTAATTCCTAAATTAAGTCATCAATAAACCGATCTAATCTAATCTAATATGGTATTGGTATTATTAAATATTCCTCATCTCTCGCACTGTCGATGAGGATTAATAAGAAATAGAAAGAAAACGAATTAGGCGAATAATCCCTTCTATATATAGCAAGCCGCAGCTGCTGCTCCATCTCTCTTGGGTTCATCGCATCTTTTTCCTCTCGCCCCTCGTCTTTGTCTCCTCGGATTGCCATCTCACTCCGCCAATTACACAAAAGAAGCAGTGGGAGAGCCGGCGATGGCGAAAATGATCGCGTCTTGCTGATGTTTTCCGTTTGATCGCCTCGTTGGGTCCGCTATCTCGATCGTATCGTCCAGCTCGATCGGGTCTTGATTTGTTCTCGGTAGTGTTTGTGTGTTTATTTTACCTTTTTCTGTAAGGGGAAATAAAATGGCTGCGGTGGCTGAGAAGGCGATCGGGGCGGACAATCAGGTCATCCACCGCCAGTCACCGGCGGCGGAGACGGAGAGGGAGTACCAGAGGGATGTGAAGAATCTGGTGGATTTGCTCTCCAAATTGAATCCGTCCGCCAAGGAGTTCTTCCCTTCTTCTTATGCTGCCCCCGGCGGTGGCGCCGGTGCCCACCGGGTTTCGGACGGCCGGATGTCGGCCGATGCGCCCATCTTCGTGTCGTGGAATGATTTCTATCACAATAATCTATTGATGACTAACAATGGTACTAGTAAGGATTCCAGCAGCGATGGATCATCGAATAATCAGCCCAATCCCAGAGTAATTGCATCGATTCCTTACTCGACTTTCAACTGCGTTACGTCTCTCGTTGCTTTTTCGAAATTAAGCTTTGGATCATGTGAATTTTAGCTTTAAGGGATTCTGGGTTTCTGTTTCTCGTTCAAAATGTCAATCTTTTTCTGGCTTTGTCTATGCATTTTCGAGAAAATGCAACCTTATCAGAGGAAGACGGCATGATTTGGAATTGGAGTATGAACAAGATCTGTTAAAACGTGTCCAGAACTAGGAAAAAAATGTTAATTTTATAAGTGTTTTCCTCGATCGCTGATACTGCTCCTTCTTTGGCAGAGAAGAAATGGTTATAACCAGGGGAGGAGGAGGACGAATTATAGACTTCGAGGAGCTGAGAGGGAGGATAGCATTAGGCGAACTGTATATGTGTCTGACATCGATCAGCTTGTGAGTCTATCTCGTGATTTCTTCTTATTCGTTGCTGTTTTATATTTCAATCATTCTTGAAAAGATGGCTCGGTCCTTATCCAGTACTGTTGTCTGTCGTGCTGATATGGATCGTTGTTTGATGAATGCCAGGTAACTGAAGAAAAGCTTGCTGAAGTATTTGCGAATTGTGGGCCAGTAAGTATTTAGAAATTTTCTTTCTGTCTTTTACAAAGCCTATGATAATCATATTTTTGCCAAATGTTATGCATTGCACAAAGAAAAGCTAAACAGGGCTGGGAATCTCTAGTTTTGCTTTACATTTGTGATTTTCTTCTGATTTACCAAGCAATGAACATGTTTATCACTTTCATGACCTCAGCATAGTCAGTTTCTTCTTTTGTGATCTATGCTCTTTATTGTCCATTTTAGCATATGAAAAGGGGATGTTCAAGATAGAATGACAGTAATAGCACTATTTACAAGTGTGAAACAACCACTCGATGAGCTAATCTGCAACCGATCTTGTTTAATACCACTTCCCTGTCAGGTCGTCGATGCTTGTGAACGTGGAGTAAAATATCAATGAAATTAATTGGAAACCTCTCACTGTTGCAGTCCTAGGTTCTGCAGTAGCATTCTCCAAACTTTCAAATTCCTGTCTGAGATGATAATCACACGTAACACCCTCTCTACTATAACCATTTCATTCTTGTATGATCAACAATGTCTAACCTTTATTTTTTTGTTGAACAATAGATCCAAGATAAGATATCAAAAAAATTTTATTTTCAGGAATTTCTTAATAATTTAACTCAAAACAATAATTAAGCTAACTAAATTATTAGCAATCCTGGGAGAAGGTTACACATCTGTGTTTTGGAGGTTAATAAATGAATTGGCTAATCCCACATGGGGGAGGAAGGAATTTCTTGTTTTTATCCCATTTTATTGCTGTCGTGTAAGATATTTTTTGCTTATCCATCAATTTTTGATGTCATTGTAAAAGCACAAATACAATGAACTTATCATGTTTTTCATTTTTCTCTTCTGATTATCATGTTACATTTTAAATTTCATACTGAAGGTAGTAGATTGCCGAATTTGTGGTGATCCCCACTCAGTCCTACGATTTGCATTCATAGAGTTCTCTGACGAGGGTAAGTATATATGATTAGCATTTCTTTCTTGGATATGCATGAATCACACATGTCATACTAACAAGCATGCTGTTTTGCTCATAGATGGTGCGAGGGCAGCATTAAATCTTGGTGGGACAATGCTAGGTTATTATCCTCTCAGAGTCCTACCTTCAAAAACTGCAATTCTGCCAGTGAATCCAAAATTTCTTCCTAGGGTAAGTATTTTTTATCGTTTCATGTATAGTTTTACTTGTAGAGACTGTTTAGGAATAAGAAAAAAAGTAAGGGCAGATTGTCCGATGCTTCTTCACTTTATAATTTTTTTGCTGGAGTACTGACTGCCAAGATTTTGATGCAGTCTGAAGATGAGAAGGAAATGGTTGTAAGGACAGTTTATTGTACAAATATTGATAAGAAGGTAAATGCATCTCTGCCTCCTGCATTATGATCCTTCTTTTTCCCTAATTACTAAGTGGTATGTGTTAAAATATAACTATGAAGTCTAATTTGTGATGGTTATTATGAATATTATTGTAAATGCATCATGTTTATAATCTGTCATGGCCTTAACTTGTCCTGTTGCAGGTTACTCAAACAGATGTCAAAGTTTTCTTTGAACGATTTTGTGGTGAGGTTAGCTAACTACCCACTATATGATCAATTTGTTGAATGCTTTTCATTATTAAGCTTGTAACGGTGCCTTATTTGTTAGTGACTCAGTTTGAATAGTGTTTCACAGGTTTCTCGTTTGAGGCTGCTTGGTGATAATGTGCACTCAACATGTATTGCATTTGTAGAGTTTGTTCAGGTAATTAATTGTGAACTTATATTTTAATTGCTGTTTGACCGATACATTGACAAATTTTCATTCTTTTTCACTAGAAATGGATTAGTTAAGATTGCTCAGAATTGAAGCAGAGGTTATTCAATAGTTGATGTCTAACATTATGTCAACAAGATATCTTTAATTGCCATGGCAATTTGAAGAATACTGAATTACATATTGTTAATAATAAAGTAGTATGTTGCAAGAAACTTACTATTAGTGTAGAGTTGTTAAACTTATGGCTTATATAAGGGTCAAATATCAATTGATGGTTTAAGATATGGTTGGACTTGTGTGTTTCTGCTTAAATATCTTTAAAAGCCTAGACGTAATATATCAGAATCTTTCCAAGCTTGTGCATATCACATCATCTTATGGTTGTAGGGTTTATACATTTTTTGGACCAGTTATGCGGTAAAGAAGCTGAAAGATCTTAGGTTTAGTCTTGGTAATTGCATGGGTACAAGGATATTACACATGAATCTACCTCTTGAAAGCACAAGAACCTTGAAGGGGAAGATAGGATAATACACATCTTTTATCGATCTTACAGCTTAATTTTGGTAATTGCTTGGTACATACAAAATATAGCAGAAGTGGTATTATTGCATCCATCAGTCTGTTTCTACACTGGTGATTAAAGGTTTTCCACTTTGCATTTCGATTAATGTTTTCCACTTTGCATTTCGATTAATGCAGGCTGAAAGTGCAATCATGGCTTTGAATTGTAGTGGCACAATTTTGGGAGCCCTACCTATCAGGCAAGATCCTGACTACCATTCAGCTGATGTTTTGTAGAGTTTGTGCAAACTAAAATAGCTTTCAATCCCACATCTCAGGGTGAGTCCTTCAAAGACACCAGTGAGGCCACGCATACAACGAGCTGCTTCAAACTGACCAGGGTTCGTTAATAGCGGAACATTACTAGCATTCCACCTAGTGAGACCTTATTGCAAGGTTGTGCTGTATCGGCATGCATTATCAGCTAAGAAGATATATTCATCTCCGTATGATTTATCGTCGACCGGGTATATCACTCGAGTGGGAACTCATTGTTGCTTGTAACCAGAACCTTATTTTATTTGTTTTCTTTTCCTTTCGGCGGGAGGAGTCAAGGAACCTTGATGGCTAATCTTATTCATCTGACCGATCTACACTATGTTCTAGTACCAATTGACCATCGGCTGATCTCTAGCCCTATTTATATTATATGTTCAACCTCTGCTAGATTCCGGATGTCCTGTTTGTTTTTCTCTAGTGTATTCTACGCTGTGAATCCCATTCGTGGTTGATTCACTGTGCAAAGTTGTTTTTCTCTAGTGTATTCTACGCTGTGAATCCCATTCGTGGTTGATTCATTGTGCAAAGTCAGCGTTTAATAAAGATTCATGTGACGGTATGTTTAAAAAGTTAGCTTGTTGGGGTAATTTTCAGGCTTGTGATATCAGGAAAATGTACAAAATAAGAAAAATATATGGGAATGCCTCTGTTTGTTATAGTATTCACAGATCAAAACAATGACAGATCTTTGGAATATTTGCTGTTGTTCTATCAACAACATCTCTTCATCTCAAATTGATCTGATGGTCCGAGTTAGGTTTGGGTCAGTCACAGAGCTGCACTCTGAGCTCGATCAACAATACACCAGATCTAAGGCGGCCTACGCCATTAAATGTATACATACATGGCACTGCAACCACAGGGATCGGGAGGAAAGAAAACTCATCCAACAAGCAAAACGAAGCAATGGCTACAGATTTGCGGCAATAAGCGTGCGAGACAACTCTTGTTGCTTGAGGCTGTCTGCAACGTGAGCTATGACGCCGGCACCAGCACCGTTTAGCCACTCCCTCTTCACCTGAGTCACAACGCATCATCCATTCATCCATCCATCCAAACACACCAAATAAACCAACAGGAAATGGAATCGGAGTTACACCCGTACGTACGTGGAGGTTGTTGTGGGCGAAGAAAGGCCAAGTTGCTGCATGGAAACTGACGTCAACTTTCCTCCATCCGACCCTTTGTAAGCTGCGTATCATCTCCTCTGCTTCCAATTTCACCATGTCAAAAAACAACAACACAATCCATCAAAAAGCAGCACCGAGATATGGAAATTGTCACCCGATAAACATGCCTTCCATCGATCCGTAGTATTCTGCTGTTTTCTGCGTGTTTGAGACAGTTTGGGCAGCTGCCTTTGCCGTTGCTGCTTCTGAAGGAAAACGAGGAGGGCCTTCGGATAAGACAGGGGAGCAGTATTCCACATTCACAACATGCAAGTAGCCATCCACAGACTCGCGAGAGGGCTGCAATGTGAATCACCAAGCAACATCCTCATAATAAATAGTTTGAGAGAAAATTAATTCTTTTTTCTTTTCTGAGGAAAACCTCCACTAAAAAAATGTACAAAATCCTGTCTTGAAAACGTTGCTTTTAGCCGATAAATGCCAATCCCTTACCTGTTTATACTCCAACTATGTGCAACTTAGATACACAAAAGTTAGTTTAAGACATATGATGAACATTATCGTGTGACCCACTGCCTAAAATTGTATTCGGTGTCGTGTTTTGAAACTAAGAATACTCATCCACAAAGACTTGCTGCAGTTTGTACACTAAATATCGATCGAGGTACCTTAGCAAGCTCGTACTCTCTCCTGATTGAAGATGTTCGCCAGCCGACCAAATCTGGATGAAGCTCAAGAAAACTGTTGCTGCAAGGAAAATATGATATTCTATGATAGGGAATATCATATAAATAAATCCATGTTATGGTACTGCAGTTACTAGAAAAACTAGTATCGAAGGATACGATCATACGAAACATTGGCATAAAGAATACGAATCCTAAATGCAGCCAGAGAAGATCTGCAAAGTAAAATACAAATAACAGTGTGTCAAAAACCTCGAGAAAGAAGACAAATCTGTTTTTAAGTATCTGATTACTTCAACTTACATAAATTTCAAATCTTCAGAATCAGATGTCATCCTTAAAAGGAGGGGTGGACTGTTAGGTTCATCATCTGTAAGAAACAGCTGACTACCAGTTCGGCCAACAAATCTGGCGGCCACTGGTGGAACAAGCTTTTCGAGAATGGGTGATCCCAGAAGAAGCGGAAACTGTAAATTGAAATTCAACAGTGTCATATACTTCTTTTTAACATTAGGATAGACCGAAAAAACCATAAAATCGACTAAAAGAGCTTCCCATGTGTTCATCTACAAAGTTGTGAAACCATGCCTATTAGTAGTGAAACATAGGAGGAATCTGTATCCTTGATAGTGGCCCATAGCTGAAACCTCTGTGTGATAGAGGACATACGACTGTGAATATGCTTCTTGTTCCCAGCACAACTTCCCCAGATGTTAAAAATCTAGTTTTTTTTTTTCCCCTTGATAAGAAATACCATATCCCAGTGAAGCTCCATTAATTACACAAAATTACCATAATAAGTCAGAATCAATAAAAACCTGGAGTTAATTAATCGAGTCACTCTGTAAATAATAAAATTTCTTCTATTTGTGTTTAGGTACTCTCTCCCCACATTAATTTCTTCCCAGAATCAATGGTTGAAAATAAATATAGTACAGAAAGCAGAAATCATAATAGATGAGAAACACAATACTAAGAAATATTCTTCAAAATTTAAGTATTATAGCAAAAATCTTATATCCTCAAATCTAAAAACACCATCGAGTTGGACGAGGAAGGGAAAAAAGGGCAATGGTGAGCTAGAATGAATTTACCACTATGATGGCCTTCGATGAATGAATTGGTAGAGAAGAATTTACCTGCCTTTTCCCTATAAACCCGAGATGTGGAGTTCCCAAGGTAATAAAATTTATTGGTTCCAATCCACCAATACTGCCTAGTTTTGATGAACATTCTAAATTTTCTGGATTTCCAGTTTTATAACCATCATTCAGATCCTTCTGCAAGGTATCTGAAGAATAAAGAACAGCAATTGTGTATCTTGCAATTAGACCACCTAAGGAGTGTGCTGTGAAAGAGATCTTTTTCAAGCTTCCTGTCTTATGAATCACACTCAAGACCTGTTCCAAAAGTTCGTCAGTATAGCAGTAACAGCAGATATTGGTAAAAGAGAATTGCATTCATTCGGCAGTAAAAATTGACCAACACCTCATCTGCGAGTCGCTTTCCAGCTCTGTCAATTCCATCTAATGTTTTTATATAACTGTTGCACGAACTTGCTGTGAGGAAAAATACATTTCATAAGTAACTCATGTTGCCCTCTGATAAATGTAGTCCATGATAATAACACAAGAAATAGCATACCATAAATTAAAAAATTGCTTCCTAAACGCTTTTTTAACACTGCCTTTGAGTATGTCCAGTCACTAGAGCTGCATATTGCATACTGTGTTAGTGCATAATTTGGTCAGAAACATAACTCTGTTTCACAATTGTCATTTGACAACTCCAACTTAAAATAAGAGAAGAGACATCAATCCCATTTCACTAACTGACAACCATGGCATGGCTTAGTTCATCAACCATGCTGGAGATGGAATGGTGATGTTCAACATTAGCATTTCAATGATGAGATATGATAACCGATTTTCCAAAGGAACCAAGCAGCCATCTATTTACAAATAGTCATCGACCAAAAGTGTCATCACTCTGCAGAATTCAAAGTCCCTTTGCAACATAATGAAAAAGAAAAATACTTTTACCTAGCCCCGATGCCATGAACTAGGACGAGGAGATGATCAGGTCCTTGTTTGAACTTGTGAACGTCCTCAGATGTTATACTACCTACGGCACCGCTGCTCATCTTATGCGATCTAAAGTTTAGGTCACCCCTTACTGTGGTCAGTCCTGCAAAGACAAAACAAGTTGCATGTTGAGACCTGCAGTATCAATGATGCAATCAAGAAATGGTTCCAAAATAACACTTGATACAGGTGCATCCATAACGTAAACAGATAGCAGAGAATTATCACCTATTTGGATGTTACTTTTAAAATGGAAAAACATCAGAAAAAAAAAAAAAGCTTATCACATCACATTCAGTCGAACAAAGTCCCATTACTTAGAATGAAGCATAAAAACAATTAACCGCTACAGAATTTTGTCCCGAGACATGCAGCCAGTGGAACTAGGATAGTCACCCACAGAATACAATTCCCATACATCGACACCAAGAGCTGGGGCACATTTAAGGATCTATATTCTAGAGCTAGGTAGCACAAGTGTTAGGGGATACTAAGCCTTTACCATCTCCATCCATATTCACGAATTATAAATGACAGTCAAGGACGTTATTAGTGACCAATAAGAAAAAAAAAGGAGGAAAAATTAAAAGAGATTTCGTTCTTGAGAAAGAACGCATAATCCGCCTGAGTTCTTGTTTGGTGGTTGCTTTCTGTGAACTCAAGCAGACTGCTCAGGTTTTCAGCAAAGCTAATAACTTTATTTCTTGTTTCGATTCCCCATCTACTTCATCCCAACTGCTTTGTGCAATTTCCTCAAAATCAGACGTCTTCTCTAACATGGTTCAGTTTGGATGCTCATGACCTAGTTATAGATATGAAGAGATCGAATAGCTACACGAGTCTTGATGGCCAATCAAGAAAAAGCTCCCCAAAGGGCGAACGGTAGCATGCCACATGCCAATCCAACAAAATCTAAAATGAAAATCCAAAATTCAGATGCCGAGAGAGAGAGAGAGACAAGAGAAAACGAAAACGAAATAAAATCACCAAAACCTAGCAGCTCCTTGATTGGCGATCAGAAAAGAAGATCAACACAAGGCTAGAAGAGTAGTTTTTAGTAGACAATCAAGAACAAGAATTTGCGAAGGAGAACCAAATCTTGCCAAATCGAGACATTTCAGAGTCCAAGCAAAACAAAAAATCGAATATTCTCTACGTTCGTAGACCAAAATCCATCCTCCAAGATCAAAAGTCGATGAAAGGAAAAGGGACCAAAGCGAAAACCTGAGAAAATAGCGGAGGAGGGAGTCCCAAATAAATCGGACGGCGGATGGGGCGACGCCGCGTGTCATTGATCTTCCACAACGAAACTTGTACCGAGGGTGATCGTTGCGGTGCTGAGGCAGATGGAGCCACGGGATCGGGGATGGGGCGCACGATATCTCCTATTTATTTATAAAGGCAAAAGAAAAGGGCGTACTTTGGAGCGAGATGGAGCTCCGCGTCGCGTTCGGATAGGGTGTCGTGACATCACCGCGGGCGCCATCGCCTCGTCTTCCGTGAGCGGCGGGGAAGAGTCGGGTGGAGAGGACGGACGTGAGAGATCCTTACCCGCCGTGCGCCGTGGTCCGGGAAGAAGCCTGAGGGGACCAAATCTTTCGTGAAACACTCCGAGAGCGAGAATCGTCCGTGAGACGGGAAACGAAGTGGCAGTCTCTGTTGCGGCCTTTGCTTCAGCGTTGCTGGAATCACCTTTGGCTTAATCGAAATGATTCCTTGTTTGGTAATCATTTGGATAGACAGTTATCGATATGAGCCAAAGGCTCTAATGTTCACATTCATAATTCATGCTAGTATGTATAGGTAATTTCTACATTCATAATCCACATCACATACGTACAAATATTGGTACATTCATAATTCATAGTAGTAGTAGACAAGACATGGGTTAGAAATGTATCAAGTTTAGTTTAATCAGAATTAACATACATATTTATCAATATAAATTTATTATTATTTTTTTTAGTCTTTTTCTCACGTATGAAATATCCATCCAATAACATGTATTCATATCCAAATTGAGTATGGACATACGTGAGTGACCATAAGAACAATAAAAAGCCATTTCTAAGTAACTAAATGACAATATACCACCCATCTCATCTCATCTCATCTCATTCAACTGCAGTAGCATTTGCATCAGCCGCGGCCCCGACACTGCTACTGCTCCTGTCGAACTTCTTCCAGCACTGATGCTTCCCACACTGGCACTGCCCTCCCCTCCTCCCAAGCCCTCCCTCTCCTTCGTCCCCTCCTCCTCCTCCTCCTCCCCTCCTCACCACGCTCATGGATGGCGACAGTTTGCTCCTCAACCACAACTCCTTCATCCTCCGCCTGACCTCGCACCCTCTCTCCTCATGATCCCCATCACAGAACCCACACTTCACCTCACCACCACCATCGATGTTCCCTCTCCTTGCCTCTCGAACACTCCTTGCCTGCTCCCAACTCAGCGCCAGCCTCACCGCGTCGGCCAGCGTCTCCGGCCGCTGCGGCAGAATCCAATCCTGATAGTCCTCTTTTAACCCATCGATGAATAAGCCCTTGAGCAGCGCGTCGGGGAAGCCGTGGTCGGGCCACTTCCTGAGTATCCACTGCAGGCGGAGGTGGTAGCTGTTGACGCCCTCCCCGTCCCTCTGCCGCATGGACATGAGTTCAGATCGCGCTCGGTCGGCGAAGTCGGGCCGGGTGAAGGCCTGGAGGAAGGCAGAGCGGATGTCGGGCCACAGCATGGCCGGGCGGCAGCGCTCGACCGCGAGGTCGTACCAGAGGGCGGCATCGCCGTCGAGGGTGACGGGGAAGATGCGGACGAGAGTGTCGACGGAGATGGCGTTGTTGGCGCGGCAGACGCGATCGAACCGAGCGAGGTGGGCGACCGGGCACTCCGACGGCTCGCCGCGGAAGACGGGAAGCGGCGCCACGTTGATGTAGGAGGGCTGGATCGAGTCGGACGCGTACAAGGAGCGGGAATCCGAGCAGGAGCCGAATTCGGACTCAGATACGGCGTCGGGGTCCTCCCCACCATCGGTGCCGGAGCGGGACGGCACGGAATAAGGAGGGGAGGACTGGTCCTGCGGGTCCCGGGAGATGGTGGAAGGGGTAGGAGGGGCACGGCGGCGGTGCTTCCGGCGGCGGTTAGGTGGAGTCGGCGGTGACTCGGAGACGTCAGGGGAGGCGATCCTCATCGCGGAGACTCAGTTGGGAAATGGGATGCAGGGAAAAGCGAGAGGAGCGGCGTCCGAATCAACAATATCTATGTTACAGTTGAGGTCGACAACTGACCGTCTACGGAACGAGTCGCGTCGTTTGGTTTCCATACGGAAAGGTGCGATTCTTAAGCAGGACTTCACTTGCAGGTCTCTGAATCCAATATTATTGTCGAAGATATATATTTAATGAGACAAACATGTGGTTAGATCACTTGTAGATTAAGGCAGGACATGCTGATTTATATTATGGTTCTGACTTTGAATACTCTTCATCAGCTGGCTCATCCACTCAAATCAATAAAAGAGTATCCGAATGACATGTAATCAATCTACTAGAGAGCAACTTGGCTATAACCAAATTGGAGATCATATACTATTCTTCTCCTTCCACTTGGAAATAGAGCTGGAGAGTATCCAACACATGGTTAATGACGTTGCCTGAACAGTATCACAGTAGATATGCGTTGATCCTTACGTTCTTAGATTCTGCTATCAACTTGCATTTCCTACGGTATCTTAAACTTAAAGAGTTGACGTGAGAGATTTTTTAGTCAGAGTCTCTCAGGCTAAGACATTTTTTTAAGGTTTTGTATTAGTTTAATACACGGAGACATCAACTTTTTAGATCGCAGGCTTTCTTTGGTAAAGCTTAATTTCCATGACATTTGAGATAAATTTTGAGCCATCATATTAAAAGGAAAATGGGTCCATTACAGGCCTTACTACAGCGTGAGCCCATTACAGGCCCACTGATTCGACTGTCAGCTAAATTACCTCCATCGCCGCACCCGCCTCGGCTAAATTACCTCGAGTGCGATCGATGGCAGACATCACATCCACCGATTTCATTAGACACTCAGGCATCCAAGTCCAGAAGTACATGACCGCTTGAGCATCAAGAGAAGGCTTTCTATTCACAAGCAAACTTTGTGCCGAAGCTGGTGAGGCAGATGGCAAATGCCTGGAAGGCCGACAGCGGCTCCCTGTAGTCCATGGTGAACATGTCGTCCCCTACCTTTCCAAACTGGAGTAGCACAGGGTCGTCGCCATCGTCATCAGCGCCCCCTGCTCGGTTGGGGCCATCCGATGATGCCACCAGCTGGAAGTTCTTCACCGAGGCAACCGTGACGCGACCATGGAAGTTCAGGCACCAGCACTGCAAGTTCTCGTGCCACCTTGGAGCCTTGTTTTTTAGGACCATAGTTCCGGCATCCGACGCCGAGGGCACCATTGCAGGGCACTTCAGAGTGCACAGCATTCTTCTCGGCCCTCTTGTTTTAAGAAGATTGAATTTGTAGGATACCTGACTAATCACGAAATTGCCCGCTGGGACCTGTGGGCTTATTTGATTGCTGGCAAAACGGCGGCTCGATCGACTGCTCGATGCCTTGGCACCACCGGGTGGCGGTCGGCTATCATAGATCTTAAACTTGGTGCCGAAAAAATCAGATCTGCAGAGGACAACAAAAATTTCAAATCAGGAAACATAAGTCATCAGGAAATGTTCGTTCTAAATCCTCCTTGCACATAAAATCATTATAATTCTCATCCATTTAAGAGAGTGTGATGATATAACATACTCCGCTAAATGGATCAGCAGCATCAAAATGTTTGGGTTTTGTGGTTATACAAGACAAGGCAGATAAAACAGTCTACCAAAACAGATTCTGCAGATGGTTAATCAAAGGATAGATGGAGCATGGTGATCATTAAGATTTAACTTGCAGTTGGGCTATAAACTAGGTAACAAAGCAATAATAAACCGGATGCGAGCCGAATTAAAGCAAACCCATATAGAAACATCTAGAGCTGGCAAAGTTTGTTGAAATGGGACAATTTTCATGTTAACTTTACTCGGTACGTTTAGAAATAGATTATTATTAGTTGTAAATTGCAAGCCATGCAGAGATCAATCAGAAGACTTTTCCCCGTAGTTTGTGGTTATATTCTTGTACCCATCATGCTAGCTAGTTCAATTAAAATATAGCTAAAGGCCCTTAAGATGCAGCTGAATTGTGGCCGAGTATTCTACAGTCATCAAGATTATACAGAAGTGTTGACTGCAGAATCTCTGTGCGGTAAGATGTTATCATATATGATACCTATGCACAAGGTCATTAAGTAAAAAAGGAGAGAAAAACGAGGTAACGGACGTTGGATAAGGTTCAGTTTGGGTACTCAAGCAAGAATGGACGCGATATAAAAAATGTATGTAACCCACAAACCACTAACCAATTCTATGAAAACCAAGATGAAGGAGAGAAAAGAGGCAACATATATTGTTCTCCAGCAGCCATTTCATTCCACACAGCTTGCTTTTTGAGGGTGGAATAAAACTTTCACCTCCTTGATCTGAGAGCGAAGACTGATAGAAGTAAGAAAATCAAGTATTGTCTATTTCCATTGAATTTTCATCTAGTGTGTTACCCATTCATAAAATTGTTTTTAGAACAAGTGATTCAAGTCATTTGCACTTTGCAATTTTCCAAGTGAAAGTGAAGTTGCCATGTAAGTTAACATTGGCAAAGCTAGTCAAACAAAAATGACAAATTAGTAGGTTTTGGTTCAGAATAAACACATATATAACATCTCAGGACAATTTGCACTCCGACGACATAATACTTAGGGCTTTATGAGTGTGTTATCTGGACTAATATTAGCATGTTTAACATGGGTAACCATCGACAACAAAAGCTTAGCTAATGGCATACCTCAATTTTCCCACATATGCATTGCTGCCTTGTGATAGATCATCAACATTCAGAGAGATTATGTACTCTACATGGGCACCATGCCTAAATCTTTGAGCCGCCAATAGAAATTTTCCCTTATCCACGAATGCTGAAAGTTACATAACAAAATATGTAACTGAAGTCCAAAAGTACCAAAATTTCTTGATGCGGTAGTGAAAGAAAAAAAGAAGCATGCGAACTCATATTTTGAAACATACACATGCCATTAAAGCAATAGGTTCAATATTTTTTACTTAAAAGTTCGTAAAACTCTGAACAACAGAAAGACCAAGCAATTAAAAATTATATTATGCAAACCTAAATGAAGACGCAATCATGAGATTTGATGGAAATTGCAAGCAGACATTTACAAAACCAAACTTGGAGTATAATCAATTAAAATAATCAAAATAAACATTTTTAATTTTTCTTCAAGAAAATAACTGAGAATCTCTAAAAAGTTGAACACAAAGAAGTTGCATGTGAAGTATGGAACAATGGCATCAGGTGTCAAAATCAAGGAAAGAAGTTTTAAGTAACATAGTCTTTATAATTTTGTCTTGCTATTTTAGACCACCTAGCAGCAAGTGAAGAATCTTTTTTGTATCTCAGAACACTTGAATAAAATGCAGATCATCACTCAAGAGATCACAAGTCACAGATCCACATCATTCATCGCCTTCACATGAACTGGGCTTAGTCAACCCACAGAGTACAGATGAACAATATAAAGTTACTGGGAATCCATCCTTAAGCCACATATCTTACAAGAGAAAGTACAACTCCAGTTCAGGGGTGAAAACATAATTGGTCCTTGAGATGATGACAAGGTTTGGCAACATATTTTCATGAATCACTAGTGGTCTGATATGTGACAAGTTTAACATATTTTCTCATCTCAATCACCTCAATGGCACTGAATCGTTGCATGATTTTTGCCTACTCAAAGTTGTTCAAAGGCACACAACACCAAGGTTTTCATATCTATCCTTCCCTTTCGACATTTACTTCCATAGCAAGTTTATCTCATATTAGTCAGACTTATGTTCCTAGTATCAAAACATGACCAAACTAGACAATACTTTACAAAAGCGGGTCGAAACAAATTGCTGGAGAAATCCTTTAACATGTATGTGATTGACGATAAATAAATGCACGATTTTTGGACAATATGAAGTAAGAGATTACAGAGAACATCTCAAACGATTTAATGATCGGTTTTTTTAGTTTCTAACCTCTGGACAATGGTGGCGAGTAAAATAACTGAACCAGAAGAAAGTGTTGAACAGAAAGTGTTCTACCAAACCCTAAACAAGGACTTGCAGAGAAGTTAGCAATCAGAATTAGCAACTTAACAAGAAGTCAATGCAGGATGGTGCACTATCAAACTTCAATCACCCAATCAAAGAACAAACCATGCTAGAAAATACATCTTTGATAGTCTTTTGAAGATCACTCACTCTGGGTCAAGCTGAGATACAGATAGAACGTGGAGTTCTTCTTGTTCCTCTTAATAAAGCACTGAATTGGAAGGTCCCTCGGGCCAGGCTGCCATCCACAGTCCACAATCACATATTATCAATCATCTTCTTTTGGAGGAAAAAATTCACATGATAAACAATGTCAAACATCTCTCTAAAAAGAGTACAATTTTGGACTTCAGTAGCTGGATGATTATAACTACAACAGCGACCCCAATTATTGCAGAGTTGGAAAAAGGAGGAATTTGGTGCGGAAAAAGGGGGATCTTGAAATAACAAACCGACCTGTTTTAGGGAAGCAGGGAAGGTTATCTTGCCGGTTTCGGTGGGCGGCCTGACGACGCCGGTGGTGACCTCGCGCCACCTACGGCAGACGCAGGCGCAAGACACCACGCTCTTCCGCAGCGGCCACCGCCCGTGGCTCGACTCCACCCTCCTCACGATCTCTCCCAGCAGCTCCGGCAGTATCCTCGACCATCGCTCCTCCTCCTCGCCCGCCCCCGCGTCCACCTCCGCTCCTCCCCTCCGATCGCCGCCTTCCTCCTCCTCCTCCTCCTCTCCCTCCGCTCTCTCCAAAGGCGGGGGATTCCTCACCGATGAGCCGCTCGATGGGAAGAGGAACCCCCTCTGCTGCCTCATGGCCTCCCTCCTTCGCTCGCTGGGTGTTGTCGAGACGATGCCTCTCTCTCTCTCTCTCTCTCTCTCTCTTTGGGCTCACTGCTCACTGGCTTGATGTAACGTTACACAGGAAAGGACGAAAGATGATACTTTCACACCCCCTCGTCAATATTTGAACCCCTCAGGCTTCTCACTGCCACCAATTAATTGTTCGGTATATTTATAATTCTATTATTAAGAATTATTCTTTCGGTGTAAATGGAGACCTCATTCAATCTAAATGCCTCTTGTCGTCTACGTTCCAACTTCACCTCACATTTATCCTCTCATGCATTACGTTCTATGATTCGAATTTAATTTATCCATCCCTTTATATCATATATGTTGTTGATTTGTTTAATGGGTTTGATAAATCACATTTAATGCGTCTAGGGATGGAGGAAGGGTGAAGGTATCGATAGAGGATAAGAACGGATGGCATTGTCATTATACCTTAAGATTGTTAATTGTGAATTAAATTACGCTTAAGTTTGTGGCCTTTGACTTTAACGTTGAAAGATCAGCTATCTGATAACCCGTGATTTGGGCATTATCATGTAGGTGACATTAATTTAGTAGCAAATTTGGAGGGGAAAATTCGTACGACTTTTTCTGGTGATGGGATTTGGTCAACGTCACTAGCTCGCCTAAGATTTCAAACGCATCGAGTGAATATATATATTGAGGACTAATGAACATTTCAAATATGAATTAATATTTGATATTTAAAAAAAAAAACATAATTGATCTGAATGTTACATTGAAAATACTTAAATGTTGATATTATTAACATCTCAGAATTAATGAGATGCTAATATAATTTTTAAAATTTTGATTGTAATTTTATCTAAAATTTTAAAAGTATCAAAATGATTTAGTAATAAACCAACGATTTTATATATTTTATAACATAAAATTATATTTATTTATTTGAGTATATTTTTATTTATTATATTTTTAGGCGATACAAAATATTTATAAGATTGCATACATTTATTTATTTACTTAATAATATAAATAATATATTTTTTAAATAAATAATAAATAATAAATTTTGTTGGTGAACCTTATGCCGTGGTCGTAGGGTCGATACGGCTTGGTCCGACGCGATGTTCAGTACCGTCTCAAGATTTTTGCTAGATCAGGTCGGACCAAAGATCAAGCTAGTGAAGTTCTGGTATTCTTATCGTAGTGCATGCAGTCGACCGTAATTTCAAAACACACACCTATGTTATATCACCATGCAATTTAAAGTTCTTCACTGTAGCTGCCTATTTATTCCTTCTCTCAGGATAAGCATTTCTCCCGCAACGACCTTTTGACCGTCTTGCCAAGAATATAGCATCTAAGAAGATGACACCCACAACCTTTGCCCGGAGAATTAAGACCGTGGAAGCATCCCACTTGGCTGGCTATCTTTGGACGAGCAAATTGCTCCACCACCGTTGGGAAGGAGGTCGACAATCCATGACCTTTCATTCTAAAGCAACAAGACGTTTTCTGTACCTTTTTATTTCTTCTGTCTCTGCAGGTCCCGATTGCACCTGCCAAGAGGCATGGTTTTCAGTCCCTCCATCCTCTCTTTCTCGTGCTACGTTCCATGGAGGGAATAAATATTTGAAGTGATGCACCTGGAATACCAATAATCTAATCACATCGCTCTAGTTTTCCTTGGAGGCAGGAAGATATGGAGAAGAAAGGAGTGATCCTGATGCACCGCTACGAGCTAGGAAGGTTGCTTGGGCAGGGGACCTTTGCCAAGGTATACCATGCGAGGAGCATTGCCTCGGGCCAGAATGTTGCCATTAAGGTCATTGATAAGGAGAAGGTGATGCGTGTTGGAATGATCGAACAGATAAAGAGGGAGATCTCAATTATGCACCTCGTTCGCCATCCAAACGTCGTGCAGCTTTATGAGGTCATGGCCAGCAAGAGCAAGATCTACTTCGTGATGGAATACGTCAAAGGCGGCGAGCTCTTCAACAAGATTGCAAAAGGGAACCTCGGAGAGGCTGATGCAAGGAAGTATTTCCAGCAACTGATCGGGGCAGTTGATTTCTGTCACAGCCGTGGTGTCTACCACCGGGATCTCAAGCCGGAAAACCTCCTCATCGATGAGAATGGGAACCTTAAGGTGTCGGACTTCGGCCTGAGTGCCCTCAAAGAGTCAGAGAGGCAAGATGGTCTACTCCACACGCTATGCGGTACGCCGGCCTATGTTGCCCCTGAAATCATCAACAAGAAGGGTTATGATGGAGCAAAGGCAGACATATGGTCCTGCGGAGTCATCCTTTACGTTCTATTGGCAGGCTGCCTACCGTTCCATGAATCCAACCTGATCGACATGTACAAAAAGATAACCAAAGGAGATTTCAGATGCCCTCATCGGTTCCCTTCCGAAGTCCGAAAGCTCCTCGCCAGACTCCTCGAACCCAACCCCGATGCTCGAATCACGATCCAGCTGTTGGTAGAGAGTCCGTGGTTTCAGAAAGGATTTAAGCCGGTGGAAGCACGAGCCCGATCACAAAGTTTGCCCAACCTGAAAGATGTGACATCAGCTTTCAATGTCGAGAACACTTTCGATGATGAGAGCGATAAAAAAGCAGAGATGTCAGAACCCGTGAAACCGACCAGTCTAAATGCATTTGACATCATCGCCCTATCCCCAGGATTAGATCTTTCGGGGCTCTTCGAAAGGGGAAGTGGCGAAAAGCAGGAGGCCAGATTTACAACCCAGAGGCCGGCTTCAACGATAGTGTCAAAGCTCGAAGAGATTGCTGAAATGGAGCATTTCAAGGTAAAGAAGAAGGCTGGATTGGTCAAGTTAGAGGGAAGCAAAGAAGGAAGGAAAGGACAACTTGCGATTGAAGCACAGATTTTTGAGGTCACACCTGCATTCCATGTAGTCGAGGTGAAAAAATCATATGGAGACACAATGGAGTACCAGAAGTTTTGTGACCATGATCTTAAGCCTTACCTCAAGGACATTGTGTGGACTTGGCAAGGAGGAGCAGATCAGCACCAGCAGCACCTCAACCAAACTTGATGTCTTGTAGCCCCATCTCCTGAGACTTAGATCCAATTCAACTTGCCTCTGATTTTGGAACTCCCCAGTAAAAGATAGTATGTTCTCTTGGGTGGCATGCTCTGGGATCCTAGTTCATTGTGCACACACTAGACAGAAACAATAGCTACCACTAGAGACTCTCTTCTCATGACTTTAAAGAGAGAGGTATATGGTGCATCATCCGATGGTCTATTGCATAGCAAGTACAGACCAATCTCTATGTACTTTTTTTTTTAATTTCTTCTTCTTATAATGAAGAGCAAGTGCAGATAAATCTCTCAGTTGTGCTTCAGATATTAATTACAGTGCTGAATGTTATAATTTTTTCTGATGTATGCAATCTTTTCATTTCTTCATTTTTTTTTTTAGTTACCAAAAGAAGTTTAATGCTGTAAATTTAACATGCACATAGTTTCACTGGACTAGCAGTGATTGCAAGAGCAAATGGATGTGATACTTGATGCTGCAGGTTTGCCACCTCTGGATAAAGACTAATTAAAATTTAGAAAAATGCAGCAACAACTTACAAAAAGCAAGAGAAAGAAAAAGAACAATTCTGGATCTTCTTGATTTCTTTAATCATATAAACAAACCAAAGTATAAAGGAACACTTGTCAAGGAAATCAGTGCCCAGTTTGTTCCTATTAGTCTATGTCATCTGTCATCCATCCATACCAATCAAATAGAATGTTTTAATTAGTCTATGAAAGAAGCAGAACATACGAGTGCAACTTGAAAGAAGATGCCTAGAGCTGACGGTAGCAACAAGCAACTCCCAGCTCCGAAGACTCTTGCTCAAGACCAAGTGGAAGTCACCGAGGACCTTGATCGCATGATTGCAATTACGAACGACGAGCTAATCAACGCGACCATTGTGGCGACGAGTGGGAAGAGATGGAAGAAATGAGTAGCGACTAGGGCAAAGGAGTTGAGCTAACCTTCTCAGGCATCTTTGAACTTAATGGACCACTCGTGGTCATGCTGTGGGGAAGAAGAGACAGTGATGGTAGTAACCACGAATCACAAGGAGAAGCTGGACCCCTCGTAGTTGAGGCCTGGGAGGTCGGGACGGCCACATAAATCTATCTTACTGTAGAGCAGAGCAGAGCAGAGGTGTTGCGGACGTTGATCACCAACTATTTGGGCCTCGACGATAAGAGACAAGACAACGTTGGCGGAGGTGCTCGTTGTTGGGAATAAAAACTCAATAATAAAAGTTAAAATGAGAAGCAATATGGATAATTAGAAGTCAACTGGATGGAATCGCGTTTGACATTGTTGTAAGGAATGATCTCATCCCTTGGTGCATATTTGTGATTGAATCCATTCCCTAATAATAAGATGGAGATTCCTTTTTTTGCCATCATGATCGTAAAAAGATTAATGTAGTATCATAAAGCCAAGTAGCAAAATCAAAGAAGATGTTATAATGAAAAGATACTAAGGATTGAGAAGAGAAGAAGATCCTCTCTTTATATAGTTGAGATAAATCTATAACCGTTAAGGTAACAATGATCACAACGATCATATAATAATTATGTATAATCATAACCAATAAATACCATTAAGATACCAATTAAGTTGTAAATCAATCAATGACTCAATTAATTAAATAATGAACGCAATAAATAAATAAATAAATTAATAAACGATAGCCAATGAATACCACATAGAAGATACCAATCAAGTCATAAAAAAAAACATAATAAGTTAATAAATAAATGATAAATAAGAAATTTTGATATTATTATTTTTAAAATAAAATATTTAATATAATTTTTATATTAGAATCTACTATAACAATGAATATCTACATTTCATGATATAAATCATAATCAAATATCGATCATAAATATGTCAATAAAAATATACACAGAGAAAGTAGGTCATAACAAATAAATTCTCATAAGAGGATATTAATATTACACATGTAATTGTAAAGTTCCTCATATTAAAAAAAAGAATATCATGTAAAATTTTCCTAATGATATTGCATATATAGACATAATGATAAATTTTGTTCTGACAATAAACTTTGCTAGCAATTTTAAATATGTTTGGCACCAAATTTATCATATATACAAGATATTTTCTCATATAAATATTCTATGCAAATATCTTCTAACATCAACAAGTACCCAAATTTATCAAATGTTATTATTATTATTATTATTATTATTATTAGTAATAATAATAATATTGTCGCATTGGTGTCCCAAATGTATTATTATTATTATTATTATCGCATTTAGGAAAATTAGAAATCTTCAACGGTCGGCTTCCCACACGTAGATGAGGGCAGGGGTACCTCCGGAATGCAGCTGCGGAGAAAGGACGAGTGGAAGAGAGAGAGAGAGAGAGGGGAGGGGGAGAGCAGCGAGAGGTGTCGTTGGCTATCAACATGGCGTCGTTGCCGACGGGACCTCCTCATGCGCCCGCGAGCGAGTCGTTGGTGATGGATCCTCCCCGGCCGGAGATGGTGGACGCGGATAAGGTATTCCATCACTCCCGACCATCTCTTCCCTTTTCGGTACGATCTCTGTCTTGCCGCCTTCGTTCCGATTCGTTACTTTTTTTGAGTATATGTTATTTCAGGGCATCTCTAGTTGACAATTCGTTGTTTTGCTTCTTTCGTAGAGGCGGATTGGAAATTGTCTCTCGTGCTATCTTTTTCCGTTCTTCAGCGATGAATCCCGTTTGTTCCGTCTATCTATGGGCGATCCGGTTCATTTGCGATCTTTGGCTTCGGCTCTGGAATTCCTTCTTTTACGTTACGTTGGTAAAGTTGATTCGTCTCGAACGATGGTCTTGTAGTGCACCGAGCTTCCTTTTGTTTCTTGATCCTTCTTTTTATGGTTTTCTTTTTGGGTTGTCTCCCACATCTTCTTCTTTGGGTACTTGTTGCATCATCTTGGAAAGTTTCGGCTACGGTTTCCTGCAGCTACCCAATATTTGGTTTTGGGAACAGCTCCACTCTGGATTTTTCTATCAGTTTCTTGTAATTTTTCTTGTTCAAACCTTCCTTTTAGGAATCAAACATTACTATCCCCCGTCGCTAATTTTCCTGCAAGTATTTTCGTTTTATCCTCTGTACTATTTTGATCTTCATAAAGAATTTTCTCTTCTTGTTGTTTCGGCAACTTGTATTGGCGATTATAGAATGTGACGATCCTACCTATCGTCGAGTTAGGGGTTTTTGATATGTTACGAAATATGGGTTCCGTGTTTTTTCTTCTGTCGCATTTCTTGCTAGTTTTTCATGTTGAAAGCTGGGATTTTGAGTGACCTTTCAGCAAGAAGCATCCGTCATCCAGGGGAATCAGCCACTGACTGGCCACATTATCTCAACCACCATTGGAGGAAAGAATGGTGAACCCAAGCAGGCGAGTTCCAGAGAATTACTTCTTTAACGCGAATAATCCTTGTGTTCAATTCGTCCATTCAACTAAGTTACTTCTAATTCTTTTGTTTAGACCATCAGCTACATGGCAGAACGTGTCGTCGGCACTGGGTCATTTGGAATCGTCTTCCAGGTGTGACTGCCTCTTTGTCTATAGATGTAACTTAGATCATGTGGCCATTTACATATTCGGGTGTTGTCCCTTGGTTACTTGTAAGCAGGCCAAATGCCTGGAGACAGGGGAGACCGTGGCCATAAAGAAGGTCTTGCAGGATATAAGATACAAAAACCGTGAGCTTCAGTTGATGCGCTTGATGGGTCATCCCAATGTGATATCCCTTAAGCACTGTTTTTTCTCCACGACGAACAAAGATGAACTGTTTCTTAACCTGGTCATGGACTTTGTCCCTGAAACGCTATACCGTGTCTCGAAGCATTATAGCAATGTGAACCGGGGAATGCCACTAATCTATGTGAAGCTTTACATGTATCAGGTTTGTTTGGCTAACTTTACATTTTCTGGTACTTTTAGAAGATCAGTCACTGAAGTAACTACCTGATTGTCTTCCGCAGATATTTAGAGGCCTAGCATACATCCATAATGTTCTGAGAGTTTGTCATAGAGATGTGAAGCCACAGAATGTACTGGTATGCTTTTATGTTCATAGAGGGACTTGAGTTTTTGATTCCAGAAATAATTCTTTGCTCTTCCTTGGTACAAATCATGCAGGTCGATCCTCTTACCCACCAAGTAAAGCTTTGTGATTTTGGAAGTGCCAAAGTTTTGGTAAGGCAATAGTTTCGAAAGATCACGTTTTTCTCTCTGGCCATCAAATGATAGACAATTTAGGAAGACTAAGATCAACCTGTAAGGCTGCAAACTTGTTATGCAATGTCAATGTCAAGTGAAACAAACCAACCCCAATCGTTCATGTGTGTACTAATTGAGTCCATGAAGTCATTACAAGGATGAATAAAGCTAACTGTTTTGTCGTGCAATTTTTCTGGGGTTTTCCTAGTAAAAGATCCATTTACCTTGAGACACTTCCATCTCAGTCTGATTATTTGAAGTGATGTCATTCATTTCACTTGCTATGTCTGTGTGTTCCACTTTTAATCTGAGGACTTTGTGTGTTCTCATGTGGCCTTCCGTAACGTGAATCAGGTCAAGGGTGAAGCAAATATATCATACATCTGTTCTCGCTATTATCGTGCTCCGGAGCTCATATTTGGTGCTGCAGAATATACAACATCGATTGACATTTGGTCAGCAGGATGTGTTCTTGCGGAATTACTTCTTGGTCATGTAATCATGCTTTTATTATTTGAGATATCCAATTGTTCTAATAATATTTTCAAGCTAACACAAATACGATTGTTACCCTCTTGCTTGTGTTTTAATTTTGCTATGTCAAAAGCCACTATTTCCTGGAGAGAGTGCTGTTGATCAGCTAGTTGAGATAATCAAGGTAAAACTTAAGTCAAATTTCTGTTAAAGATTCTTTTCTCCTTCACAAAGTTAATATAAACTTGATGCTTATAGGTTCTTGGTACTCCAACCCGAGAGGAAATTCGATGCATGAATCCTAACTACACTGAATTCAGGTTTCCGCAGATAAAAGCACATCCTTGGCACAAGGTAAGCATCATTCCCAGTGACATTTAATTAATGTAGCATCTGCTTTTCTTGATGTAGATTGCTTGTATGGTTTCATTGATGTCTTAGATTGCATGTCTAGCACATTTGGTACACTGACACATTGGCTGATCTGATACGATCCAACTAATCAAAAACAGAATTAGCCAGTTCAAACCCCAAAGTCTTAATTATGTTGTTCGTAACTGTCAGAAATAGGCCAAAATTTTGTTGTTTCTGTCCGACTCCAGCACACACAGCACTGCAGAGGAAAGTAGATACCTTAACTTGCTTAGTTTGTGGGTTCATGTTTTGAGGGAAAGAGAGGCTTATTTTGATGGAATAAGTCATGAATTTTCAATTCTTGTTAATAAACTATTGGTTTTGTGTGATACATATCTATATGAACAATATCTTAACATTTTTCCTTCTCTTCTTTTGGTACGATGGTTATAATTTATAATCCTTCATAACTAATTTGCAGGTTTTTAACAAACGAATGCCTCTCGAAGCAGTAGATCTTGCATCACGTCTTCTTCAGTATTCACCAAATCTTCGCTGCAGTGCTGTGAGATTAATCATCTATTTTATCTTGCAGACCAAAAGATTGTTACTCTTTTATTACATTTAAGAATAAGTAACTAAATCTAGAGTTTCTATGTTATCTTTGTCAATTATTCATCAATCTTTTGTTTCTTGGTCAAAAGATTTAGTCTCCATTTCATGAACATTGGTTAGTTTTATTCTCTAGAATGATATAAATGAAGAAGAAAAGAGAACAGAGTGCATGGTCTTGGACATTTGGAGAGTTTGTAGATCTTTCGGCTATAGAGATGGCGGGCGATATATGAAAAAAACAATCTCATATATTCTTTACCAAAATTCTCTTTGGTGGACAACGGTCGATAATCTTGCTATTGCCTAAAATTAGTGGCTACACTCATCTTAAGATGAGTAGTTACATCATTGTAGGAGGAGCTTAGCCGACTTTTCTAACTTAAATAAAAAAAAATGAAATGATTGATGGATGGATGGTTTTGTGTTGGCTAGTGGGAATGGCAAGTTGTTCTGCATCGGATCCACTTTGTGTGATCATTTCTGTTGCTTAGTCGAGTATTTCAATGTGCAGGGTAATCGATAGGGCATTCTTAATTACATGCTTTATTACTACTAATATGGACTGTTCCTATTGCAGCTCGAGGCATGCGCACATCCATTATTTGATGAGTTACGTGAACATAATGCACGACTGCCAAATGGCCGGCCATTTCCTCTCCTTTTCGACTTCAACAAACAAGAAGTAGGTTTCAGCTACCCTGGTATTTTCTTTCCTTTGACTAAGGTTGACTTGTTACCATTCAGTCCATATTCATTTCGTGGTGAAGGGTGAGACAATTGTCGATCCAGTTACTTTTTATGTTACATAATCTTGCTTCTTTATCTAAATGATGTTCGAGTTTATCACACAAGGAGCCAACACAGCAAAGCAGATCATCTGATGCTTGTGCTTTCCATTCCAACATCCATTTTGTCCTCAGATTTGTGGTGGTTAATCTTACCTTGTTTACTGGAACTTTTCTTTGTTGTGATCTTCACCGAGAAGACGATTAGCGAAAATGTTCATGAGTGCATGATTGGTGTTATGTTAAATCAGGGCTGCTAGTCATCCGTGATTCTTGTTGTAGCACAACGCTGTTTTTACTCCCTGTCATCACTTTGGTGTTGCCATGTTTTTCTTTTGCAGCTTTTGGGTGCTTCACCTGCGCTTATCGACAAGCTGGTACCCGAGCATGCGAGGCGACAATGTGGCCTTGACTTTGTTCAAGTGGCGGGGACGTAGGCGGAGTACAAGTGCTTCATCTACATACATCTGGATAAATGGAAGCATGATCACGAGCTCATCTCCCAATCCTGCCGCCTCGTATCATATCAGACCCTTTCGGGACGCGAGGCCTGGGCTGCTGCTGCTGCTGCTGCAGCTGTTGCAGTGCAGGGCCGATAGAGAGGACGTATCATCTCTTCTTGTTTGTTTGTTTTGGTCTTATCAGGAGCGGTGGTTTGTGCGTCTGTTGAATGAATCCCCAGTGATATATGTGAAGTACTTGTCTTAAGCCCACCCACTTTGCCATGTCACGAGGGTCTATATACTCTATAGCATTGAGCCCCCCGTGCCATTCTCATATATCTTTTGGGTGCTATGAAACCTTTCTCATCGCTCGTCAACCTCCTCGGAGTTGCCGTCTCTTTCTCCAGATTACTAAACTCTTCCTCTGTCTCCTTGCCCGTCCTCTCCAAGGACTTCCATTCCGTGAAGGATCACTGCCGCCACTTGCTCGAACTTGGCATCCTCCACGATAACCCATCTCTGGGTTCGCGTGCCCACGCCAGGATCGTCGTCTTCGGACTAGAGCGCGATTCTTTCCTCTCCACGAAGCTCATCACCTTGTACTCCCTCTGCGGACGGCTCCACAACGCCGATGCAATCTTCGCCCGTGTCCCGCGTTGTGATGCCTTCATCCTTAACGCCATTCTCAGAGGATACTGCGCCAATGGGTTGCACCAGGAAGCCATCGATTTGTTCCACCGGAAGAGGAAAGATGGTGTGCGACCGGATTCCTACACCTTCTCCTGCATCTTCAAGGCGTGCGCTTCTCTCTCGGACCTTCGCCAAGGCAAGGAGTTGCACCATCTGGCCGCCGCGGGCGGGTTCCAGTCGGACGTCTTTGTCGGCAACTCCCTGATGTGCGTGTATGCAAAATGCGGAAGCATCGAGGACGTCGTCAGAGTATTCGACGGAATGCCCCAGCAGGACACCGTGTCATGGACTTCGATCATTTCAGCTTACGCGCTCGATGGACGTAATCTGGAAGCCGCGGAGAAAGTAAGGCAGATGATCGAGTGTGGATTTAGGCCTGACCAGGTGACGATGCTCACCGTTCTTACGATGAGCGGTGACACGCCTGAGGTCGTCGGCCAAGTCCATGGCTACATGTTGAGAAGTGGGTTTGAACTGACATCCATGATCCAGAACTCGCTCATTTCAGCTTATGGCAAGTGTGGCAGAGCGGAGGAGGCGCGGAAGGTTTTCGATAGCTGCGCCCGAGTCAATAGAGTTACTTGGAACGCTTTGATCTCTAGTTACGCTCAGAATGGGCTGTTCGATGAAAGCATGCAGCTCCTTAGGGACATGAAGCATTCTGGATGTGGCCTCGACGTGGTTACTTACAGTGGCGTCATATCTTCCTTCTCTCAGAACGATCTGTTCGGCTCGGCCATGGCAGTTTTCGAGGAATTGGTGAGTGTGGGGTTGAAACCGGACGTTGTTGCCGTTGCAAGTATACTACCAGCAATCTCGGGTCTTCAGTGCTCAAATTACTGCAAGGAAATCCATGCTTTTTCTTACAGACACTGGCTGGAGTCAGACAGGCGGATTAGGAACGCTCTGGTGTCAGTATATAGCAAATTTGGACTGCTCCAATGTGCTGAACGAGTCTTCGGGGCCATTGGCGATAGAGATGTCATATCCTGGAGCTCGATGGTCATGGGGTATGCGCAGAACCACTACTTTGCGGAAGCGTTGGACACTTTCCGGCAGATGATCGGAACGCGGACGAAACCGAATCCCATCACCATCACCAGCGTCCTTTCGTCGTGTGCAGGCGTCTCTGGACTGAGACAAGGGAAAGAGCTCCACGCGTGGGCGGTGAAGAACTCGGTCGACGACCAGCCCTTCGTCGGAAGTGCCTTGGTGGACATGTATGCAAAGTGCGGAAGGCTCGGCGACTCGAGAAAGGTGTTCGATCCGATGGAGGATAAGAACTTGGTCGCCTACAACGTGATGATGGGGGGTTACGCGGTACACGGGCTGACGGAGAATGCTCTTGAGATTTTTCGCATGGTGGACGAACCCGACCAGGTGAGCTTCATCGCGGCCTTGTCGGCCTGTAGCCATGGAGGAAAAGTCGAAGAAGGGATCGAAATCTTCAACAGCATGAAGGACCTGAAGGTGAGCCCCAGAGAGGGGCACTACGCTCTCATGGTAGACTTGTTAGCCAGGTCGGGAAGATTACAAGAAGCTCTCGATCTCATAACCACGATGCCGACCAAGGCGAGCTCGGAAATCTGGGGAGCCATGCTCGGAGCATGCAGGATACACTCTGATCTGGAGATTGGCATCTACACGGGGAACCGAATCATCGAGTCGGGGAGCGGTAATTCGGGCTATTATGTGCTGCTGTCGAACATATTAGCCGACTTCGGCAGGTGGGAGGACGTGGAGGTGATCAGGGAGTTGATGAAGGAGAAGGAGGTCAAGAAATGTGCTGGGTGCAGTTGGATAGAGGTGAACAAGAGGGTGCGCTCCTTTGTTGCCAAGGAACGAGCACAGCAACCGGAATGGAAGAGCATGTTCCAGGTGCTGAGTGCGTTGAATGAGCAAACCAGGGGAATGAGCTGCTAGTGGAAATTTTGTCAAACACCCGATGATGTTCTCTGGCAGATAGACTGAGCAAATGCCATTCATCAATGCTGGCAGAAATCTGCAATCCCTGCCAAACGACAATCTACGAGGAGGTATGTGTACTTGGAAAGCCTTGCATCGTGCTTTTTATGTTAATCATTCTGAGTAGTAGTAAGCTTATGCTATACAGGGAGGGCAGTGAAAAAAATGTCCAGTTTTCTGCATCCATCTTTTGCTATGTTGCTAATAATTGACTTTTACCACCTGCACTGCACTCTTCAGTTATTATGTGCAACTAATGCAGCAGCCAATTTGGTCCCAGTTGCCACCACTGATCTCATTGACAAACAAGCTAAAAGCTTTGCAACCTTCAGCTTCTCAGGCTCCGTCACTATGTTACCTACCACAGTCTCCCAATCTTCCAAGCCCATACCATTTGCCTTCGCTACACTAAACAAAGTCGAATCCACCAGAATCCGATCCTTCTCTCCGCTCAACAATCCCTCCAAAAGCTTTCGCATGTTCACTGCACCGAGCTTATACCCTTTGAACATCATCTCATCCAAAACCATCCTCGCCTTTCTGAATTCGCCTGCATCACACAGTCCCTCGAACAATATCCGGTGGGACACCACGTCCGGGCAGCACTCCCTCCTCGGCATGTCGTCGAACAGCTCGCTCGCATCGCTCCACCTCCCTGCCTTGCAAAGCCCAGCGATGATCGTGTTGTAACTTACCACGTCCGGCTTGCATCTCTGCCGCACCATCTCATTCAAAGTCTCGAAGGCCGCATCGAAGTCCTTCTCGTCCTCGCAGAATCCACTGATCATCGCATTGTAAGTCACGACGTCTGGCTTTATCCCGATTCGTTTCATTTCCTCCAGAATCCCAACCACCTCTCCTTTCCTGTTCACTCTGAAGAGAGCTCGAATCAGAGTGGAATACACGGCGGAGTCCATTACCAAGTCTTTGTCTGACAGCATCTCTTCTTTTAGCTGAAGCGCAAGGTCCAATTCGCCACTTTTGCAGAGGCCTTTGATCAGAGGGGTGTATATGTAAGCGTTGGGCTTTACCTTGAACTCTGTCAGCATCCTTTCTTTTAGCCTAAAGGCATCATCCAACATGGAATTAGCACAGAGAGCGGAGACTAGAGTGCCGAAAGTAGAAACGGTCGGAGCAATCCCTTTACTTCGCATTTCGTCGAACAACTCCCACGCGCCTTCTATACAGCCTGCCAAAACCTGGGCGCGGATGAGCACGTTGTAGGTGCACGCGTCCGGGGTTAGCCCGTAGTCGTCGAGATCACGGCACATCGACCTGACGCCCTCGAGGTCGCCGCATCCGAGCGTAACGTGGAGAAGGGAGTTGAAGGACCGGATGGTCCGGCGGCATCGAAAAGAGGGAATGCGATCGAACGTGCGGCGCGCGGCGGCTGGCATGCGGGCTCGGCCATAGAAGGAGATGACGCGGCAGAAGAGGGCTTCCTTGGCAGCAAAACGAGTCTCGCGGTTCATCTCGTGTAGGACGTTCTCCATCTCCGCGAACATGCGCGCCTTCCCGAGCTTGCAGACGATGAGATCGTAGGACCGCGCGCTGCGGCGGAAGGGCTTCGAAGGGTTTGGGGTCGGGGTTGGATTGCGGAAGAGTTGGAGGGCGATCTGAGGGTTTGTCTCGAGGCGAAGAAGGGTGGAGAGGCGGAAAGGCGAGATCTTGGTGGCCTTTTCCATCGAGGTGCGGGGGTGACGCGCAGCAATGGAAGCGTGAAAGAAGAATACATATATATATATATATATATATATATATATATATATATACACACGATAAAAGTATCAATGGCGATTTTCCCTCAACAAGTTTTTCTTTTTATTCTTCTTAAAAGCATAGTGTCGGTTTTGATTTTTCCCATTGATATCTTTAAATTTTAAATCCTATAAATATATTTATCCTTCTCTGTCATTACTTTCACTGCTACTGTCAATATCTCTATGGGGATGGGAGGAAAAGGAGATGACAAATAATAGGGTGAAGGAAGAAAAGAAAGAAGAAAAAAAGGAAAAGATAAGAAAGATGAGCATAATAATAATAATAATAATAATAATAATAATAATAATAATATAATAAATAATAATAATAATAAAAGAAAAGAATAAGGAACAGAGGTGATGATGGTTGATAAAGAACGAGGAAGAGGAGAATAAAAAGTGCGACGAATATGACAACAGCGACAACTGAGGGGTGTCGGAGGTGATGAGGAGGAAGAATATAAATATTTAAAAAATTATAAAAAGTAGCATGTATCATTTTGAAAAAATCAAAACATGAGCATCTTTTGAGAAAAAAATAAAAAAATTGTATTTTTTGGGAGAGAAATCGTGCAAGTATCAATGCCGAATAAATTTTTTATGCATTTACACTACTAGTCAAACGAAAATTGTAGATGATAATATTATAATTTTGATTTTTATAGTGATATTAACTTTAGAAGGATAAATAGGAAAAATTCTAACCTGAATGGATCCATACATCATAAAACATTAGGTGGAGTATGGGCGGGAAAGCGTCGTTGGGTCCCTTTGGGTAACGCCAAGTATGTACGGAGAACGGTGAAACGTTGTCGGAGCATTGGATGCTGAGCCTCTTTCGATTGGATGTTGGTGCTTGTGTGTCCGTGCACGCGTGCGGCCGTCCTCCTCCCGAAGAGAGGGACGAGCACAGGAAGCGAAGACGATAAAGTAGGAGAGAGGCGACTGCCTCGTTGAATCGCCAGCGAAACTTTTGACGGATGAAGAGAGTGAAGAGGGAGGAGGGAGGAGGGAGGAGGAGCGGGAGAGTCAGAGTCCTTCGCTGAAACCACAGGCATTTCATCGAACAGTAACAGGGCTTGCATGGAAGCAAGAGTTGGTTCATCGAGAGTGGAGCGCCAGCCGAACCAGAAGGGTACTGACATCCACGCTCAAGCAGAAGCACTACATATCAGGTCGTCTTTTCCTGAGATGCGGGCCATATCGCGCAGCAGATGATCCTAACTCCATGTCTGAGACGATGGTGTTATCATACGAATTGGAATTATGTAAGATGAGGACCCCCCACCATCTCTACCACTACAACGCAAGAGGAAGAAGGTGAACACCATGCCCGACCTTAAACCAAATCTGAATCATCTGATTCTTGGAAACAACTTGGTGTCTTCAATTGCAAAGCAACTATCGGCTCCATTCGAACTATATATATACACATACATGTAATGCAATATTATATATTAATTATAATTGGGTGCCAACGACAGCATTTACAAGTCATCCAATTATTTCATAAGTCTTTTTTGGTTCGCTAAATCAAAGCATATTCATGAGTGAACTTTTGAAAAAGAATCATTAATTTTGAAAATTTTTCATATAACATCTTAACTTTAAAAAATTTTATAAAATATTTTTTTTTAAAAAAAAATTATTTTGCCTTTATGGCCCATCGTCTTTCGTCCCGTCGATCACTCTTTGTTCAATGACAAAGATATTCCATCGGATCTTATTGAACCAGCGATAAAGGCACAACCCTCATAGATCCTCTGTTGGATGTAGGCAAGCACGAGTCACTCTCTTTTCTTTCTCGTTTACATTAAACAATAATAATTATGGAAATTATATTTTGTTGGAATCAATAGAGGGACTGATTAAAAAACAGAGATAATTGATAAATAAAGATGATGATGATGATCCAAATAGAGGTGACGATGGATCAAACGAAATATGAGTAAAATGATTTTTTTCATATGCTCGAGGATACTTAATAAGATTTCTTCAAAATTAGAACCATATGTGAAAAATTCTCAAACTTAAATTTTTTTTACAATAATCCACAAATCATATTTTTTTATTTTATTATATTTATTTGGTGCTTGTGTAAATTTTGTTTGTTTGTGTCTGACCATTTCCGCTAAGGAAAGCAGACAATTATTTTTTTCACCAAAATAAAAAAAACACCTATACAATTATAAATTTAAAATACCCTCGCGGAAAACAACTATATTTCCATGTTTGCCCTTCTTTTCTTTCAAAATACCACCATTCATACAGATAATTACCAATAAGACCAACGCATTCATCCGTTTTAGTACTTTAGTGATGATACTGTAAAGGTCTTTTCGGTACTACGATCAACGGATACAAGCACCTGTCTTTATCTCCGCGCTTCCCTGGTCACAGCTCTCTGCCGCCTCTTCCTCTTCCCGCCTTGCCGTCTCTCTCGCCCTCCGATCTTGACCTTTCGCCCGTTGTTGCTCTTACCGAGAGCTGTATCCGCTCTCTGCCCCTGTGCAAGCAAGTTCGGATTAGAAAGAGAGGAGGAACACGACGAAGACGGCCTCTCCAAAGGTTACGTTTTGTGGTCGTTTTCGCCATTGACATTCTCGCTCGAGGTCGGAAGTGGGCGGCGGCCTACTTGAGGTTATTCTTTTCCAATGATCGTTCTAGGAATGATCTGATCGCATCCGATGGGGACGGGCACGGTTAGAGAGCGATAGGAGAAGAGGAGCTTATTCCGGTCCTGCCGGCCCCCAATCCTAGGGTTTCTGGTACGTGCCCATCTCTTCGCTTCACATATCCTTCTCAGGACCCCAAATAAGGTTTTTGTTTTTCCCTCATAAGACCTTTTTGTGTTGCAAAAATCAGATTTTGCATACATATCTGCAGCGTCATTAAACGATATCCGTGTTAGCTTGAACCCCATTCTCTTCACCCCCAACCATAGTCAATGCATACGCATGCTTCTACCTATTTGTGCGCAGATTCATGCTTATTCGATCCACATAAAACTTGCATGAGGGTAGCTGTTCAATAAAAAGAGGCGATCGGAAGAGTACAGAGCACAAAGAACACTTCTTTAGAGTTACACAGATCGATTGAGGCAACAGTTTTACACACACACACACACACACAACATTTCCATTACAATACTACTTAGGCCATGCTTCTTCCTAACCGGTACGAATGTTTTCTCGCAAAGGTCAACCTTAGACTCTGCTTTGTTGAGAGCGAAACCCAATCAAAACATTATCATCATGTCTGCTTTCGCGTGAGAATAACTCGAAAAAGACTAGACTTGGTCAGGTTGATTCGTATGTTTGAGGTGAATATTCCGAGCCTGATCTTAAGATCTAATCTTGTCCTGAGGAGTTGGCCTCCAAGTCGACAATTTGGCTATGGCAAACTTGTACTCGATTGTTTGGTTTGTGTCAGATCTCATATTTATTTTTCTGTCGATTGGATCCATTTTCCAGGTATGCTTGGACTTGTGGATCTCTTACCTACTCTGTTCCTGAGTTTTCTTTGTGTTGGACTAAACTCTATTATTTGCTAAATCTCTCTAGTTGCATTAAATTGGGTTATTACCCCCTTTGTTGTATCCTCCTCATTCAGATGTAACCAACGCAGCATATCCTAAATGGTCTTCTGCCAATTACTTGCCCGAATCTTCTTCTTCTGTGCTCCTTGACATTGATTGATTGATCTTATTCTCTCTCTCTCTCTCTCTCTCTCTCTCTCTCTCTCTCTCTCTCTCCTCTATTATGCCAGACATCCATAACTGGACTGATCTTGATCGGTTGGGAATGAGGAGGATGAGATCTTCTGAGCCATTATTGGCTCACTGCCATCAGACCTCAAAAGCTGTGATCCAAATCGTGTAGCCTCCGGCAACCGGGCATGGCCTTTGATTCCTATTCCACCGCTTCTGTATGAGCCAAAGCTTGTCTCCCGATTATTCTGCTTTTGTTCTTCTTCTTCTTACGTCGTCGTCCTCCTTTGTGGATTTGCCCCACCACGAGGGATATGCTAGGTGTTCCCATCAAGTCCACGAATCTGATGTCCCGGAACAATCAATCATAATTCTTTTGTGCAAAGATTTGGTTGGGCTCCCTACTGTCGTCAACCAGCGATCGTGATTCTTGCTGTTTCATTTCTGTTGATTCCTCCTATCTGTCTTTGATTAGATGCATATTCTCCTCAAAGCAGACCACTTTCTAGGAAGAACCCTTTGTTCTGAATCAAGCATCTAACTCTCACTTCCATTTCTGCGGTCGTTTCTGCACTGATTTTGGTGGATTTCCTTTATCTTCTCGGATCCTGAAACAGAAGAAGAAATGGAGTGGAGCAGCGCGACGCGGTCACCGACGTTGGAAACGTTGTCTCGGACCTTCAGCAAGCTCCTTCGCCTCCGCTGCTCCGCCAGCGATGCCGACGTTGCCCCCGGCGAAGATGACTGCTCGATCCATAAACTGAAGGCGGCCCAGAACTTGAGCGACTGTTCCCCCATCCTCCTGTCTGGTTGCAGCGGCAGCGACTCGTGCCAAGTGGCGTATGAGAAGCAGCAACACTGGCTCTCCTCGAACGTCAAAGAAGCCATGGAGTCTCTCCTCGCCAACCTCTTCGCCAGCATATCTGCTGTCGAAGCTGCCTACGTCCAGCTCCAAACGGCGCAGTCACCGTATGATCCCGACTCGATACAGTCTTGTGACTTGGCCATCGTCTCTGAGCTCAAGCGCGTCTCCGAGCTGAAGCAATCCTACTTCAGGAACCATTCCATCATTCCGTATACCGATGCTGACGGAATGATGGGCCCGGGCCCGGCACTTGCTGCCCGGATCGCAGAGCAGCACAATCTAATCAAGACCTCTCAGATCACCACGAGCAAGCTCCAAGCTCACCTCGAGCTCAGGGATTTCGAGATATCCTCGCTCCAGGCCGAGCTGCTCGCGTGCGAGAAGGTCAACCAAGCGTTGGAGTCAAAGCTTCATCCTGGCCGCTCGCTCTGTGTCCTGGATGGCCTACCCCTCTCCGACCTAAGCCCCATCCATTTCCTCGCCGTTCTTCGATGGACCTTCAACTCCATCAGATCCTTCGTCAAATTCATGGTGAAGGAAATGGAGTCAGCCGGGTGGGACCTCGATGCTGCCGCTGGTGCAATCCAGCCGGACGTGCTCCGCCGTAAAAAGCCCGGCCATCGGACCTTCGCCTTCCAGTCCTACGTCTGCCAGGGGATGTTCTCGGATTTCCACCACAGAAGTTACAACGTGGCCGCCCTGAAAGATCGATCGGCGTGGGGTCGGCGCCGGTGGTTCGATGAATTCACGGAGCTGTCACGCGTCGGATCGAACCAAAAGCTCAGCCAACGCTCGGCGATCGCGAAGTTCGCCACGGCGAAGTATCAGGCGCTGGTGCATCCGAAGATGGAATCGTCGTTCTTCGGCAGTCGTGATCGGGAAAGGTCTCCTGCAGGAAGCACGGGCCGGGACTTCCCGGACTCGGCGTTCTTCAGTGGGTTCGCGGAGATGGCGAGGCGAGTGTATCTCCTCCACTGCTTGTTCTTCTCGTTCGATGACAGGTTCATTTTCCAGGTGCGACGTGGCAGCCGGTTCTCCCAAGTGTACATGGAGAACGTGGTGGAGGACGACGAGGACGCTGCAACCGAGCTCACGCCGCCCACGGTTGGGTTCACCGTCGTCCCTGGGTTCAGGGTGGGTCGGACACTGATCCAAAGCAAGGTCTACCCCTCGTCAACCATGGACGGAGCATGACGGCCATGAACGTCCTTTCAAAGGTTGTTGATGTGACGTTAATTAGAGTTCTTTTGTTGAGAAAGCAACAAAAATATAGTGCACTACTACTTTAAGTTGGTCTAAAGACTTGGCCTACTACACTCTTTATATTAGAACATCATCTATTTCAACTAGAAATTAAACTATATTTCATGTAAGAAGGTGTCTCCTTTCCAAGGATCTACTGCCATTCGAATTTATTCTGTGTACACGGTGAATTAATTTTGTGAGTTGGTGGTATACTGTTGTTTTATTCTTCGTAAACCCTCCGAAAACCATCGAGTATTGATTAAAAGAATGCGAATTAAGATTGTATATTGCAACGCCAAGTGTTCTATACCATTGAACACTAATGGAAGAGGAAACAATTTGTGGATTTCTCACCCCCCAATCTTTTCGAGTTGCATCTTTATTTCTAGATATAAAATGATTTCTCGCGTGCACTGGTTGTATCATTACTTTAGTAACTCCATTACATATGACATGAACAATTAAACTGACCTCATTTAGAGCACTTTGGATTTATATCTTACACCAAGTTTATGAGTTATCAACCACTGTTAGCCTCCATCTTATTCTTTAGTACAAAAGTACTTTATAGAACATAATTAATTGCTGGTGGTTCCTTTTACTAATCCTCGTTTGAATTCTAAATTCCGATGGCCTAAATGAAATCTTTTATAGGGATGATTAACTCGATCGTGATTGCCATGCTGAAACCTAGTTTTACTAGTTTCTCTTGACTCCTCTCGTCGATGCATTTTAAGGTTTAGAAAGAAAATATTCGCAAAACCTTTTTATTTTCATGTTCTCAGGAGAGCATATGTTGTGTGAGATGACAAGTTTTGATTTCAACAACGTTGTTTTTGTCACGTAATTCCATTTCTCTTCTTATTCCATCCATAATGAGCCACTCGGAGAGGCGATAGCGTACCGCACCGGGCATCCCAGTCCCGTGGCTACACGATGACTTCTCCCCCTCGGCGCTTCGTCATCGCCGAGTACACCCGCAGCCGACGAGGAAGAGTGCGTGCGAGACGCAGGAGCCTTCTCTTTCTCTCAGGAGAAAACGGCGACTACATCACGGCCTCGCCTGTGTCGACCGCAAACACCACCCTTTCGGGTGCTTACACCGGCCCATTCGGTTCTCCCAGCTCGAAATGGACCTCGACTCGGCAGGTCCTCTCTCTCAGCCCTTGCGACGCAGCTCACGTACGTAACTTTTACCCTCATACATTTTGAGGTGTCTGAGGCAGCGAGTTCTTTGATGCTGGTCTTCCTCAGCCCTCCTTTAATTTATGTCAAGTCCACATCTCAAGGACGCACGTAGAAGCAGTGGCTCTGAGCACCGACCCCACTAAGGATGCTGTCCAACCACGAATGAAGCAGGTGACGAGCGGCCGTGTATGGTCTTCCGTGGCATCTCGCGATCAAGTGTTTTCCTGGCTCTCCTCCTGTCACCGCTCCGCACCTGGCGGCGGCGCCCCATCTCATCACCTCCCTCCATATATCCGATTCATTCATTTCCGGAACCCACTCGCGACGTTAAATTTACTGCAGAAATCTTAAGAAAACGAAAGAGAAAAAGGAGAAGATCGGCGGCGTCCGTCTCGCTCTCGCGACCTCCACCGCCATTCTGGGCGGCTGCTGCCTTCTTCGCCTTCTCCTCCCGATGGCGTTACCCGTGAAGCTCTTGTACTCTCTTTTTCGCCTCCAATTCCCGCCAGGCTCCACCGTTTTGCGTCTGCAGGGGAGGGTGGGCCCCTGGAAGGTGTACGCGAGATCAGATCTCGACCGTCGGTTGTGCGTGCCGCGGTTGGGTTGGTGGTCGCGGGCGATGAGACAGGACCACCGAAGCGCGGGCCCCCACCGTCCGTGCCTACGGTCGCCTGGCGCCGTCCTTACCGAGACGAGAAAAAGCAACGAAACGCGGAGGCACAACAACCCTCGCGTTTCTACGAGCCTTCCGATCGAAAGCACGCGGGACCCCACGTCTATGCAGCCACAGCACAGGTAGTCAGGTGGGTTCCGTGGCAGAGGGTGAGAACGATATCTCCAGCGAGCGGACGGACCCATGTGCGCCCAACCGCCATGGAGCGTGTCACAGCGGCGCCCATCATCATGACGGTGGGCACATCACGCTTGATCACGACGCACATGGACGGCCGCGGCCATGTCCACGTCGATCCCCAATAAAAATTAAATCTGCCGTGCCCTAGCACAGGTCGCTTTCGGTAGTAAATGGTAGTTGGACGCATTCCGAGGTGGAGAGCGGGAAAGCGAAAAGTAGAAATAAAGAAAATAGAAAAAAAATACAATAACAAGCGAGCGGTTGGGGCCTTTCAGCCAATCTCTCTGTCTCCTCGTCATTTATTTGTATTATTTTTCTATTTATTATTATTATTATTTTCTTTTCTAGCTTTCAGGTGTCCCCCACTACCATCCTCTCCGCCTCAGCCCTTTCGAGAATAATAAGATTCTTTCTGCCCTTACTCCAACCCCTTGCTTCCGATCGCTACCATGGCGGCGGCCATGGAGAGCTTCTCGATTCGGTGAGTATTTCCCGGCCGGTCTTTTCTTGATTTGTTTTCTTTTGCCAACAACATCTTGACGAGTGTTTGGGTGCTGGAAGAGAGTACGCGGCGAGGATGAGGAACGTCGACTACGAGAGGTGCTGGCCGTTCGCCGAGGAGAGAGCAGAGCGGTCTCTCCCTCCCATGCCGGTTAGGAAGTTCCGGTGGTGGGTGGAGGAGCTACGGGCGGTGCCATCCGGCGGCAAGAAGGACGGAGAGGCCGACGATGTGGTCGAACCGGAAGAGAAAGCTGCCGTGGACGTTGCTACCGGGGTACCAGTTGTCGAATCCACCGGTGTTGGCCGGGCGGGAGGCGGGAATGTTCCGGCGGAGCAGAGGCAGGCGAAGAATCTTCCCTCCAAGCCGAAGCCGAGAACGCCCAAGAAAAGGTCGATCCTCGAGCTTTTCGCGGTGGCCCCGCCGGTCCGTGGCGGCGTGCAAGAACAAGACCTCCGGGATGGGGCCGGCGGCAAACTGCAACCGCAAGGAGAGGAAGCAGCCGGTGCGAAGACCAATTTGGGGGTTGAGGACGGTGGGGTTTTGGTCGAGATGCGAAAAAGAAAGAAGCGGGTTAAAGACGGTGAGAAGATGCCGAGGGAAAAGATTGGGGCAAACAAAAAGTGGAAGACCAAGGCGAAGATGACGAATAAAAAGAAGAAGCTCAATGTGGAGATCCGTGCTGCGAAAAAGGTACGTGGCAATTTGTTGGATGCAGCACACTTTACCCTCGCGCTTTCTGTTTGGCAATAATTCCACTTGCTCACTCTCGCACTAGGCACAGTATCTGCCTGTAGCTGTCAGCTCTCCGTGGATATTGCATCTTTTTATCATCATTAATTCTCGCTATGTTTCATGCGCATCTGAAATGCTTAATCGTGTAATGAGGTCAGAATAGGAAAACCATGTGAGCATTTGGGAAATATCGATCTTTGCTGGATTCGGGTGAATAGTGCTGCTGATATTTCATGTAGGAACCGATTCTATTTGGGGACGCCAGTAGCTGGAATCGTCTAGGACTATGGTTAGCGAGTGATGTCCGGCAACCCATTGACATGGATCGTTGTTTGCATTCCAGATTTGCACATACCGTTAATCGACGTTTTGGGTCTAGGAAGTAACCTGAAGGTAGTGCGAGACCATTTCTCGTCCTCTCCTCTTGTCCTTTCATCCGTCGAGGGCGATGACCTGAAGAGAGCTTTTAGGTTTTGTACTTGGTCCAACGTTGTGGTCTGGTGACTTTCATGGAAACAACTTCTTGCGTTATTTTGGACTGTTTCAGATATACTTGTCCAGCATGTAGTTGTGAAGGGTTCAATTGAAATCATTTACCCATCTGATAGGGTTCAGTTTGATGGTTTAAATGTAGTAAAATTAAGACTGAATAAGCAAGACATAGATTTATCAATTCTAAGAGAAAAACTGGAGGATGTAGTCAGGTGTATTGGATCTACTTTCCAATGTTCTGGTGAGGTTGACATAAAAAAGTATTCATAAAATCCAAGCTGGTTGATTCAGGTGGAGTTGAATGTTGGAAGTTTTCTTTGATCATCAGGTGTCAAATAACAACACCACTGTTTAACCAATCATACTTTATAAACCTTTGTGTTGGATGGTTAAAAAATAATATATATAGATAGTTTTTGTTTCCAGGATGAGAACATTGAAGTGAGGGTGTAGAAATATTAGAAAAGATATTAAAACACTCATTAGTGACATTCTCTGAAAATAAGGGCAAATTATCTGTCTTTTAATTTTGGAGACTGTTTCCCTTGGTTTGAGAAAAATATGGGTAAATCTCCCAGAGTCGAGGTGTGGTGAAAACTACTAGCTGTTGGGGGCTCCACATGTCAGTTAGTGGTTTCCCTAGTAATCTGATGTTGCTTATTGCATCTGCTATTACTCATCCTACATTACTCCATGCTTGAAGCTCAATATAGACCCGATGTGTTCTGAAACTGCATAGTTGTTTAAGACATTGTCGAACACCAACAACCAACAGCCATAGGGATAACTGTTTGATTTGCTTGTGAATTGGTTGTATTAAATCCAAGTGATAAATTGTGGCTCAATCAAATTGGTGCTGACCTAGAGTATTGTTGCTCAATGTTCTTCAAGATTTCATGGAAGCTTTCTGGATGCATCTGTAGTGATCATCCATCAGCTACATATGAAAATATCAGGTTTTCGACACTGATATGAACAAAAAAAGAGAAGATAGTTTAGTACTTTTGTTACCCTACCTCATGGTTCTTATGAGTAAAAACATAATGGGAACACTATTTAGACACCAACATATAAGTTCCTCAAGATCAGCCCTTTGCTTTAAGATATGCCATCATTGATATATTATAATTTTAGAAAAGCTGCGGTATAAGATCTTAGACAATCTATGAAGTTGCTTGTGCAAACTAGCATGTATAATATATTACCAAATATACCTCTAAGGTGATAGCTGATTGTCCCACCTCCAAGCATTTATGGGCATCTACCAGGCTCTCCAAACAGAAAACTTTGCAACCTGATTTATAGTTATATAGCACATCATGCTTCATTTTGAATTTTTTACATACAGTTGTCCACATTTGAACAGTGGCTCTCTATTTGCACGACCCTTTCTAAATCCAAGGCAATTCATAGGCCCTCTGGATCCTATCTGATGGTTGATGGGTCTTGGCTGCTTGACTACAACTTGTTTCCTTGCACTATGGTTTCAGGCTATTGAGTCAGAGATCTAGTTTCTCTTTTCTTCTTGGCTGTCAAAAACTGTATCACAGGTCGATTTAGGTTGTACTTGATAGGAACTGAAGATCCATCTCTAAGGAAGGTTTACATATTACCATAGTCTTCATAGTCTCCGAGTCATCTACTATCTTCTGCTGAGGAACAAAGTTTAGACTGTTGTACAACACTGCCGCTCCTAGTGATTGGAATTCATCTTTGTTTTTAGTTTGCTGATCTGGCTCAGTATTGGCTTACTTTTTCATATATATTATGGACTTGAATATGTTTCATCAAAGAAGTTTAGGCTCAAGGGGAATGGAGGTTTGTGTTATTAGTATTTAGTTAAGTATTATATGCAACCCCTTAATGTAAAAGAAAAAATGAAATAAATTCAAGAAAAAAACCTTTCAGAAAAATCATTGCACAGCAAAAAAACTCGTATCGAATCATCTTTCTCTAGTCCATACAACTGCCTAGGATTTTTGTCATCAAACCGGAGGCTTACAAATGTTATGAAGCTGAACATGTTTAGCACCAGACAGGTGAAAGACAGTATTTCCCTAGTTGTTCGAAGAGTTAACGTGAGAAACTGAAGAAAGAAGAGGGAATATTTCTCATCGTGGTTGTACTGGTGACCAGCTCTCCACACTGCAATATGTATCTAAAATAATTGATTTTCTGCTATCTCAGTCCTTGAGAGAGGAAGACACTGCCCAATGAGATATCGTTGTTCCACTGAAATACTGAATGGGTTTGTGAATGTCATATGAGTAGACTTTTAGATACAAAATTATTAATTTAAAATTTGAAAATGTACAATTTTTAATGTCAGTTAATATTCAAGAATACATTTCTGGCAAGATATAAAAATTCAGATTGATATCTCATCCAGTATTGTTAAAGTGTGATCGTGTTCCATCTTGCTGTTGGCCACCCGATTAGACCACTGTGATAACCACTATTTCACACCATTGATGAATAAAACTCCGCACAAATTATGTGGTTGGAGATGTTACTTAACTGAAATCTTAATTATAGTTTTCTTATCTCATTTTAGATGTAGTGCCATGTGAGAAGAATCTTGTTTTTGCTAATTTTCCTCCATGATATATTTGAGTTGACAGAGTTGATCAGTTTGTTTAGTTGATATGTCTTCATGACACAATATATTGATTTGTCAATGTAATTTGTGGTAAACCTAATTGATATATTTTCAGAGCATTGTTAAATTTTTGGTATACCCTGATACCTGATCCTTATCTTTATAGGATGAGTATATCTAAGCTATTTGATTATTGTCTAGAACATATTGGGTTAATTTTAAAACTTGCCTTTTTGCTTTAAAACCTAAATGCAATTCAGGAATTAATACTAAGATTCTCCTAAGGGAAAAGATGTAATCCAATAATTGATTGCTTCCTGTCTATTGTAGAACCAGAAGTGTGCACTTACTTTTTTTTAGTATCCTCAACTTTGCCTCTCCTGCTTAATGGCTCGAGTGTCCAGAAGCATTAGATTGAACTACCTCTGTCATTGTCTTCTCTCCCAGGAGAACTGTAAGCTCAAAATGTCGTCTCTAGTTGATATGAGCAAAATCCTCAAGAGCAAAAGGTACGAGAAGAAGTTTGGAAAGATGCATAATAGGCTTGTTTGTAACCAGGCAAAGCCAGCAACAATCAGAACTTTGCTAAAGAAACATATATTCAGATTTGTTCAGACGTCGAAACTGATATCCAGGAACCAGGAGGCAGCAAGGGCACCTCCTGTACATAGTATTTTCAAGAAACAAAAACGAGGCACTTCCACCAAGAAGAGAAAGGCAATAGAAAATAAAAAGGGCAGTGATCTTGTAGAACATTGTTGTGAATCAGCCAAACAACTGAGTTTCTCTGGTAAGAATGGTAAACTTGTGCATGGCAGAAGTTGTTTGCCTTTAAAGCTGCCACACTTGCAAACCCTTTGCAAAATGGTTTCTGATGTCTTGGCTGCATCTTCAACTATGGATAATTTGAATAAATGTCCATCTGTCACTGAGGGAGCTCACTGGAACTTGAATGACACAGAAGGTCAGCTGAACTTAAATGACAATGGAGTTGTTGCAAGTAATGGGGAGACAAGTGAAACTTCCTCAGAAGAGCAACTCGATGGTACTTTTGACCATCCTACTCCTTCGAACTCGTCAGTAACAAAGAGATCCCCTTTGGCTGAACTCGTGGACTTAAACCATCCAGTGAAGGATCATGTTGATTTAAATGGTGTTGGTTTGGATGGATCCACTATGACACCTACTCCCATGTACTCAGGTGACCTGAAGGTTCCTGGGCCCATGAATAAGTGTGCGCTTGCTTCAGATCCTGGAACCTCTCAAATACACAGTTTTTCTCCTATATTCAATCATACAAACCATCTGCATAATCCCGGAAATGCTGTTTCAGTTTCTGATACAAAAAGTGCACTGAGCCTTACCAGAAAACAAGACCAGCACCATTGGGTTTCTTGTCTGGATCAAAGCTACTTGGATTCAATTTACATGCAAACTCGTATGATGGATCCAAGAAACAACACATGTATTGGCTTTCCAGAATATCGATCAATGTATCATATACCGAAAGATATGTTAATTAGCAATCATTCTTCGGTTGGATCAAAAGCTATTGTGGAGCCATCGCCAGGGCTGGGGCCTGTTTGGAGGGTCAATGACACCGAGGAGGGTTTTATTGGATTGCCTCTTAATTCACAGGGAGAGCTTATCGAATTGAACCCAGGCACGAGGTATGGATTTTGTGAGGTCGATGAAATGCCAAACTCAGCCTTGAATTCACTTCAGATTCTTCCATCTTCCACTCATGTTCAGCCCCAGTCTAGCCATGTTAGGATGAAAGGCAAATATCCGTTTGTGTCATCATACCATGACGATGAACAAAATTGGTTCTTGAAACAGCACTATCCTGCCAGAAAACTAGTGATATCTGAATCGGGTTCTGTTGCATTGCAAGGTGTTGAGAAAGTGAGGTGTCAATCCCATGACGGAAGACCTCAATTGTACCACTGCGATGCAAGACAAGTGGAATTATTTTGTTCTGGGTGCAAAGATCATTTGGTAACAGAAAATTGCTTTGATAGGATGAGGCTTTATTCAGAGAAGGATATGGAGCTAGGGTCTCGTCCTGCTATCCAACCTACTATGCGCTTGATGGGTAAAAATGTCACAGTTGGTAGCTGCAGCAAAGAACACCAAGGATGTAATGATAAGGATTGGACTGACAAGGAAATGGTAACTACAAGCAACCCCACTATAAGGGAGCATGACAGACCTATTTTGAAGCGGTGGCATGAAGAGGAATGCATTAGGCAAGAAGAATACGAGGCATCAAGGAATATCCCTTTTAGTTCATTGGACGTCCCTTCAGACAATTGTCATGCATCAGCAGATAAGCTTACATCTAACCATATGCATCATGGTTTTGGACCTAACTGGATGTTGAATTATGGAAATCCTTCAAGTCGTGGAGAACATGGTTTTCATATTGATTTTTCTCAAAGTCCAGTTCCATGCCAATCTTTTCAGAACAGAGCATCCCACTCTGCAGTCCATAGTACCACACAAGCTCAATCTGTTGATATGGGACGAAGTAAAACACTTCGGGCATCCCACCCCCGAAACTTTTGCCCGCATATGCTTATAAATTCAACCCATTGCAAGCACAGTCAAAATGTGTCTTACGGTATTCCATCGACTACCCATCCTTATATTAATCATGTGCCTGTCCAGACATCAAGTGGTCATTCTTTACGAAGATTCCCCCATTGGCTGTTAAATGCAACCAATCAGCATCCTTTAGTTCCTTATCATCCATCTGCTGCATGTCAGTCCTGCATGATACCAGCAAATAGAGGTTTCCCTCATTCTTCTCCATATACAAAGAGTGTAATAGCTTTCCCTTCAGGTAATAGCAACAGTTCTCAAACTTATGGCTCATACACTCCCATGTCTGTAGTTTACCCTTCTTCTACTGCAACCTTAACAAATAATTTCAGTTCAGCATCCTCAACCTATGGAGACAATAGCAAAACCACAGATGGCATGCGATTCAACTTTGCTCATGTTAAGAGTCAGGATCATTCCAAAAGATTTAGAAAAAGATCTGCAGCCAAAGATGACAAAATTGTGGAAAGAGTGAAGAGGCCTAACCTCAAACTGCAAGAAGACTTAAATGCTCCTACATCATTGAGAAGAGAAGGATTGAATGGAGACCAAAAAGATAATATAAGAGAACCAGAAGTCAATGTTTGTGTGAGTAGAACAGTAGATGTCTGTCTTCCAGTTATTGATGATGGGAGGGATAGTGTGGCAATTTCAGATGGGTCCTTGCCCTTAAAATCTAGTCATCTGAGGCCAGGACCTGTCAAACTTAGTGCAGGAGCAAAGCATATACTGAGGCCCAATGGAAGTATAGATCAGGAAAACTTCCGACCAATTCACTCGACTGTACCTTTTACGCAAGAAGCTAGTGCTGCCAAAGATGGTTCACAGGAGAAAGCAGCAAAAGTCTACAGGTTTTAGACTTGAATTGGGGATTCACTACCAGGCAAAGAGATCTTGATGACATTTAAAACCATGTAAGATGGAACTTTCTTTGGCTAGCAAGGATATCTTTGATGATTGGTAGGTACTGTTTTCTTTTGTCACTTTCTTATGATATGGAAGAAAAAATTTTAATAATCCTCTTTTTTAACTTAATCACATGCAATATAGTGTCCAAAATATCACTTTATTATTTTCTCAAGTATCGTTGACAATGTTGTACTATTTTTTGGTTAGTCTGCTTGTGAGTTTCTCCTAATTTTCAGTATTCTGTAGTCATGTATTCCAAGTTTTGATGTTTGATTGTGCTCTCAGAACTATCCACATTAAATACGATCGATTATCTTGTGCCTAAAGAAAATACTATTTAATTTTGCTTGCTTTATGTGCTAATATAGTGCTTTTCAATATTCGTAGTGAAAATTTACTTGGTTCGTATTTGTCGTGAACCGAAAGACCATGCGGCCTATGTGTTCTGGCTTACTTGTGCCGTTGACAATTATGTGGTTGATATGAAAGCTTTTGGTGTCTTTTGTTTGTTGTCTGTTATCTTTTTAAGGTTTAATAGGTCGGAGTCATGCTTCTCTTGATCTGTTTGGTTATCTCCAAATGATGATTGATGTCCTCATCCACATGGTTCCACAGCCTAACACAGAGAATCTACTTAACTAACATACACATTTTATTTTTGCAGGAGTGTCTCATCTTCATACTTAGAGCATGGATCAACTTTTTTTTATTTTTATGGATCTTAACACATTTTTCATTGTCCCAAAGCATTGAATGAAAACATAAATAAGAGAAAAAGAATGGGAAAAGGCATTTTTGTGTTTCATGTATTTTGACTTGGATTATGTTGGAAGATGCAAATTTTTGTGCTTGCTTGATTAAAGTTGTCAGGTAGTATTGCTAATGAACCAAATCATATAGTAGCTCTTGTTCATATTTATCATATCATATTAGAGTGATGGCAAAAATGTTTGGGAATGACCAGGTTGAGGATGTTCTCTGCTCTGTTTTTCTCTATACGCATGGTTGCCAATGTAATTTCTTTTCCATTTGTGGATTTTTTTTAATGAATATTAGTAAAAGGTCTTGGCATCATATTAGATCAAGATGTCATACTCCTGTCCGGTATTGTGAAGAATCAGTTCCATGATTCTCTGTGCCCAGGATCTTAAATTCTCAAGAACAGTTAGCAATAGCTGTTCCTTGCTGGTGCTGGTTTTATATATCTACACAAACGGATGGAGAAGCTCCCTTGGATGTCATAGGGCCACTGCACCTGGTAATCTGATGTCTACCGTCCTTATCGGAGAGCTTGTGTGAGGAAGAAACTATTGGCAAAGCTTAGAGTTGGCTCCTTTGTGTGGAGAACCGAATCATTCAAACCAAGTAATGACTGATTTCCTGAGATGTTGATGCGGTGTGCACAGGAGCAGAGAGGGGCGGCATCATCGGTGGGATGCGCTTTGTGGATCCGGTCGGGGCGTTTATTTGTCACTTATGTGGAGACATGAATCATTTCTGTTTGTTTTCAGATATTAAGGAAGGAGGAGGGGTTGTTTAGGAACAAGGTAGAGCGAGAATGTGCTTTCTATGCTTTGGTTGCTGTTCTTTCATTGTGTATCCTTGTTAGTTTACGAATTACCAATTCTCCCTATGAGCAGAGGGAAAAGAGTTGGTTTCATTCATGAGGACAATCTCCACCGTTTGGTGATTATTCGAGAACAACTTTTGGCACCGGAGAACTTAACACTTTCCTTGGTGCGATGCATCTGTACTTGGTGCCAAGCAGGGTGGGCACGGTGCAGGTTGAAGTATGGAGCCAACAAGCGGCGCAGGTATCGCTCCTGCTTGCCCCCCCCCCCCCCCTTCCATATCGATGCCTCTCGTATGTTCTACCCCAGGGGTGGGTGCTTCGTCGGTGGTCTCGGTCTCGGTCTCGGGCTACACCGACATCACACGCGCAACCAAGGTAACTTACTTACGGTGCCAACCGTGGGCCAGAGGTCTCTCAACGCTCCTCCATATGTTCTTGCTGCCTTCGGTCAATTCCCTCTCTCATCGAGCCCTCGGAATCATTTGCGATCCGTGACTACTGCCGGACACCTTACATCCCTCGAACCACTCGTGCCGTCATGGCGCCAACTTTTGCTTCCGGGGAGAGAGAGAGAGAGAGAGACAGAGCTTCCTGACGCCATTGATGCGATCTGCATGGCCAGCCCCCGCACGACCCTCGACTTTCATGTTATGCTCTCTGCCGCCCGTCCTTTGTCTCCTCCTGTCCACTTCCATTCTCCGGTCATCGTAGTACGCTGGCTGCTTCGTACCGTCGTATAATAAATCTGGTGGGGCCCTCCCTTCTGGGTTTATTCGAACGACTGTCTTGCTGATGTATGAAGATATGCCTTGCGGTGCTGCAATACAATATTCGTTCGCCGTCTCGCTGGTTTCCCTTCCTCACACAAGTACGTGTGCGCTGTGGACTTCTCCGCGTCCATCAGGCTCTCCAGGATGGCCCATTCCGGTCCTCGACTCGGTTAACTGCGTCCTCGGTGAAGCAAGCATCCATCCTTGTCGATCCGGCCGCCTACTCAATGAGAGGGAGCTGTCCTGCCAGACTGGGACCATCGGAATCGGTCAACATGTGCAGTGACAGATTGTAATGGTGGGAAAGCAACCGGACGCACAAGTCGTCGCCGGGCTCGCACTCACTGCCGTGGAAGGTATGCGCTTATGAATGCTTTCGCAGCACCGTCTTCAGATGCGCTGGTGCGGGTTAAGATCGATGGCGACGGCACCGAGGAGAAGTAGGGGAGGAAGAGAAGGGGGGGAGAACCCACGCACGTGGTCGAGTGCGTGCTTGTCGTCCGTTTCCTTTCTCTTTCGTCGTGGGGCCGCGGCCAAGAGTGCCCTCCGATGTCTTCTCCTACTTTCCACTTCCAAGTTCCACCACCACCACCTCCTCCTCCTCCTCCTCCTCCTCAGCATTTGGCATGCACCTGTGCCGTAGCTATCATGGCCAAGGAATAAAAGGTGAAGATGGCATTCGTATACTCGTTGCAACCCCAATAGATATCACTACTGCTTTTTCTTCTTTACATATCCCACCTAGCCATCTAATTAAGACATCTATGGGCTCCTCCTTTAAGGGGTTTGATTTAGTTTCTTGATTTGATCTAGCAGCTCTTGCTCTCGCTTAATCTGGTCTATCATCCGGCTGAAGGAATTCATCATGTATGCCGGTCCTCCGTCATTCTTAACCTTTTGCTTTGCCGCATGCCGGAACTTGGTTGTCGGAACAACACATCCACTCAAGAGTTCCTTCTTCCGATATAAGAAAAAGAACTGCCTGCACCAAATCAGAAAACATCTATGATCATATGAGAGCAAAAATATCACTTCTTTCGCCAAACGAAAGCAACTTCTTTCCAAAGAGGTCGTAATTACGATCATTGCACTTGCAGGTTTCAGACGTTTCATGTGTTTATCACCGACTTGGAGATCTCATTCGATCATCGTTTCGTTTTCGATCGAAAATGATGGTAGTTGGAAGAACAACATCGTGAGATTCTGAATTACTTTCTTCGTCGGAGAGCACAAGTTATATATTGAGAGAAATCCTTAAAGACTGCCATTAACTGCATGACACTCGTTTCAAAATTTTCTTTCAACTGAGAGCAGATCCTATAGGTCCATAATCAAACTCTAAATCTTCTAATTCCTAAAACTTACCTTCGTTACCAGCAAAAGCTAATGCTAAAATGAAGTGTAAGAATGAGTTCTTAAAAACGAGTGCAAACTTTCCTACCAAAACGTGTCTGTCTACCTTTTCTTTTCTTTCCTTAAATACAATTATTGCTTATTTTCTATTACACAAATATCATCACTCTTAAGGTTACAGAGACACAAAAGTTGATGCAGAATAGCTCATGGGATCAGCAAAAATGGCTGGTGGAATAAGAGCAGAGTATGTTTGTTGCATGAAACATGGATGACTGGTCGCTACATTTTCTTTATTTCTGATATTTTAGGTACAGAATGTCTGCAAGTTCTTTTGATTAGAATACATGACTTTCTAATGGAATCATGATAAAGTTTATTTGGCTTACAAATAAGAACACTTGTAATGTAACCAATGAATACAAGAGCATTGACTCTTTATCAGTAGCAAAAGAATGACATGGATGAAGATTTTACTCTGTTCGAATGCTGCCATGACTCGACACTCGTGTTCTGACAATTTACAAGCATTATTCTTTCTCGGTTGCTTTCCAATTAGATACATGATTATGTTGGCAAAACTATGCATCGATGATCTATGGAGATACCTCTGCTGATCACCTTTGTATATGCACTCACCGTCTGCGGAAAAGGCTTCTAGTTTTGGTCTCAGTTTGATCCTCAGACAGCGATGGGGATATCTTCATCAATCCTCGATCAAAGGATTTGCCTCTAAGAATATTCATGGAGGAATGTGTTCTCATCATCACATGCAGTCGTTCTACGAGAAGCTTTCCTATCGATCAGTGACCGGTTTGGAACACCCCGCAGATCTTTTCCAACAGCTTGCAGCACTGCTGAAACATGCACTCACCTTCCTTGGGAGATCGAGGCCCACAGGTATCCGGTGTCGTGTCTTTCCCGGTGTTGTGGTGCTGAAAGTGTCGGCCGAATCTACCAGCTGATCGGCGGAGGAAAATTTTAGGTGCGATCGAGGCTACGGTAGGAGAAGATTTTTATGGTGGGACAAAGTTGTAATAACATGAAGCTCTTATCTAGATTTCGATTGCCGATGGGACAAAGTTGGCGTGCGTCATCGATTCGCATCTCTTAGCGGATGGGAAGTTTGGTCTCATCTGAGAGAGTATTTTGGTTTGGGTAAGCTGGATTTCTATGTAGTGTAATTTGTTTGGGTCACTCGTCATACAACGAGCAATCCTTGTAGGAAAACCGGATAAGAGCTGAGTGTAATTGTAGCTTAAGAGAGGGCTTAGTGTCGAAGTGATGCTTATTTTTGCAACAGAGATAGCATTGGACCAGAATCGAAGCCCTTCGAGATCGAAATCGAGGCTAGATTTTGGGAGATGGAAGGCAGGATTGGCATCGGAGTTGCCTTCTTTTGTCTCGGAAATGGAAGAGGAGTGCACAAAAGTAAACTGGGAAGGAGGGAGGGAGGGAGGCTAGTGCTTGAAGTTAGATGTCATGTTCCTAATTAATTTCCCACCACTAGAGATCAAAGGTGCATGCATATCTTCGATGATGGAGAGAGGAGGGAGGGAGGGAGGGAGGGGGGAAGAGAAGAGACCAAACGCAAGAGCCAAAAGGACAATGGAGCCCCCTCTCCCTCTTCTCCCTCCATGTCGTGCGTCCTTGTTTTCTGGGTGCAACTCAGTCCCAAGTCCGATTCACACCCTTCCCCCACCCCGTCGAATAGGAGCTTTCGCCATGTCCCTTTCCCCTTTCTCTCTCCAGCCCCCATCCATCACGCAGTCCATGAAAGCTGAAACCGATGCCGATGGATGCCACACTCAATAACCAGTCCTTGGTCATTCATTTGCTGGGACGCTGTATAGGACCCATGGATTGAGATAAAAAGAGTTCATTGTGAGGGGGGAGAGGAGTAGAAGGAAGGAAAGGTTGGTTTGTGAAGTCCATAAATTCCCTCCCTCAGATCCAAAAGTACTTCCCTCTCACCATTATAAACGTCCCTCTGAATACCCAGGAAAGAGGGATAGCAGAGCTTCTAGTTACGATCGCCGTTCCCTTCTCTCCTCAAACTTTCTTCTTTGCCTCCGCCTCCGCTTTCCTCCTTTTACTACTGGTAAGTGAAGAAAGCGCTGGTCCGCTCCCGGTTGATGCTTATATTCCCGTTGCCTTGTCTCAGAACAGCGAAGAGGAGCCACACTGGAGCCACCGGCGAGGATGGGTCGAGGAAAGATCGAGATCAAGAGGATCGAGAACACGACCAACCGGCAGGTGACCTTCTGCAAGCGCCGCAACGGGCTCCTCAAGAAGGCCTACGAATTGTCGGTTCTGTGCGACGCCGACGTCGCGCTCATCGTCTTCTCCAGCCGCGGCCGTCTCTACGAGTACGCCACCAACAGGTGACCCATACGCCTTGATCTCCTTTTGGATCCACGAGTGTCAGCTTCTTCCTCGACTCTCAAGCATCATCAACTCTTGGATCTTCTTCTTCTTTTGCCATGTTATTCTTTGCCAGTCCGTATCTGGCTTCTCCTTTGATCTACCTTTGCTTCGCCCTAATGGCACCAAAAGCCTCCTCTTTTATCTATCTACCTTCAATTCTTTATCTTTCTCTCGCGTGTAAAAGAATAGAAAGGCAGCAAACTTGGGAAACTGGTGGATATTTCTTGCACCCTGTGAAGAAGGGCTGCTGGATTGCAGCTTCTTTCCACTATCTTGAAAGGAGAAGGACATTTTAGCCTCTTAGATCTTCATTTCTTTTTTGGTTTCGGTCTCCGAAGATGAGATCCCAACTGGTTCTAACAGTGGGAAGGCCATGTTCTGTGCAGGTGAGATGTGTAGATAGATTTAGTACAGCCGAGCTCATATTTGCTCGGCTGGTGGTCCTCTTCTTTCTGTATTTGTGATCTTTGCTTTCTCTAAGGGTTGGTGGTATTATATGGTGTATCGGCTTCTGTTATAAAGGTTCTGTTTCCTTTCATTGCTTTGTTGGGTGGAGGCATCGATCTGAGGAAGCCACAGCAGTTGGGAGTTGCAGTAGGAATAGCAAAGGGAGAGGCCTTAGTATTGGCTGTGTGTTTGTGTTGGGGCATATGTGACCTCCTCCCACCCCTTTTAGATCTAAGCTTTGCCACTTCCTCTCCCTTTTCCTCCCTTTAACCCTTTCCTTACTCTCCTGCTGCTGCTTCTGCCGCTGCTGCTCCACCTCCTCCCCCATCTCTCATCTCTCTCTCTCTCTCTCTTTGCGTATCATCAACCATCAGTGCTCGAAAGCCTGCTGTAAGAGCTGTCATGCTCTCATTAGCCCATGCCTCAACCGGTAGTAGCGCAAGCCTTGCCACACGTCACAGCGCTCTTTAGGGTTCCTCTTCAGTGAGTTAGGGTTCTTGTTTCATTTCTTTCCCCATTCTACCCTCTCTGAGCACAGATTTAGATTAGGTTTCAGGGAACAGTAAACAAAAGACCGATACTAAGACAGTTTTAGAGTGAGAGAGAGAGAGAGAGAGAGAGAGAGAGAGAGAGAGAGATACAGAGATGGTGTACGGAGGACTGAGCAACCAATGGGGTGAATGTACTGTGTGTTGGGTTTGCATGGGAAGTATAAAAAGCAGGTCAGAAGAATGCTCACAAGAAGACCAGAGAGAGAGAGAGAGAGATAGAGAGAGAGAGGGAGGGTGTGTGTGTTGCAGGATGGAGAGCACCGAGGTGTTCGGATAAAAGAGGGAACGGTCGTATTTACACGGGGAGTAAAGGGACCGAAGACCCCATGGAGCTGAGGGAAACGAAGCGGCCAATCATGTCGTGGGATCGCGAGCAAACGTGGCAGAGAAGGACCAATGGGATCCTCGAGGAAACTAAGGTTGGAGGAAAGGTAGGTGTAAGAAGACAGGAGCAAAGATGGGGCTTTGGAAATCGGAGCAGCCTCTGTTGCTCTTCGGTTTGCCTGTCTTCTGCAATGTAGTAGTTTATATGGGTTTGCTTTTTACGTTTGAAAGGATGGGGGAATGAGTTGGAACATTTACATTGAAAAGACACACATGGAATAATATATTCGTTCTGATATCTGTTGACTTGTACATCTGGTGTGGTCTTGTTGCACGAAAGATGCTCAAATTTATGGCTTCCTGGGTTCTTTTCAGATGAAAAGATTGGAATGAACAATATTAGATCATTCATAAAGCTTATACTTTTGTTATTTTACACAATTGTTTGCTGAACTTGCTTTTCTTCAAGACCTGCTTAGGGTTTTTGAATTCAGCAATAGGCCTCACAAATTATTCTAGGAACTGCTGTTCACCAAATGTTTAATGCCCTCAATACATGTGATGTTTGTCATATCATATGATCTTTATTTGCAATTCAAATATGTGGTGGGAAATGAGAGAAAATATGTTTCAAACAGAATACTTTCTCATCAGAGCACATTTTTCAACATCAGATTGATTTCTTGTTTATGAAGCTTAAATTATGCTATGTTTCTTTTATATGCTTATAGCAATTTTTGGTCCCTTTTATTGATTGGAGGCAGGTGGTTTATCAACTTTCTTGGTCTTGGAATGTGTTGCATTCTCTTGAGGATTGTGCAAGTTCAAGTAAAAGGAAGTTTTTTCATCTAGTCTTTTGCCTATTTGATGAATTAGCTTTCAGTTTCCTTATGGGAACTGCGCAATCCATTTTTCTTTCCCTGAGTAGACTAGCAGATGTATGTCAACAACCTCTAGCAGTTCCAAAATGTGTGAGCACCCTGGTTGAAGGTTTGGAGAAGTAGTTGTAGTTAAAGATGTCTTCATAAAAATATGAGTGAGAAAGTGGCTCTGCAAATGGTTTAAGAGTTTCAGATAGCTGGAAAGAATGAGGTAGGATTCATAGAAGGAAATCAGGAAAAGGAAACTCCAGTTTAGAATGATAGCTTGAAAGAAAATAGATTTTCTGATAAATAACTTTTAAAAATATATGTTTCCGATTTCTCTTTCGAACAATAGTACCATAAGGCATATCTTACTCGATCGCTTGTTCCTGGTCATTCTAGCTATCTCTTGCATTATCAAGAATTATTATGCAAACATGCTTTAGATTTTATAAAACCTCCTCTCATTTTTCCAAGACTTACTGCTTATTCATGACATGAAGCAGCATGACAACATGTTTTGTTATGAAACATGCACATCTTTCTGAATCAAGATCTGGGTCTTCAAAGTGATGCATGCATACCTTTTGTAATCAATCAAAATTCTGCAGCAGCAATATGAATTCTTGTCTATTCATTGCAAGTTTTCTGGGTAGCAGTTATTGCTTATCGAATAATCCTTGAAAGGATTTTATGTGAATTGGCATCCTGTTTATACAAAATTTATCATCCTTGTTAAAAGCAAAGTTGTCGTTTGAGTGCAGTGTGAAGGCAACTATCGATAGGTACAAGAAGGCATGCAATGGTACCACCAACACTGGATTTGCTTCGGAAGACAATGCTCAGGTAATTCTTCCTTGTTAACATCATCAATTACAGCGCACAATTCCTCACCATTATAAGATTGGAATAGTACTGTATCAACAAATCCTAGATTTTAAAAACCAAAATCTTAATTGCTAGCATGCAACAGATGCAATACTTCTTGAGAGTTAAATTGCTTACTTCATTGTTACCTAATTAATTCATCGGTGTCAGCTTAATTCGTCACTAGCTCTTTATGCATTCCCTACATAGTCAAAACCACTTAGAGATGTAAGGGACCTAAGAAATGGTTAATATTGTCTTACCCTGCCATTACCATGACTATCTATCATGCATTCTATCAGCAAATCCTTCTGTCAAATTGATCGAGTTCATTTATTAGCATTATTAACGAGCATCCTGCATAGCATGATAGCTGTGTTTTGTGTCTCTAAATTGTTTTTGTGTGATATTTTATCTTTTCGTGGATGTATATACACAAAATGACATGATTTATGTACGCTTATTATCTATTCACAGAAGGAATAAAAGATTAATGGAGTTGGCTAATATTATTTTTCTTCCAAAGGCGCTGGAATCACAATCTTAAGCATTCTGTCATGATCAAGTAACAAGAAATCAATAGAATATTCAAACCCAAAAAGAGCCAAATATTGGAAAATGATAATCATAATCGTTTGAACTATGTTATTTTCATTTCATAGACCGATTCTGAAAAAAAAAATTTGTTTGAAATTCTTTTTACATATTTTCCCTAGGTTGGAAACTTTATTTTCTTTCATCAAGGCTTGTAGTACTTGAATAGGATTTCCACAAGTTGAAGATAAGCTAACTACTTTAAGCAAATGTGTCCACATGAATTAAACATCCTATTTTACTACCATCATAAAATCTTGCACAATCTCTACTGTCTTGCAAAATCGATAGGCAGTGTAGTTGAATTGGCATTAGGAGTGTATGCACATTCTGAGGTATAACTTCTTCCGAAAAGAATGATATATATGACTACAATAAAATCTGCCCTTGTATATCACTCAATTTATGAAGTTGTTTGTGTTCCATTAAACTATAGGCGTTGACACTTGACATGGGTCTCAGTCCTATAATTTGTGCTATATTTACTCATTCAGGGAACTCTCTTCGAGCTATATCATGCAATATCCTGTATTATTTTATGCTCCATGCTGCATCATGTAGCCAAACAATTCATCTGATGCGCGATAGAAGAGACATTACATTTTCATCTCTTAGGCCACGATAACTTGAGATGCATTTGCTCACGTCGCCTTTTATGATTCCTATTATCTTTTTTACCACAATGTTTGTAGATAATGCACAAGCAGCTCTTGTCTCATGAACAACAATTCTACCCTCTTGAAATTTTTGACAAATTACTAGGAGAGTCTGCTTCTTGGTGCATTAAAGAATCTTGTTGTGCTTAATTCTTATCGGTTTGGTATCACCGTCGTCTTACTTATGCATACAAAAGTAGAAGTGGCAACTGAAGTATTAGTTATAAAAACTACAAACTATCCCTTGGCCTAATTAGCTACATTGACAAGTTGATAGTCTAAGAAGTTCAATGTCTGGAAAGAGTATGACTAATCTATTAAAATTTTTCTATGGTCTTTAGGAACAAGCAATGTTTACAGTTAAGTGTTCTCTTCCTGCATGCCTTTTTCCATCAGTGCTTCATGATAACATAAGAAATAATTCACTCCAAAACCATGTAAAAGCTAAAACTTTTTTGTTCCTGTTTACTGTGAAGGTTTATTGTTCTTTCGAGTGTTTAGTGAATGGTTTTACTTGCAAATCTCTCACTAGTCTAAAAGAAAATTACTTTAAACTGACATGAATATAAAGATTACTTAATTGAAATGATCATGTGCTGATAATAATTCAAGTAGTCTGATCCAAGATTTTTCTCTCAAGTGCATGTCTGACCAAACACATATATGTTGGCCATGGTTAAAAACTGCAAACCTAGGAAAGAATTAAGCATTTACTGAATTTCTCATCCTCACAATGTATACAAAAAATTACAAACAAATCGAATCCAAGTTTATATTCCCTCCTAGGACAAAACAACACCTTTTCCCTTTATTAAACTAAAAGCCTGTAAATCTTCAAATTGCTTCTCTTGGTGAGAAAAATTACTGTATACAATGTTTAGGCATGTTTAGCGTCCTGCGTAAATCAGTGTAGTATTATTATAGAACCTTTGATGTATTATTTCTTCCTTCTGGGAGGTTTAGAGTGGATCAGTGCCTTTAGGGAGCTCAACTTTTGATCTTGAATGAGGCTTCCTGACATGTAGCTCTGTAAGTATATATTCCAAGAAGAATCTAAGGAAACAAATTAATCATGATAAATACCATGATTGGATTCTTACTGCTCAAAACAAATTATTTTGGGAGGTGCATGAGAGATGTTGCATGCTAAGAAGAGGATATCGATAGAGCACTTAGCTTTACAGCTAGACGGATACTCATCCTGAAAGTTGAGGAACAAGGACAGTACATTAGTCTGGCAAATTTCCAAGGACACATGTTAAAGAATGATTACAGTATGGGAGCACTAAATAAAGGAGCTCACAAGAATCTTACACCTCATTGAAATATAAGGATCATAGATAGCGTCGTCCGTGATCTGTGTCCAGGATATTCTTTCTTAATTTGGAACATGAAGAAACAGTAGGACTTGTCAATGAAGCACCTCATAATTAGAGTTTCATTTGTAGATTGATGAATCACCCAATATGAGGTGTCGAAACAATTAAAGCATTGTGTTAATACCCTAGAGGATAGATTGAATGAACAAGCAGGATATGGCAAGGTGACAAATCATCCCTTTTTTGTTCCACATTCTAATGGTTGGAGCAAAAAAAAAACAAAAGAGTTGGATATGTGCAAATTTTGAAATTGGTTGAAAATTGAGAAGTTCAAGAGTTAAGATAGTGGGGATAAGATAGGTCAAATTTGGATATGCTCATGATATGCTGCTATTTTATAGTCTTTTGAGGTGCAGATGGTTAGTATCTTAAAATGGATTCCTTGTTCTCTCTTTGAAACTCATGTTCTAAAATCAATCTATACTGGAGTGTAGTTATTATACCAATGGACCAGGGTGACAACAACTCGAGGGATTTCATTAAGATAAGGAGAAGAATCTCCTGGCTAAGCAGTTGAATTCATTGTGATCTTCTCATGAGTGGAGAAGGAATGTCTTTGTGAAGACCTTCGAAACCTTTGGTAATGATGAAACATGTGGATTGCTTCTAAGAGATGGAAGGTTGAGAAAGGCTTCTTGGTTGGTGTTGTTGATAAAATAGGGATGACATCTTTTCGGTTGGAAGTACAAGTTGCTATCACTTGGTGATGACATCTTTGGTGAAATTGATAAGCACATGCATCACTCTTTCTTAAATGCCTTCATCTTTCTGTTCCTTGTTTACTTCAAGAGATGGGTGAGGAGAAAAAGAGATTTGTTAGAATGTATATATTGCCAGTTCTCTAGATATGCGAAGAGTGTTTTATCTAAAATGCCTGAAAGATTTCTAGTATCAGATCGAGAAGGAACAATTATCATTAGCTCCCCATTTTGATAAAGTTCCGAATGATTTGTTCCAACAAGGAGTATGTATATCTCTCTATATCTTCATAGTCCAATGCCATTATCAAACAACATTGGCACCAAACTAAGAGTAGGATGGTTTCAAATATACATTCAAAAAGGGGGTTGTCAAGATGTTGTTGAATTCCTGGCAAAGCCTGCAGCAACAAATTTCATCTTGCTTTACCTGTAATTGGAGGCTCCTCTGCTGCACTAACTTCTTGTTAGGGATTCAAATCTAAGCTATGCCATTTGCCCATATATTTTCTTGGAAAAGAACATGGATGCATTGTTCAACTGTAAGAGATGAAAACAAAATCTAACACAGTTTATCTTGGAAATTTTTTTACCACTGTCATTGTTGATAATCTCAGTTGGCTTGTGTGATATGTGTACATACGATTATACTGTAGCTCAGGATCTCAGACCTCTGCTATGTATTTTTTTTCTTTTCAGTACTACCAGCAAGAAGCATCGAAACTCCGTCAGCAGATCAACAACTTACAGAGTACGAACAGGTAATAACTCGAACATAAGCCTCGATTACCTTCTCAGCATCAGGTGGCTGTGAAAATAGTACATATGCTCATTTACCAGGAGCCTGATGGGAGAGTCGCTCGGCTCCATGAGCTTGCGGGACATGAAGCAACTCGAGACTAGATTGGAGAAAGGCATAAACAAAATCAGAAATAAGAAGGTAAATGTGTTGAATCTTTTGAATTGGCGACTTATTTTCTATGGCATGATTGCTTACTCCTCGTGGCTGATTGTTTCAGAACGAGCTGTTGTTTGCTGAAATCGAGTACATGCAGAAAAGGGTAATGAGCACAGATTCTAACTCCACTGATGCTATTTCTCACATGCTCTCTTCGAATCACGTATTGACAGACATACATGCTCTGCAATTCTTATTCTCAGGAGATGGAGCTGCAAAATGACAACATGTACCTGAGGAACAAGGTTCTCTCTCTCTCTCTCATTCTTTCTGTGGTTTCGACAAGTTGAAATGGTTCCAACTCCCAACAGATTGCTGAAAACGAGAGAGCACAACAGCAGATGAGCATGCTGCCTTCAGCGAGGACCACCGAATACGAGATCATGCCTCCATATGATTCCAGGAACTTTCTGCAAGTGAACGCAGTGCAGCCTACTCAACACTACACTCACCAGCAGCGGACCGCCCTCCAGCTGGGGTATGGACCGACCTTCTCTTAGCTTCCTTCTCCTGACGCTCTCCCTCTCCCGTGTGAGGGAGGAGAACTCCTTGCACGAGATGGGTGATGTGTTCTTGTTGCCATTTCTGTAGATGAGTTGATAAGATGGAACCATGGATATGCTTCTGCACATCTAGTGCAACTTGGGTACTGCAGTGCAGCTAGTGCTATAAATCAAGTAGAATGATCTAAGCGAAAATTATGGCAACTATTTGTTTGATATGGAGTCTTTTTAAGTGTGGGCAGACCATTAGGTAGATAGATGCAAAGTCTCCACTACGTTGTATGATTTGCTATAATTATCGACACTCGTGTGACATGCATGTCCTATGTATCTAAGACTTTTCAACTACTTGTTGTTCTGATATGGTGGGTTAATTTATTTGCATTTAACTAGCTTGATTGAATCTTTCACGGTCTTGTAGACATGAACTGTGTTCTCTTTTCCGGTTTGGCAAGAACATGACAACGGGTTGACCTAATCATGCCGAGTAAGCTGAGTCGACTTGTTCTTCGCCTCTCTTCGTTTCCCAGATCGCTTTGCTTAAACGTCGCAAGTCTTTCTCCGGCCAATCCGAGACTTTTGAGGTTACAAGAGAAGTGCATAACCATCACTGCGAATGAAATGTTAACGCGAGCAGATACCATTTCAACTTGAATTCGATAAAAGAAGGCCCCATTTGCAGGAGCAGCTTCGGCTCTGAACTGATCAAACGTAAGACCAGTGTATATATATAAATTGTGTATGCATGTATCTATCTATCTATCTGTCTACGAAAGGGAGTAAAAGCTATTGAAAGCAGTGTTTTGGCCTAAGGGTCGTATTCCCAAATATGTGCATGAACTTTCAGATCCTCAGACATAATGTTGTCTCAGGTTCTGCCACTACTTTTTATATTTTATCTCAATGGCTTTACCAAAAAGTTAATAAAGTAAAAGGCAGCAACACAAAAGATGAGCAACTCGGTTGCAAAAGTGCCTCTTTGCTTTGCATTGAATCATCACGAGACTACATATCTGCTTATGTTCCACCATTATGAAATTTATGTCATGCCAAGCGATCACAAACCACAACCAGAGAGAGAAAGAGAGAGAGAGAGAGAGAGAGAGAGAGAGAGAGAGAGAGAAAAGATGCAAACAGGAAGGTTCACATATCAGCAATTACTTGGCTTTCTTTCTTGTATGTCTCTCGTGTCTGTGTCGAACATGTGTTTCAGCTCCACAAGCAAGCAAAGGTCACGCTTCCGATGGTCTCTCCACCCGTCAAAACATGTATGATGCGTTCGTTGTCTTCGTCTTCTTCCCCCACAAAAGTAGTGGGGACTAGGCATTGCTCACATGAGATGGCGTGCGGAGAAGATGGGTTGATCCATATAAACCTTGACCTACATAAACAAAGAGAAATGAATGACGACTGCTTAGTGTAAGAAACAGAGAAAGAAAGAAAAGAAACAGGTGCACTTGATACAGCCATCGGCAATCCCTAGGAGTCCTCAAGAGTTGTGATGGCCTTATTAGTTTATATAGTCCCTGCCGGTTTCCGACTCTTGAGCTCTTGCGAGCTATCCTCGTGTCCATCGGATAGATCATCACAATGTGTTTTTGCACAGGGCTTGAGGTGGACAGAGGCTCTCCACCCCACCCCCCAAGAATCTCTCTCACACAAACACAACCTCAGCAGTACAGGTGATTGATGGGATGCATGGTCCCCAGGAAAAAGTCACATGACCGCCATTAATGAGAATTGGATGCCCTCTCCTTCAACGCCTCCTCGCTCTTTGTTCCAAGGGCAATCAATTCCTCTTCAGCTTTCTCCCTCCACAGGCCGAACCCAAAGCTATGATCGAATCGTGAGAAGATACAGAGCACATTGAGGGAGGATGGATGACTCTGTGTTACACCAATCCATAAATCTGCAACCCCCCACCACACCACGTAAAGAAGTCCAGCAGCCTGTTGGTATCCAAGGAGAGGAGGCTGCGCCGAGTCTCCAGGTAGAAATAAGTGGAGGGCTGTGTGAAGTCAATGGGCCATCAATTCAACTTGAATCTTGGTAGCTGCTCATAGAATAGAGGACCAAGGGAACTCAATGAGGAGAGGTGGACCAATGGCCATCCATGGCATCATGTTCTTCAATAAAAGAACACCTCTCTCTCTCTCTCTCTCTCTCTCTCTCTCTCTTATCAGCCAATCGACAGAACAGACAAATCCATGGTAGCTTTATTTCAAAAAGGAGAAGCCAACTGAGAGATCTCAATTCTCTTATTTAACTTTCTTCCCCTACCTCTCAGTCTGTTCTACTCTTTCACCTCCTTCCCCTCCCCATTCCCCCCTGCACACTCCATTTTGCTGTATTTTCGCTGCCTATCTATCATTCCTTCATCCCTCTTAGCTTGCTTATTCTTCCAAAAAGAAGGATTTTTGCCCATGGATCGAATGGAGCACCATGCAAGACCCCAAGAAACCATTGGCAGTAGCAGCGGTAATTACAACTGCAACGATGGAACACCACCACCACCAGCAGCTCCGCCGGCATCGTCACCATCACCGGTTCCGCCACCTCTGATTTCCAAACCCAATCCGAAGCCTTGCGATGCGAATCCGTGCCCGACGACCTTCGTCCACGCCGACACCACCTCCTTCAAGCAAGTCGTCCAAATGCTCACGGGCTCTGCCGAGACCGCCGCCGCTGCAGCCGCCGCGAACCCCACAGCCCCGAAAGTACCGGTGGCTCCGGCAGCCAAGGCTACCGGCCCCAAAAGGCCTGTTTTTAAGCTCTACGAGCGGCGGAACAGCCTCAAAAACCTCAAGAGTCTGAACCCTCTTATTCCGACATTCCTCAACTCCAGCACCAATTCCCCTGTTGGCGCCGCCGGCTTCTCTCCCCGGAAGCAGCCGGAGATCTTGTCGCCCAGCATGCTGGACTTCCCTTCGCTCGTGCTTAGTCCGGTGACGCCTCTGATCCCCGACCCTTTCAACCGGCCGCCGCACCCGAGTTCAGAGGCTGCTAAGTGGGCGGAAGACCGGGCGATCGCCGGAAAGGGATTCTACCTGCATCCATCGCCGCGGGCCACTGCCGAAACAGAGACACCACGGCTGCTGCCGTTGTTCCCGGTGACGTCTCCCAAGGTCTCTTCTGACTTGTCTCTAGCGACACCTCAATCTTCTTCTTGAGAGATGCCAACTCTAGGATGATGTTCCATTTCTGTTCTTTCCTTGTATGGTTTGGCCTTTCTTCTCTCTGCGCTGCAAGTTAACCAAGACAGAACGATTGCCTCTTTTAATTTCTCTTCCTCATCTTTAGCTGATGTAATTGAGCGACTGACTGGAGTAAAGATTATGGGAAAGCCTTTTCTCCTTTCTCGATGCCAATGGATGGCTTGCAATACTAAGATCATCTCTTCCAACTCAGTGGCTGCAACTGTTCATGCACTATCTTGGACACTGCTTCTCCATGGGTTACTGCTGCTGATGGGAGTGGAATAATATAAATGATGGGCTTGATGAAGAAGGTGGACCCAAACAGCTTGCCTTTCAAGAAAAGATTGCAAATTTATAGAGGAAAAATCCATACCTCAGTCTTCCTTGGTTTGATTGGAGCTTGCTGACAGGAGGTGTTTGGATTGAGAGGCAATAAAATCCGAGGCCCACCTTCCTTTCGCCATCTCTCTCACATGATTCATGAGCCAAACCAGGGTGTCTTTTTTTTTGGATCTCCGTGCACATGAATCTGAAAACAATTAGCAGATGACAAGTGAGAGCTCATTTGATAAGGTTAAGCAGTAAGATCATAGAATCTTGTTTCAGTCATCTTTACAATAACTGTGGCAATATCTGGAACTAGGGAGGAGAGAACTGCAGCTTTTAAGTGTCTGCAGCACCAACCTTCTGCTCAACCCATTATGGACCATTCTGACAAAAGGGCAGGGAGATCTTTTAGTAACAGATAAAAAGTGTTTTCTCCCTAACCCAGTCAGGTTTAGCATTGATGAATCTCATCAACCTGGGAATTGTATGGAGACAGCATCTCATGATGCAGACATACAAAACTGGGGGAAATAAAAGTCAATTATAGCTGCAATCAGTCTCTGTTCACGCCCACTGATTGATAGGTGCTGAGGATATTGCCAAAGTGATTTAGTCTAGCATCACTTGGAGCAAACAAATCATCCATCATATTTCAATTCAGGCTCAAACAAGATCTATCAGTATAGATGTTTCTGCAATCTCAACCCTAGAGTTGCCAGCAACATAGTATTAGAAAAAAAAAATGTGAAAGAAAGAACAATAAAGTTCAAAACCTGCAAATATTCATTTTTTAAGTTGTCAACTGGTAATCAAAGTATCTTAGTTCTATTTTGCATTGTCAAATGGAGTGAACAGAACAGAAAAGATATCCAACTGTTGATGTTTAACAGATGGATCATCTTTCTGAAATCTATGTTTCAAGCACCGTTAGAGGGTTTGTCGGGTCTAAAGATTCAACAGTTTGTCGAATCAGAAATCAGCACATTCCATGTTCATATCCTATCATCTACATAGATAGCTAACCGATGTTGATGTGAGTTGCATGTATATGCATATTCTGAGTCAGTGATAAGAAGGATCCTGCAGACCTGCACTCTACTTGTTTCAGCAAAGCTCAAATTAGAGCAAAAAAGTAGCACTACTATTTTATTAACATGGGAAAAAAAGTAGCACAAGCAAGAACTTTAACGTGACATGGACCTCAACTCAGATGTGTACAAAATTCTATAGTGGCTAAATCAAGAAAGAATAAGTAGGTCCACTCCCAAATCCTGATTAGTCATGGAAATATATTGCTTCAGCATCAGATCCATGTTTCCACGAAACCAAAGAAAGTTTCTTCCGAACAATAAAAATCCTCCACTAGAGATAATGAAAGCATGCCATCATATGAAAATGGTCTTCTTTTCAAAGTCTTGTCATCTTATGAAAAGAAAAAGTCTACCTACTAATCTAAATTAGTAAATCAATGCTGCCGCTGTTGTTTTCAGTGAAAGATGTCGATGAGCCAGCTAGTTACTTCTGACCTTTCGACCATTATCAAACAAATTCAAAGATCTTGGAATTAAACAAGAAGTTTGAAGGGTATCATGGTGTTTCCATTTGACTTTTTGGATCCAATAAGTGACTGTGGTCATAAGAGTTTAATTTTTATCGTGAATGTTAATTTTCTGGAAATCAGGTTATAAAAGAAACTAGCAAATAAACCAGGTTCACCGTACTGGAAATCATTAAGATTTCTGGTCCCATGTGATATGGACAATTCAAGGTCTGGATTCTTGATAGGGGAGCTGGTGAAGATGCAGACCCTTCAAAACCAATTATTCATTTGGCTACCATGTTTGATTTCACAAAGTACAGCAGATATGTACCCTAAAAAATACACATGTCAGGCCTACTTCCTACATCAGATGTGGAAGCTATCAAAGGATTAATGAAACAATGGTTGATGCATCGATTCAAGTTTCTAAAAATATACGAGTGATGAAAGCTAAAGCAAACTTCAGAATGAATCTAGTAAGATAAATCAATCTATACCTTATAAAAAAAAAGGCAGGAATAGCAAGTCCATAAATCAATAAAATCAAATAACAAAATGTATATTAATTTAGCCACAAATGTGTGTCCTGATTGATTCTTGTGGAGTTGGTCTCTTATGAATCAATCAGAACAATTTTTTAAAAAAAGGAATATATCACTGATTTCAGTGACCATGATATAGTACAAAAAAATTTTAAAAAAAGGAAAAAAGAAACAATAAAACATGACTAGTAACAGTAAGAAGCCAGCAACCAGAATACAACAAGAATATTCTTTACTGTAGGTTTTAGACACTTCTCAAGTAAGGCTGGTTGTGCATGTCACCTCCATGTACTCCTTTGATGTAGCATATAAGAAAGACACTGGCGTATTGATAATTGAAGCACTGTAAGTGAGAAGCAACTACTAGAATTTTCAGCCATCTCCTAACACAACCAAATTTCATGGTCGCAATCCATTGTAAATATAACAAAAGCATCATTGCAACTGAAGTGAAAAAGCATCCCTGGAAAGTGAACTCTGCAGAACTAGTCATCGTATCAACATTGTGGACTTAGCATAGGCTCCTTAGACTTTAGCTCCCTATCATGCACTGGTTTCCTACAAGGCATCAATATTCCCAGCCTTTTATATTGCAATGAAATCAAATGGCCATCACGCTTAACTGTGGACTGCACCAAACAACTTAAGGTCAGTGTTTCCCACACGATGTAGATGAGAAATGCTCCTCGAAAGTAGCTTAAAGTGAAAAATAAATCCTACTTTTAACATTCAGATGGATGTGGACCACATTCTGTCACTAGCTGACTGTAAAGTGGTTCAGACAAGACCTGAGAGTATGAAGACATATGCAAGTACTGTATAGCATTAATCAATCAGTGATAGTCCTGCTGCAAGCCTCCAAGAAAATCATTGGAATTGCATCTATCTAGCAGGTGCACTGAACCAAGTAAATCAGACCCTATACAATTCATAGTCCATTTCAATTTTACATCAGGACGGTCACAGATTTTGGCCAAAGAATTGCTCTTCTACACCACAACAGCTCCAAGCAGAGGTGGAAATTATATCAGAGAAAGCAATTTATCTGCATCCCTGAGCCTTTTCTTGTCCAATATCACAGAGAGAAGCCAACTAGGAAACACAGCGAAGGCATACGAACTTACTGAACCAAAATCTATGTAGATATGGCATTTTGTGACATCACTCGAGTCCTTAACAAGAACAATGAATGGATCGCAAACATCGGAGTGGAAAGTATTCATAGCAGTACGGTAAACCTATTGCTTCCAAAAACAGGTTTAAACTTTCATATCAAACAACCTGATACAAGGATACGAAGAAGGCCCGAATAGATGATGACATGCAATGGACCGGGCTGGGTACTTGTATCTGCTATAGTTTATGCTACAGACAGAACAGTCCACTATTCTGCAATCGGCAAAATCTCGATTCCATTGACTTCGTCTGGTCAAGAATTGTCTTTTGCCCGGACATCGGCACTCAAAACAATGAAGAATGGGAGCATTTTGTTCACTCTACAACCAAAAAGATTGTTTCTGTATATTAAGTTACCATCACCTACAGCAAACCAATCATTGTTGAACAAGACAATTAACAGCTCAAAGATTTCTTGCACTGGAATCAGCAAAGAATCGAGGAAAACCCAAAAAATCGAATCAAGAAAGAGAGAGAGTCCAAAAGGAAATTTAAAGGGCGACGGCGCCGGAGTCGCGCACCAGAAACGAGGGCGTCGCTCGATCGCGGAATCGGAGCATCACAGAAGGGCGACGCGCGTGTTGGTGCCCACTGGCGACTCTGACGTCCAACGCCGACGAAGGGGACAGAATGCTAATCACCGACATCAGTGGGGTCAAATTAGGGCTCACTCGGGAGTGAGCACCGACATCAGTGGCGTCAAATTGGGGCTCGCTCGGGACCGAGCACCGATTAGGAGGGCGAGAACGTTCCGTTATTTGGGTATTGTAACGCCACATTTCGGTGGTGCTACTTCGATAATAACGGGATGAAGTATCCTAAGACCTCGCACTTTTAATGTTTTCAGAATCAAAAACACCATAAATCTTTTATTTTAATTTTGTTTTCTGTAACTTGTTTCAAAACACAATTCGAAAGAGTCAAAGCATGTTCTGTTATCAAGTTTCCTCATTCCTGAAAACAGAGTGTACAACACATAACAGAGCTCCGTTGGTCCCAAATCTCTCCGTCATTTGATAGTTCTTTCTTTCCACTACAAGTACCGAATATAAATGATTAAATCATGTCTCATATGCTAACTCGGCAGGGATTAAAAGTTCAGTGCTCCCTTCGATAGTTGTGGAGGAACACACAGAGAGCCAGCCACTGAAGTGGCAGGCTTGTTTTGCCCTGTCCACCCACCAATATAGGTTTCAACAAGAGTTTTCACCAAGATCACAGGACAAAATTGATTTCAGTTCATGCGTGATGAGTGCGCTGCAGAGTGGTCCAAATGGTTCGGAGAGCCTGCAGGAACCAATGTACGATCTTAAGGACGAAAGAGTTCGTGGCATATATGCATGTATTCTCTTTGTTGCTCGAAGAAAACAGAGCATAGCTTTGATGCTCGATGGGAAGAAAACAGACAGGCTGTCCATTTTTCTCTGCATTTGGTCTCTGTTTCTTTGGATTTATTTGTGATCCATAATACCGAAGTAGACGAAGGCTAGAGAAGACAAAGTTGCAGACTAGCTTTCGGCACTGTGTAGTATCTATCAATGGAACAGGGTGTCTGTACAAGAGCTATGACGAAAACCGCACGTCGGCATCGTCGTCCTCATGCACGATCTGCGTGCGTGTCAGGGATGATTCACCACAAGAGAGAAGGATTCCTACTGTGCGGGAGTCGGTTAACGCCACCATTTTTTCCTGCATGCGTTGATATTGACCGCACTGGAATCCTGAGATCGGTGTGCTTATAGACAGCTCCATCCCAACGAGGTACCAACAAAACTGTTGATGTCGTCTTAAGCTTCTTATCGATGCAGCTTTAACGTGTAAATTTCCACCACAAGCTTTCTTCCTGTACTGGGACGTCATGAACTTCTTGTGAATGAGATCATGGGAGGTACACTGATAGAACTGTCCTTGATTCTTTTGCCTTTATGATGACCCATGGTTAGATTTAGTAGCACAAAACATGGATCTCACACAATTTCTCATATGCAGGAAACATCATGGTGTACACTGGAGCCCTACATTGTATCAATGATGGCATCCTGATAACATCTCTCTCTCTCTCTCTCTCTAACACGCACACACACATACAATTCTCCTGAGTAATATGGCTCAGTTCATGGCTATATTCACCAAAGCTGTGGAGCAGCTTCGCTACTGAGATATGACTACATCTACCAAAGCTGAGCTTGCCCTTCTTTTGTTGGTCTCCCATGTGATCAAATCACCATCAGAAAAGATGACCGAAGACGACAACCCTACCGTCCTCTCCGCGAGCATTAAATGAGCGTACTAGATTTTGATCCAATTGCAGAATCACCAACCTAAATAGAGCTTATATTACACATAGGATCCTGAGAGGACCCCTCCCAACAAGCTATTGGCTCTCCTCCTCTGATCTCCAGAGGATTCCTACTGCAATTAACAATCCTAATAGAAGGAATCAGAAACATCATCAGAGTGCACAAAAAGTCATGAAAAGAAGACTCATGAGCTCCTCATATATCAAATGATCGAGGTAACTCAAGCTGGCTAAATGGTCCTTCTTACAGGAACCATCATACATGGAGACAATTGGGAGGGTGGGTTCCAGAATAGTACATAGCAAGGAGAGAGAGAGAGAGGAGATCTGATTCTGAGGGTGGAGGGGGCGGGAGCTGAGAGAAGAGAGGAAGACGGAGGAGCAGTGGATTACTGGGAAGGGCTCATCGTTATTATTATTACTATGTACGAGAGGCGGAGTGGGGGCCGTTCTCATTAGGAAATAATGACACAAGAAGTCTTTGTGGGTCGCCTTTGCACCATTCCATCATCATCTCCTCCTCTACTAAATCCCCTTCCCTTCACCTCTTCCTCCCATCTCCCTCTCTCTATTCCTCTTTCTCTGAAGCTTTCTTTTCCACAAAACTCTAATGCTCTAGTTTTATGTTGTTCTCTCTTTCACACCTGACCACCAGACCAGCTCATGTCTTCTTCTTCTTCCTCTTGTAGCCGATTTCGGTATTTGTTGCGAGTTTCTCTGTGACGAAGTTTGAACCTTTATTCTCTTCTCAGTCTGAACATGTACGCAGGTGCTCGTACAACTCTTCCATCGAAGCAAAATAGAATCTTCAAAGCATTTCCCTGTTCTCTCATGAAAGACTTCGGATCGTCTATCGAAGCCGCCAATGTCAGTATCCCATTGCTCTGTTTCTTCGCATGCAAGTTACATGCAGCTAAACAAGGCCAGAAAACAGCTAATTTTACTTGTGTGCGGTGAATGGTCTTCCCATGCTTGATGGTCCCTCTCTGTTCTTAGCTTCTTCTGTCCACCAATTAGGAACTGCGGTGTCTGTATCCATCAGTTAGCTAGCTTTTTGGCCTCGAGCATCAGAGTGGGACAAGGAGCGGAAGGAAAATAAAAAAGAAAGTTTTTTGGCGTCAATGGCGGATCCTACGAACAATTCTGTGCCGGAAAGCAGTGTCAGTTCAGTGTCCTCCCTCTCCTCGGCTTCCTCGTCTTCGTCCCTTACTCTTTCGCAAACTCTTCAAGAGCGGAAAATGGGCACATGTAACCAGACCGCGACGGCCTCGAGAAATGAGGAAAGTAGCGGCGGCGGCTCCGCGAAGCGGCTGCGGGACCAGAGCAAGCACCCGGTGTACCGCGGCGTCCGGATGCGGAACTGGGGCAAGTGGGTGTCGGAGATCCGGGAGCCACGCAAGAAGTCACGCATCTGGCTGGGGACGTTCACGACGCCGGAGATGGCGGCGCGCGCCCACGACGTGGCTGCCCTCAGCATCAAGGGCGCCGCCGCGGTGCTCAACTTCCCGGAGCTCGCCGGCTCCCTTCCCCGCCCGGCCACCCTCTCGCCCCGCGACGTCCAGGCCGCGGCAGCCAAGGCCGCCGCGATGGACCCGGAAGCCCAGGCGGAGCCCCCAGCGGCGGCCCCGGGGGACTCCGACGAGCTCGAGGAGATCGTGGAGCTGCCGCGGCTGGACGACGTGTGCTGCTTCCTCGACTCGGCCGAAACCCGGAGCGAGTTCCTGTTCGACGACCCAGTTGACTCGTGGGCGCACCCGCTGCCGTGGGTGGAGAGTGCGGATCTACTGTGGGCCGCGTCGGACGCAATTTTTCCGACCAGCTTCGGAACTCTTCTCTAAGACTAAGAACGAAGTTCAAGGTTCTCTTCTTCTAATCCATATTAATCTCCCTCCTTTCTTTCTCATGCCCTTCAATTTTTCATCAGGGCTCAAGGGCTTCCTTCTCTTCTCTATTCTGGCTTGCACCCTTCCCCCTCCCTTCTTCTTCAGCGTGTGTGCTGTTTCTCGGGGTTGCCTCCCATTGTACATTGAAGTCGACAGAACAGAATCCTCATGACTCCAAATCTCCCCGGTCAATGTTGTACAGTTTTCTGGGGAAGTGCCGGAGAAGAAAAGCATGAGGCTCTTGCATGGTTTGTGTGCATGTAATAACTTTGTGCTATCTATGTCGTTGTGATCACTGGATGGAATTCTTCTTTGATCATTGGATGAGGCCTGAGCTCAGCTTCAACTTGCCTGTTGCTTCCCGCTGCTCACCAGGAAAAGGAGAGAGGGCGATGCCCTCCATCTGGACCACTTCTGTGCCACCCTCTTGTTCTGTACTTTGAAGAAAGAAAGAAAGAAAAAATGTTTCTTTTTCTTCTAAAAACTCAACACTTCTTTTAATGTATATACATTACATTCAGAAGATAAGTTTGATTAGCTTCAGGAAAGCCAGGAGGTGTGGGAGATAATTAAATGAGGCCGACAATGACGATGTTATCTTCACCACTGCTCTGGCCGAAGATGCCAACCATTGATTGAGATAATTAGGACCAAACCAATCTAAGTCGCATTGGTCACATTACATCAACCTTTCTTACTCGTTCAAGCCCGTTTGTGGCGTGAAGTATTAGACTGCACCATCTGCATTTGCCACGAAGGTAAGTTTCACCTAACTGGATAACACTCGAATCTGAGTCATCCTGCGTGCGGTGGCATACTACTAATTCTGCAGCATACATAGTTTACGTACATGAATTGACCGGTTGTCCTTTCGATCCTCGCTCACCAACATGTACCGTATGATGAAAGTACATGACACACGATGATTTTATACCCAGGATAATCTTCCTGTGCGGTTTCCTTTTCCGGAGAAGAATGATGAGTGAAACAACGAAAATACCAAGTTCAGAGAATTCTCCGATCAGAAAAGCTGGACTTGCACGACAGTAAACCGGTCTTCTCTTGCATGGATCAGCTGTGTACAGCACCGCAAAAGAAGTTACCGAGTGGGGGCTTTTACCCATTGGAGAGGGCCGAAACCATACTGTCAGCTTTTGGAGCGCCCGGAAACAGGCAAAACAGTGCGTTTGCATCACAACAGCGACAGCTTACTCGCTGTCCCTCGGAAAAATCTTCCCACTCCACCTCATCGCAACCTTTGTCATCTTTGTCAAGTGTAGAAGGGCATGACCAAAGACGAAGGATACGGTGTAGGCTAGTATGACAGTTGCTTCCGTAATATCCTCTTGCGTCACGCATGTTCGCATCCAAATTAGAGGAGGTTTCATGGAGATCGCCGGAGCTGCTAGGAGTGGCTTGTTCCTGGGAATGGCCAAACTTCCGCATGCGTCTCTTATAATTTACTTGTTGGATATGGAATACTGGGCACTCGCATGAGGAGCCATTTTGTCGCCAAGAGAATCTTTCCATCTTCTCTCTGTTGACTCTTATGGTATCGAGATCCATGCTGGCCACCAGTGATGATCCTGAGAAAATTAGGGTTTCCATCTTCTTCTTCTTCTAGCTAGCTTTATGTTTCTCATGGGAAAGGCAGGATTAGAACCTCCATTAATTGCAGCACCTCCTCCTTAAGCCGGAGAACAGAATGAATACAATTATCTGTTAGTATGCATTACGCTATAGAATCTCATCTCTGATCATAATATTCGATCAAAAATTAAAATAATATTTTGTTGAATTTTGAATGACAACGATATGTGACGTGATGGAAATGATTGGTTTTCCAGTATTACGTACAATGCCGACCGATTGCCTTTTGTTTCTTTTATGTTATCGTGTATTGTAGCAATCCATTATGACAACATGACAATTTGGAGGGTCAACACCGACCCAACGTAATAACAATATTGTACTATAATGCTTCCAAGGGATGTCCATTGGTGTGACTCACAAGCCTACTCTACGAATTGGCGTGTCTCAATACGAACCTAAGCAGAAGGGGAAAACAAAAAGAAAATATAATTAATAATGAGATGATAATACACGAGACTCCTTTGTGTTCTCTATATTATGCTTTCTAAGATATAAAGGAGAAAATTGTGATCGGCGGTCGCGTGTTACTGTTACTTTAGATGCAGCTTCGTTTACCGCCGCATTTAGTTGGCATGGTTTGTACGTCGGAGTGTTCATATCAGCTGCCTTCTCCTTTCTTTCCATCCCGTCCTTTAAATTCCAGCTCAATCTGTTCCCCGCTGCTCCTATCTCCGTAGCCCATCACATCAGCTTTCTCACTCATATATCTGCATCAATGTATTATTGATCGAGTTCCGATGGGTTCCAGTGTTTGTGTTCGTTCTAAATCGAATCCACCAACAATTTACGGCTGCCGAGTCGAAAGGCTTGGCCTACTAAGAAATAAAGCTCAGGGAAAACGCTGCTCCTGACCATTAATGTGAGCTGCCGAGTTGTTTGCACTCTTTTACTCCGATGCTTAGCGCGAGGAGGCAATTACTTTGTCGTCCCTTTTCCCTGCACGAGACATGGATCTGGCTGGGTGAAGAAAAACAGGAGACTGATATCAAGCTTCAAGTTTCGTGCGATCTTTCCTTCGTCAACTTGACAGGCTGATGCTGCTTGTCTCACCTCTCCACGCTAGCCTCGACGGTGAAGTCCTGAGGCCACGCACAACTATTACAGGGTGGATCTACCTATATCTTTAACCCTTAACTCTTGTGCTTGTAATTGGATGAAGCCAACACATTCCTGATTGAGAAAGACGGAGAAAAGGAGTGTGTCAAAAGCTGGAAGAGACCCTACAAAGATCTCTCAGATTTTGCCTCAATGATGGGATCCTGTGAGATTGTGACATTTCCCTTTGTTAAAAGGGAACTGTTACTTCCGTGTAGGCCATACACTGTGCCGATCGGGTTGAGATAGAATAGTGCGGATGTATGAGTCTGATCCGAATCCAATCTTTCATCCTTACGTGCTCGCCCACATATCCGATTACATTGATCGGTAGTACGACGTTGGACAAGAGACGAGTTAACAATGATGACATCAAATTCCGAGCCGAAATCATAGGTCGTCGATAAATACGTGGCTCGATCGAGACGGATCCATTGATGGGTTCCAATCTTGAAACTAACCGGACTCGAATTCTTAAAGCCTTCTCACCAACCTCGAGTTGGATTCGAAAGGATTGCTCGAGGATTGATTGCTTCCACAACAAAATTTGGATGGCGACTATCGCTACACGTCCTCGGCGTTTGTACGTGGCGCTCATTGAACGTTGATAAACGACCGGAGAGGAGGAGATGGTGTGCGGAGTCGGGGCAGATCCGTCGGCTGTCCGACGGAGAAGGCCCGGCCGAGGGACATCGAACCTGGACTCGAAAGCGACTGTCGGCACACCCACCGCGTTACACGTGTCGGCCGGTGGTCAATCTGAGGGGAGTCGGTGGCTGGACCCACCTTACCTCCCTCGAAAAAGTTAAACCTTCGCTTTTTCTAGATTCTCCGCGGGAGTGGTCGATCGATGACGCAGCCACTGCGAGGGACGAGATGAGGCGCTCACCAACCTTCGCCTCCTCTTCCTCTTCCACTTGGGATCCCACTATCTTAGCTCTTACCACATCTCACGGATCATTAATGGATGCAGGGATTGAACTCCGTAGATTGCATTGCAGTTGCGAAGATGGTAGTAATATTTCTTCTGCATTGTCTTCTGCTTGCAGATACTGTCACTCTCCTCCGTTGTTCACTCTGTTCCTTTTCTCTTCCCACAGATATCACCTGAAGTGTTGGTATATCATCGTTGCATTCCCTACGTACATTCTTCTTCTTCTTCTTCTCCTCTACTAATCCTGGAAAGATCCACGGCATAGTCAAATCAAGAAAGTGGAGTCTTAGTCATTGTCTTTTTCTCGGAAAAGATTCTTAATCATTGTCTTGTAAAGTTTCCTCGATGAAAAGATGCGGGTAGCCACTCGTCGATTTCAACATCGAGAATCAGAATCACGTACCTTATGTTACATAATTAATCGAGGTCATCCACAGGATCATGTACGTGATATCACGTAGGAAACAAATGTATGGTGTATTGAGGACCCACCAAAGCAAATATAGGTTCATCAACATATTTCATATTCGTGCCACGTTTAACATCAGGAGAGAAGAAATAGGTCATATGAGTTCTCACTCGTTATGGGTTTCCATGGACAACAGAGACGGATAACTTGTGGTGCGACCAACAGTGTGGCACAAGTCGAAAGAGCCCCCTTCATCTGTCATCTCTGTGATTGAATGAATCACCACCTAAAGCTACGGACTCAAAAGCTTTTCTTGCCGTTTAGATCAGTCAGTGCACAAGTATGGTTTTCCTACGTACGTTGCTCGTCCAACGAAGGCACGTCACTTGCTGTCTTTTTTCGTGCATAGCAACTGGAGAAGACAAACCCCACCACCGGCCGAGCTAGCTTGTGCTGTCTTGTATGTTTAAGCAGATCATGCTCCCCGAGCTTCCTATTCCTTCAATAGGAAAAACTAGTCGAGCATCGTTATCAGAGGTGATATCCATGTTTTAGAAGATCCTCACAAGATTGATTTTGTTTAACGAGGATATTTTCATAAACAAATCAATGCTAGAAGAAACATATTTATGACTTACAATGAGCAGAATCGATTTGCCTACTGGAAAGCAAAGACACCGACGAAGCTGCTGAGGCTTCTCTACTGATTAAAAACCGCAAGTTGGCTTCAAAGGATGGCAGGAAGATCTTCGCCATCGATATATAAATCCATGTACCAAAAGCAAGATCAACCTAAGGATGTCAAACTCCATGGTGGTTTACGAGAAAGGTTTTGGTCCCATCAAGCCATTTCTTCTATCCATGGAACAGTGATGGCATTGGAGTTATCTTACGTAGTGGACAAACCAAGGAGGGCGGTAGTCAACAACGCATGGGTTGCTGCTGATGGCAGTAATCTATTTGGACATAGACAGCATCTAGGCCTTCTCGACCCACAATCTTCGGTGGATCCCAATCGAAATCCGCCCATCAAAATCAAAGCTTTATCCATTAGCTGTCTGGGTCTGGGTGGACATGGAATGAACAGAATAGGTTGATAGCAAACACTTGAAGGCGAGAGAAGAACTGACCTGACCTGTGATTTTGTAATCCAATGGTCTGTGCTGCTCATGAAGTTGGTTGTCTCATCATCGTTCTCACAGTATAGTGGATATGGACAGAGAAGCAGGAAGACAGCAAAGATCATCCACGGAAAACGCTGCTGTTGTAACGCGCAAAAGAGAGAATACATCCATCGTCTCTACTATTATTACGCGTTTAGCTGCAAGCGAAGGCTGTGCGGTTGATGTGCGAAAACATATGAATGCTTTCAGATATACACTTCCTGATGTCGTGCAGCCCAATTCAAAAGCCCAATTTTAATCCCTCTGTGAATTGGGTTTGTAGAGGCTTTGCAATCTTGAATCTGTTCCTTCATAAATGGGAATATATGATTTGATTCCCTTTGGTTGAATTAAAATGGATGAAATTTGACATTCCAAGTTAAAGATATTACATGAAACCTATCATTTTGCTTAATGAATTAATATATTTTAATCTTAAGATTGTCTATTTTTCGTTTTACTTACTTCTATGGATAGTAGTAATAAAAATTGAAATGTAAAGTATAGATGAAACTAAGAGTAAGGTGTTACGATATCAGATCTGCTTAAATTGGATGACATTCGAATGAAATTTGGAGATAGATTATTGGTTGCCAACTCTGACAGGCATTGGATCATCCATTTGATTACTTTGATTTAGTATTGTCTTTTGCTGGCTAAATATTATCATCCGTACACTAACTAGATCATGTAATGCCATGGCCATATTGTCGTCAATAAGCTGCTGCCACACAATGCAATGGCCTGCGGACGCAGGGAGTGATGGACGACCATGGGAGCCCCGCCGGGAACCCGTAGCTTAACCTCCGTTGCATGATGCCCCGGAATCCTCCACCATGTCGTCCTCACCGACGTAGGCTGCCAGGTTCACGTACAGCTCCTGCTCCCTCCTCTTCCTCCACCGCGCCCTGCACATCACGCACCTCACTCCCCTCCTCCCTCGGCTCCTCTTCCAACTCGCCAGGCACTCCTCATGCAGCGAGTTCCCGCACGCGCCGCAGGTCGCCAGTCCCGCTTCGCCTTCCATCTCCTCCAAGCATATCGGGCACACGGCCCCGTCGTCCTCCCTCCCGATGGCCGTCTGATGGTCCGTCCCGTTGGCGCCCGGCAACAGCTGGTAAAACCTCTCGCGCGCCCGGGCGCCGGCCAAGACGTCCGGGGCCATCGGCGTGCTCAGGAGGCGCGCGAGCTGGCAAGGCCTCAGCGTCCGCCTCCAGACGCATGCGTCGTCCAAGGAGCAACCGAGGACACGGAGGATGACGAACAGGACGTGCTTGCAGGGCACGGTGCGGTCGGGGCAGGAGCAGGATGGGATGGCTGCGAGGGTCACCTTGTACACATTGCCGGTGGAACCCAAGACGAAGAAGTCGGCATTGGAGCGGTGGATGAGGCGGAGAGGGTGGCGCAGGGCACGGATGATCCGGTCGGCTACATGTTGGGCCAGGTTATATCGGTCAGCGTTAGCAGAATGGGGATCGGCTGGTGGGGAGTTGGAACCTACGGACTCCATTGACAGGGTGTTTGGGTTGGTCGCTGCTTTGTAGGGAAGATGGATGTATGATATGATACGTTGAGTGAGCTACAGTTTTGGACAAAGGATGGCGGCTTATAGGGGAGAGTGATGGCGCTACGTAACTTTGGTCGAAAGACAAGTTTGGGCTCGGTTACAAAGCATCATAGTACTACTCAGAAAACCAAGACCTGCGAGAATTCTGCAAAACGACACTTCAAAAACAAGCTCAGAAAGCTGAAGCTCAAAGCATATCACTTAAAAGGTTGCTGCAAGAAAAATGGTATTGTCGAAGAAAAGAAAGAGAGAATTTTAAAGAAAAGCAATTATATCCATAAATCTAAAACGCATAGATTTTAGATTGGTGGAATATATATATATATATATATATATTTATCCTTATATGTAGGTCTAACTAGGTTCGATATAATCCAGCAGCTCATGTTTGACTTTTGGGGTGCCAGTCAATTAATGCTGTCACGGGAAGGAAACAAGGATCACCACTCTTTGTGCTCGACCATCTCCTCCCGCTCCTTTTACCGGAGAGAGTCAAGCGTGTCCCGTGATCGCTTCTCTATGTATGAACAGAGTTTGCAATCTTTGACTTCTCAGGGACATCCACAGATGGATCGGCTTGGTTGCCCGATTGAAATGGAACCCAAGACGCTCAACGAAGGAGAACTGAGCAATGCCCGGGTAAATATACCTATGTTTTCTCTCGTGTCTTCGTTTTGTTTCCGATTTGGTTCTACTCGTCAGTCACTATCTTTATTAGCTCGAGTATACGAGAACAAAGATCTCAATGGGGTTTCTGTCCTCGAGAGTACTGTCGAGTCGAGCCACGGAGGAAGATGATCAGTTCCTAACGTGAGAATTGTTGTCAGGAAGCAGCAGTTGAAATAATCCAAACCAAGGTCGCAAAGGAAGCTTCGACTATCTTCACCCAGGTGAATCTCGTGGAGGCCAACTGCAGCTCCTGGTCATTCCACAGCATGCATGCTGATAGAAACGAAGTTCCACTAAATAGCCTCTTCATCTTGTAGGGCAAGAAGGCTGCGAAGACAGCAGAGCAAATGAGGAAGGAGATCGAAAAGAGAGACCAACTCGAGAAGCTCGTGGGAGAAGGCGAGGGAAGTGGAGTTCGCAGTGGATCATGGGATCTTCCTTGCACTGATGATGAGATTTCCGATGGCATCACATCAACGGAGCCTCTCTCGTCTCCGTTTTGAACTGTAATTTCCCAATCACAAGATCTTACAGTCCACGTGTAAGGTGCTGACCATATCTTTAAAATAAAGACTTGTAATATATCAATATGCGCCATGAATATAATAATAGTATATTATTATATATTATCAACGATTTGTATTCGTTCAGTAAATAATGCACGGGAGTCAAATTTACGGAAATATAAAAATATATGTAAAATAGACGACGGGCGATGGAGGCCGATTAAGTGCGCCCCGAAACGCAAGGGATTGTGTCTTCGTGCCATTTCTTGGATCTCCGGCGACTCTGCAGCGGGAGGGGGAGGGAGACATGGAGGCGGCGAGCGCGGCGCCGGCGGCGGACAAGAGACGCCACCCGTTCCCATGGCTGAATCTGATGGCGACGGAGCCCTTCTACCTGCTCCACTTCCTTCTCTTCTTTTCCTACCTCGGGGCCCGCAGCTCCGCCTCCCAAACCCTCTCCGCCGATCTCGTCGATCGCCTCTTCCGTCGGGTACCTTCCCTCGTTTTAGGTTTAATTTTCTTCCCGGATTCTTTCATGTTCTCATTTTCGTTGGTGTGGATCTCGTGAGCTTATCGCGTTCTTGTGATTTAATTGTTGTGATCCTTTTCCTTTTCGTCCTTTTGGGTTTTGGATCTGCAGGAGATTCAGGCGATTCTTGCGTTCGTGGTGCTGGTGGCAGTAAAGGTTTGATGCCATGGGACTCCTTACTTGGTTTCTTTTTCGAGAACTTTGATCTTTTATGGGTTTTGTGCAGATTAAACACGAATCTTACTCTGATGAAATAGCTCTATGAGCAATGTACGAGTAGATTAGAAATATTTATTCAGACAAGCATAATAGATTATTTGATGCTGTATGGTATAGGTCATTCCAAACAAATAGAGATTGTTGAATTTTCCAATTGCTGATGTTTCTGAGAATAAGAAAAAGGGTTGCATGAATAGATTAGGCCCTTGGAGCTGGTTCCTTAAAAGAACTGCAGGTAGTAGAATATGATTTGAGCTATATTTTTCTCTGGGGGACATAATGAGACTCAGAAGGTATAGTTCTATCAAGTGAAACCCTCTGTTGTGTATATTTTAGGTCTGTCACTTCTGTGAAATTTTTAATTAGCATGATCTGATGAGACTGTTGTGTGTATTGACTATTTGTTTAGTTGAAATGACTTTAGATTAAGAAGACACACTATTACATCGAGAGAAGATAATAAATATCTTAAATATGCCATCAGCAGCCTTGTTTACTGATCTCCACCATGTTCTTAGAAAACTATGCTCTACTCTGACGTGTTTAATATTTGGAACTTTGGAACCAAAGTTTAATATCAAGATACTCGTCAATACATGGCTAATGGTTTGTCAAAAAGTGCACACACTGAGGAAGTAACATCAAGTGGGTTGAGTTCTTGTTAAATTATTTTCTGATGCTGTTGCAGACTACTGACAGTTTTGTAAGGTAATTGGTTTAAAACTTCAAACATTTTATACATACGTGACAGACCTGGCTTATTACTCAGTGATTTGCCACTGCATTTAGAGCACTCCATCTTTTACATGGGGGTAAATGATATTTAAGGTAACCACATTGCCTGTTAACTTCTCTTCTTTGACAACAGCTGTAATAAATAGTTGATCAAGGCCAACATCCATGGATAAGAATTTTATCTTCAAATGATTCTCCCTTCTGTCGAACAATTTAAATCATTGTTTTATTGATGAATGAGGTATTTAGCTACTGAACCAGATCAATGGATATTGCAACAGATGGTGAAAGAGGAAACCTGGGAGGCATTCGTTGCTAATACTCTGCTTTATGCCAAGGTAGTTAAAACCATAATTTTCTAAATTAACTAGTTAAATATATTTAATTCTGGTTCTGGCTTCAAAACCTTTTTATTCTATTATAGATAGCTTGAAATATATTATGAATCAACAGTGTCATAGAATGGAACCTTTGCTAAAAGTTCACTTCTGTGCTTCAGTTTTCCATTTATCAGCAGATATAACCTTTCAGCTCGTTTTTCTTTCCTTTCCAGGGATTCCTATTGGCAATCGCCTTAGTAATTGATTATCACTTGGCTCTTTGTTACTTATTGGGGTTCCTAGGTAACCAATCTTCATACTTGGCTTTTTGGCATGAAAGTTAATAAATTCTGATATGTGAACTGTTAGACATAAGAGAGAAATGACAAGTGGTATCTGTGGAACATAATTATGCTTATGCATGAGCCAGTTGCTTTTCACTTGGTTTATCTCAGGGTGCTTTCAGTATTGGGAAAAGACATTTGTAAACTTATGCTATGTTTTCTTTTAATGACTACATAAAGTCAATATTGTTTAGAAATACTGGGGAAGTCATTTTTTATCTTTTGAAATTCTAATGACATCCTGCATAGAGTACAGAATGTTGATGTTATTTGCTGCTACTATTAGGTTCGAGACTGCAATGAATTTCATTACCGAGAAGAAAGCATTTGCCAATTAGCCATCAAAATGCTTATGCACGCCAACTCTTTTTTTTGCATTTTGTCTTTTAGTTGGTTCTCAGAAGGTCGCTTGACCCAAATAGCTTTCTTTAGACGGCTATTGCACTATTGATGCTATAATTCTTAGGATCCATGAAATTTGCAGGTTTAAAACACATGTTCTAGTTCAGTAGTTTATTGTTCATTCTTGAGTTTAGTTATTAGTCTTATGACACCGAACAAAACCATGTAGAGAAAGAATTAACTCCAGATACCAACTTATGTAACCAAAATGCTGGGAGTTTCAGAAAAGCTAGATATCTTTGATATAATATGCCTGACATTCTGACCTCCTTATTCTCCATGAGGAGGTTAAGAACTTACCAAAAATATGTTGCTGTCCAGAGGATTTGCACCCTAATTGATCATTTTATATAATTATCTTCCTTGTTAATGTTCAAGCTTTAAAATGGTCAAAAGCTGAGGCATGGCAACTCTAGATGGAAGCCACTTGCATGAGCGGTGATCCCTCTTAAAGATCCTTTTAAAGATCCATGATTAGCTTGTGATAAAAGTACTTACCTTTTCCTTGATCCCTTTATAGCTTTTTATGGTGTCATGAATATATGGAGGTGTCATTTTTTCATCATATTCAGAGATATTTTGTTTTCTAATTTCAACAGAAATATGTATTATAAGAAATTTAAGAATGCTTTTACCTTTTTTATGTTCTTGGGCTCAGGAACCTTTTATCTGCTTATAAATGGGTTACTACTGATTTCTATAAATCATTTTCTTATAGCTTTATCTGTTTGGCTGATGTAAACTTCATATCAACTTATTCCGATAGCAACATGAGAATCAAGTTGTTTTTTATGATGTGTAACATGCAATGTTGAGGAGAAATAAGACAAATAAAGATTAAAAAAGATTGAATCATTTTCTGGATTTTGTTACATCCATTTTATATTATGTACACTAGTAACTGATTAACCTTTTTATAAGGATGATTTTGAGAATATGCAGCAAAGAATATTTTTTCTAAAAAATTATTGTCATAATTCTTCTATAAAAAAGAGGACAAGTTGTCAAGTTCTGGCATCTAAAGTGCTGAAGACTTTGAAGACCTGGAAAACACAGTTTACCTTGGATCACTAAGGCATGATTAGATATGGATTTTGCATGGAAAGTTGTTTCATTTATCTAGTTAGGCCTGGTCATTCCTTTTTTTTTTTTTTCTAAACTCTAATTTTTGATCTACCTACTTTCAAATGTTAGGCAATGATAAATTAGGTACTTGTACCATGTTGGTGATATCAAAATTGTTGGTTCTTTTAGTTTTATATTTATGTCACTTTTATTTTCTGGAAACTTTCTCACTTATTTTCCCTGCCATTTTTGTTATCGCTTGCAGTAATATCCATTATAACTCAGCAACCACCTTATGATGGCCTAGGTAGACCTTTCTCTTTTATGCTTCATTCTATATTGTATATAACAGCTTCAATTCATGTTATAGTTCTGCTACATGAGGTGCAAACTTTTGGCTACAGGCTCCATAAAAGATAAAATGAATGAATTCTTTTTTTAATAATGTTTTTTAAGTATTACTTGCAATGCAAGGCTACCTTTTTTCTGCTTCCTTTGATGAGGTTATTATGTTGGTTCATGAATTGCAGATGTTGTCCTTCTTATCCCCATGCCAACTAGTTGTTATAACTAGCATCTTGTAGTTTTTATTTTAATTTTGCTTATCTTTGTGTTAAAAATGTAATTGTGTCCATTAAAATTAAAAAGACAAACATGATGAGTGGTTATAGCATTATGGGGATGACAGTTTTGATGTATGGTTGATGAGTTAGTGATTTAAGAGGAGTGCTCCACCTTCTCATCTTCATTCTCTGAAATAATTATGTGATGATAGAAGAGCAATGCTGAAGGAGAAGAAGAAGATGTAAGGAGGAGAACATTGCCTAAAGATTTAGGATTTAGGATTTAGCATGATTTAGATAGAGCTTCTTACCATACTCAAATAAAAAGATAGGGATAGAGCCTCCTATCTCAATCCTTTGGGAGATGATCTCCAACTTGAATCTTTTCATTCCCTCCAGCATAATATTTTTATCATCATATAATAGGATCTTAGAGAAAGAAGATGAGAAGACAGGATGTTCCTTTTAGATCACCAATTCCTCAATGGTATGCTAAAGCCACCACTTCCCATTATGCTATAACTGCTCATCATGTTTCTGTTTTTAATTGTACATGATTATATTCGTACCTCTAAAAATAAGTAAATTAAATTAAAAATTACAGCATATAACACTGATAATGAGTACCATGTATTTTTTTAGCAGTCCATTCTTATGCTAGCTGGCACACCTTCCATGCTGATCTGAGCTTATTGGTATGCAATGTGTTGACAAGATATCAGCAAATGATATACCATAATACTGCAACTATTATTTGGTTCTATAATCTGTACTAAGTGTTCCTGCTCCATATATCATGAAAGTTAACTTTCAACTAATTAGTTACAGTGTAAATACAATGTTATTAATAAGATTAATAAGAAGAGATTGGAAGATTGTTAATGGATTTAATTAATTATGATCTTATTGCTGTCAAACTATAACATGCATGCTTGTTATTAGTTTTAATCTATCCTAAAAAGGCATATACAGATGCATGCTTAAACTAGATAACCAATGGTCAAATAGCTGAAGTAATTTAAGTTCGTTCTTGGATAAACCAGTTTTCGTAGCTATTTATGTCTGATATTTATAAGTAACAGGTCACTTTTGCTGGCACATATATTAGCTATGAGAATATATACTTTTTCATCAATGAAACTGTTGCATCGGTTATTTAGAATATTATCAGACAATGATGCAGTTTTTTTTTTTTTTTGGTTTTTGTGTTTAGGTGATTGTAGTCAATTAACCCCTTTGCAATTGGAAAGCTTACTAACTGAAGGAAGCACCTCAAGGTTTTGGCTGGTCAGTTGTTCATGATTATTCTCGCATTTGTTATTTTATAATTTATAATGGTGGATGCCCTGATTTATTTTTAATGCAAAGGATAATTGCATAAATACAAGTGTGCAATCATAAATCTTCTGGTCTAAGGTGTTAATAATATACTGATCTTAATTTGATCTGCACCAGTGATACATATTCTCAATTTTCAAAAAGTTTGGTGAATAGGTTTATGTCCAAATGTAAGATGGATTGGCTGATTCAAAAGAAACAAATACAGGCCAGCCAATCTGACCATTCCAAGTTGATCCAGCTCTCTGATTGGCTTGGACTGAGCAATCTAAATGATCTAGGTTGATGCGTATATCTTTTGGTTGTTTCCATGTGCGTGCATGTTTGCTTAGAGGATTTCAGCTATAAACTTCTTACCACTATATAGCCTAGGGATGACAGTGGGTCAGTTTTTATTAGATACCCATGCTATCCAACCTGCTTAAACCAAAGTAGAAAACCTGGGATGGGTAAAAGTATTATTTGGGATGAGTTTGGATACTTGGGTAGTTAGTTGGGTATTGAAATGGATAGGCTAATGATCATGAATACCCTAATCCTTGACATTCGTGCCATAGACTAGATTATTTTTGTCTCAATGAGTCCTTAATTTTGTTTAACTTGTTCTTTTATTTACTGCTCTTCCCTTCTTTTTTTTTTCAAAATGCTTTTGGCTGAAATGCCATTTTGGTGATATAGTCCAGCTATATGAGGTTTGACTGACCTCAAAAATAATCTCACTAACATCCATATATTGCCTATAAATGAGCATCAAATCATCAATGCTTTCACGTTCTTGTTACTTCCAAACAGCCATCCTAATAAAGTGTTGATAGACTAGCTTGTGATGCTTCTTCTGGAAACCCAATCACTGATCACTAAAGCTGGATGTAGCTAATATTTGGCAACTACTATTATTCATGTGGTGTCATTTAAAAGAGTGTATCCAACTTCTTAACTTCAGTCTCATCCTAACTTTTGCTGTAATATCTTATCCATTTGGACAATAAATTGATCTCATTTTCTGACCTGAGCATAGCAAAATTCTTTAATTGACGATATCTGTTTTTTTTTTTGATTAAAAATTCCATGGTGATGAGCATTGTGTTTGGCAGGTTGAGTTTCGGGCTTTATGCTCTTCAACATGCGTGCAAAAATGTCGTATTTTCCCTGATCTCTCCGTAATGTGAGTTTTCTATCCTGTAATACGGGCCTAACAATTGATGTGTCAAACTGTATGCAGCTTCGACTTTTTTCTGTAAGATACTTGCCATCATGGTTTTCTCATGTGGCAATTTTTGGAGAAAATATTAGTCCTCTGATGTCTCCCTGACATACGGAAGCAGAGTGCAGGGTGCTTCTCAAGGGTCATTCTGCATAATAATCTAGCCAAAAATTGCCACTTCATTGTCTTTATTTCTTTTGGATGTTGACGACACATGAATGTCGGAGTACATATATCAAGCTATTTTTATATTTACTATTTTTATTCTCTCAGCTTATCATTGGGAATGTTTTTTTAATTTATTTTGGCAGATACTCAAACAAAAATATTTCTTTTGGAGTAGTTGATATTGGGCACTTCCCAAATGCTGCAGAAAAGTTTGGAATATCTTTACCTGGTAGATATTTATCTATTTTAAAAGATATATTGCTTAACTAAAATTTGTTTTCCTGATCTCGTCTGGTGGTAATGGATTCTCATATCTGCAATTAATCATGTTGGATATTTCAGATTCTAGATCCAAGAAATGGACCTTGTTGGGGTTCTCACACACCCTTTTTTGTTTACTGGCCAAATACTGTTAAATACATACGGGATGATACCATTCCTGTATCCATATTCGAACACATTTTCTAATTTCCACATGGAATGATGACTTTGTTACTAGTTTATTGACTGTATTCATCTTGTTTTGGTTTGTTTTGTTGTTTGGACGTACAGGTCAAATTCCTACATATATTTTGTTTGATAATGCGGTGGAAGTTGCTAGACTACCTGAATTCAGCTATACAGAAGCTTCTGTCCCAACAATTAGCAAGGTATTATTCTCTTTTCATGTTTCATGATGGATATACTGGAGAGCATATTATTTTGGACATTTAATAAGAAAAGTAAGACCTTTAGATAAATAATTTGTTGATTTTCGGAGAAACTAATTTCAAATAAAGTGCAAGGAATGAAGTAACAATGAACATTATGATACACTCTTGGAAAGTAGAATATCTCCGTTTTGTCATCCTATGCAACAAACAAGCTGTAGCAGCAATAGCATTGATCTCCCAAAAGTTCTTAAGCCCCCGGTTTACTTTTAGGTGCAGAGAATATTGATTTTTGTTTCCTATTTATTTCCAATTGCAGAAACTTCTTTGCCAACATTTTGAGCTTGATAGACGGCTGATCCAATACGTGTCGGAATAACATGTTACGCAACAAATTTTGTTACTCTAGCGTGCATCTTCTTCAGTGTATTTTTTTTTCTTTTCCTTTATTACGAAAGAAGAAAGCTGTGATGGTGTATATTAATTATCCTTCAAGACGCCCAATTTGAACAGCACCTTTGAAGTGACCGACGCCTTTCTGCACTGTGCGACGTCGACGAGCATATTATTCCCACGGCAACTACAACGCGTGCAATGCATTGTCTGCCGCGTCAAAGTAGATGCAAGCAGTTGACCTATCGAACCTACCCCGCTAGATCTCTTCGTTATATGTCCAGAAAACCAGAAACTTAATGGTGATGCCAACGCTCTCGTCTCCTTTCTGGGTATGACTCACTACGAATTATGGTACTTGCTCTTTCTCTGCCATCCGCAGGGTAAGAAAATGCTGCATCCGCACTTGCTCTTTCTCGGTATGACTCACTACGAATTATGTCACTTGCTCTTTCTCTTTCTCTACCAAGACGTAGTCCACGTCTTGGTTGAACCGGCGGGCAGGGCAAAGCCATTGGACCGGGTCTGAGCCCACCGTCCGACGGAGAGCCGGTCAAAATTTATGGTCAATCCATATCATAATTTTGGATGGGAGCGTGTCTCTACTTATGCTAAAATTGTCACCTATGTTTATTATTCTTTATGATGCTACGGTGTTAGCCTTATCAGAAACCTCATCCATGACCACGAGACTGTAACAGGCTTTCCCAGAAAGTTGGTAGGTAGCACAGGGAGGCTTGAACGATCGGTATTCTAAAGCTTTTTGTTTGTGTTTTTTTAATGGGCCTTGAGATGCTTTCTCTCGTGGTGAGACTTATCCACAATTTCAAGTGGCGTCAAACTGAATCTTTTCCACTGGGATTGGATAGATATGCACTTTTGGGACAGCGAAGACATGAATATATTCGTGCAACCAACCCACCCATCCTTTTGCTAACGGAATAAAGAACCGCTCGGTTACCCATATTCCTATCATCCATTCCCCCTTCTCATTTTTGACCGAAGCCTTCGGTTATAACATGCTTGACTTGTTGGTAGAAAAGGAAGGATGTGACGACTGTGGGCCAGTGCTCAATGTTCGCCATGATAACCTACCTGCAGGCCGCAACCGAGTCAAAAATCTAATCCTTTCAGATCACCGCCGTACGAGTTCCGATCAGCGGCTCAGGTCGATTCGACGGCTTTGCCTCTCGGTTGGAAACCAACCCACCCAGCTTGACGCTTGTTCGCTGACCACCGGCATTGCAGTGGCAACTACTCTTAAAGAACGCCGCGCAATACGCGCCACGAGATCGGGCAACGGAAACGCCGGCCTAGTCTCACCTACGTGGCATCAGATGCCATAGTGGTGGACCCCTGTCCCCCCGTTACGTAATAACAGCGCACCGTATGATGTGGCTTTTTGCATATTATTAGGCCATCGTAAAATTAACGAATTACAGGTAGCAAATCGAACTGTTGTTTCTTTCCGAAATCATTGAATTCTTAAAACATCAGTCATTTTGGGAAACCATTATTCTATGCCTATAATTTTGTGAGATATTTTTACGTAAAACAATGTAAAAGTATTATAATCATTGATTAGATCCAATGATCAACGCAATGATTTATGCCCGCCCTCTTTGGGGCAATCTTGCAAGGGTATTTTTGTTATTGTCTGTCGGGCAGGTAGACAAACACAAATGTATGCGAAAACCCCTGCAAGGGTGGTTTTGTTTAGTTGGTGACGGTATCGATCGTATCGAATACGTAAGAAGCGAACGTAACGGACCATCCAAACCTTGCGTATGATGGACGTCGGTGTATTTAATTAATTAATCGTTTTGGTGAAAAACCCCGAAAAGGTCAAAGACAAAGAAGCCGATCCTTCCTTCCTCTTTATATACGTACAATGGAAATCCCGCAGGGGGAGAGAGAGAGAGGAGGAGAAGAAGAGAGAGAGAGAGAGAGAGAGAGAGAGAGAGAGGAAGAACAGAGAGAGGAGAAAAAGAAGGGAGCGGACGCGGTGAGAAATGGAGAGGGGTGTGCCGGTGGAGGAGCTGACCTCCGGTGCGAGCGGTCGGATCATCCCGGTCTTCAGGAACATACGGAGGTCCGTGCCGTCGCCGGCGTCGCTCCTCCGCCTTCTTCTCTTCCTGCATGCCCTCGCCATGTGGTTCCTCCTCTTCATCCGCCGCCGCAGCCCGATTTCATGGAGATCGATGGCGGCTTCGGCTTCCTCGCGACGGAGGACGGGTGTAGGGACATGGTCGGCGGCCGCGGAGGAGGAGGACGTGCTGCGGCGTAGGGCCCTCGCCGAGCGGGTGGAGATGGTACCTTTGTCGGAGGAAGGCGGAGGGGAAGTGGCATGCCGCTGCGGGACCTTTTTGTTTCTGGGACCAAGGAGGACGGCACTCTACTGCCGGTCGTGGTTGCCGGCATCGGGAGATCTAAGGTGAGGATTCGATCCGATGCTGCGGTGAAGAATTAGGGATTTGTTTCCTTTAAATCTTGCAAGGCGAGGGTTTTATTTGGTTCAGAGGATCAGAATTCTTTTATCGTTCCTTTGTCTTCTGCATCAAAAATTGTATCTTTTTTCGTTTGGATATATTCAGATTATGAGGACAATATTTTATCGTTGGATTATATCCTTGTCGAAGATCAATATAACGTGATATCATTTGCCAATTCGGATGGGTGCCGTTCCTACTTATAAGGAACTGTCATTTTTAACTTGACATCACCTTTTGTTGACGGAGATCCTTCGCGTGATGATCGAATCACTGATTCTTTGATCTTACTACGCTTTGGTCTGCATCGAGGGGTCAGACCGAAGCATACTGGTCCTTCTTTCCTATTCGGCTTTCAAGTCAGAATCTGTCTTCTCTTTCCCCTGGTTTTAGGAAGATAGGACAGGGTGATTACAGTCTCTTGAGTCAGTTATTGACTCAATGTTTGGATTGGCTTGATCTGCAGATGGAGGAGCTGCGAGATCAACCGCTACTACTACTACTACTACTACTACTACTACAACAAAAGTTAGAAATCGTTCCCCATCTAGGTGAGTTAGATGCAAGTTTCCTTCCCATGATTGAGTTCTATTGAGGACATCGACGAAATATATCCTAGAAGCTAAACTAGCTGAATCAACTTTTATACTTGAAAGGTTAAGCCTTAATCCTCAAAAGACTTGAAAATTCAAGAACACGCATTCTATGCCAGATTTTATACTCTTAACATGCACTTTTTTAATTCAAGGGGTATGATATTTGAATTGTTGTTTCCTTTGTGATTTGATGGTGTCTAATAAGAGTTGTTTTTTCTGCAACTTGCAGGGGTATTCTGGTGATAATACATGGGCTCAATGAACACAGGTAAGTGGAGCCTAATTGGTTTCTCTTTTAGTTGCAGTTATATACATATACACATGGATACATGTAATATATGTGTGTGTATGTGTGTATTGTAACTTATTCCATCTGTGAGATGGAATGTTTGATGGTGGTGTCCTGGTGGATTCTCTACCGTTGATCAACAAAGATAGCTATCAAGTTGATGGCTGTGTTCTAATCACATTACTAGCCAATGGCTAAATGTGCACATATTGTATTACATAATATATGTAGAATCTTTTTATGATAAAATTGCTGTCTTATTTTTAACTCAGCGGAAGATATTCGCACTTTGCTAAGCAGCTGATGGCATGCAACTTTGGAGTATATGCGATGGATTGGATAGGTGTGTATGTGTTTGTGCTGGTCTTTTTGTTTGTTACAGTTGTTTTTCCGTAAACGGATGGACATTCTTGTGCCCTACTTTTGGTAAATTTAAGTGGTCTATATGCCAAGAGGATGAAATGCAGCATGAATAGGGATAAGTAAGTAACATATTCTTTTCAACATCTTGAAATTATTGCATTTCACTAATTCTCTAATGGCACTGTCGTCTCATGACCTTAAGATTGCTGCAATCTGATCAAATGCTGCTTAGTGCAATGACTGAAGGACCTCTCAAAAACACTTGTTGCATTTGTTCCTTTGCATTGTCATGCGTGATGCAATCATAAGTATTTAGTATAATGCAAGTGTACATGTGTTAAATATGCTAGCAGAGTTCACCTAATGCTTTCCATCTTTTGGTTCCTGTTGGATCTTTGAGAAATGACTAGGCAATGCATAATAGGTGCCCTAGTAATGTTTGAGATACTTAAGATCCAGGTAGCTTTCAAAGTGTTTTTGAAAAAACCAAGTTGAATAAAGCTAATGTATAGCAAATTATTTGTGATTTTTTGACAGGGCATGGTGGTAGTGATGGACTGCATGGGTATGTACCTTCATTGGACTATGTTGTGGAGGACACTGTGAGTGGATTCTGTTGTTATTTTTCTTTGAACTTGTGTATACCTTATCCAAGTAATTCTAGTCTTAAGTATATTCGAATTTTCATTTACGTGTATGCAGGGAAAATTTCTGGAGAAAATTAAATCTGAGAATCCTGGTGTGCCTTGTTTCCTTTTCGGTCACTCCACCGGTGGAGCTGTGGTTTTAAAGGTGATGTCATTATATAAAAATTGGAAAAACCTATACCATCTTGATTATTCAGATTGGCCTATTCTGATCTCATCGATAAATTTGTTGCCTAACAGGCAGCTTCATATCCTCATATCAAAGCCATGGTAGAAGGGATCATACTAACATCTCCAGCACTGCGTGTAAAGCCAGCTCATCCAATAGTTGGGGTAATTCTTCTCTTGTGATCTCTTATGACGTGCTATAAAGTCAGACTGTTGCATACAGAAAGAAAAGTACTTTTAAGGGAGAACAATTACTGATCATTCCTGTGCTTGGTCAGGCTATCATTGATGCATGAGTCCCCTACTTGCTAAAATTACAAGAGCACTCAAGTCGTTTGGTTGTGCAGGCTGTGGCTCCAATTTTTTCACTGGTACTGCCAAAGTTCCAATTCAAGGGAGCTAATAAAAGGGGCATTCCTGTGTCAAGAGACCCAGCTGCTATGTCGGCAAAGTACTCAGATCCACTGGTTTACACTAGACCTATAAGAGTTCGCACAGGCCATGAGATCCTACGCATCTCTTCTTACCTGCTGCAGAATATGAAGTCCATCACTGTACCTTTCTTCGTACTGCATGGGACTGCTGACAGGGTCACTGATCCATTGGCGTCGCAAGATCTGTACAATGTTGCTGCCTCGAGACACAAGGATATAAAGCTCTATGAAGGCTTCTTACACGACCTTCTATTTGAACCTGAGCGCGATGAAGTTGGAGGTGATATAATCAATTGGATGCTGAAGATGTTGCAGCTTCAAAATATGTGAATGTACACATCCATTGAAGAAAGCTATTGATTACGGAGAATTGGCCAAAAGATTGCTTGGTCAACTGTAGTCTGAAATTAGATCTGCATGTTTGATTTCCTTGTTTATAAAGATGACGAACTGAGTTCTGTTTTAGCCAATTAATGTTGTGTAAGTTTTCACATAAATCAATCTAATTGCAAAGTTTAAATAGCTATGTTCTCATCTACTACTCGATCTTCAGTTCTCTACTATAAATATATTATTTTATAGTTTATGATTCCTAGTTATATTTGTTGTCTGTTTGATTGACTGAGTACTGTAATTTCTTATCATTTGATATTGGATGTTGATAAATACAATTTAGGTTTCTTTGACAAACCATTCCTGCGACAGTTTGAAGTGTTGCAATTAACGCAAAAAGGTAGTGCTGATAAAAAAACATGAAATGCTTAACACACAAAGTACCCACCCACCATGAGGATCAATCATTTTCTAATTATAAACACAATCACACACATTTTTCTCAAGTTTCAACCTTTTCGCAGGAAACAAAAGCAGTAGGAAGAGTACCTCCCCAAAGGCGTAGCTACAAGAACTTACAAACTAAAAGGCTGTATAATTGCAGCAAAAGAGAGCAGATTCATACCCATATCTTCCTAATGAACGTTGCTCTCCACTCTAATCGTACATAAGCAAGCATTCTGTGGATCTTCAAACTCATCCTTATCACGATCCGAACACAGAAATTTTATTCTGAATCTTTACCACCCTCCTTCCATGAATCTGCATTGTCGCCGCCACCAGATGAGGCATCGTTGTTACCCAATTCTGAGTTAGTTTCTTCTTTGGGATTTGGTTCGGTCGTGTCTTCAATATTACGAGAGTTTTCTCCCTTAGAGAAGTCATCTACTTGGGAATTTTCTGCATCAGCTTTCGGAACCTCATTGGTAGGAATCTGTAAAATGTTCTCATTGTTATGGGATGAGTTTCCAGCGTCACTTGCTGAGCTTGTCTCAGAGTTTGTTCCTAAGCTGAAACTGTCACCAGCATTTTGAGGCTCAGATGTGGCGTCTTCTTTATTAGATTCCAAATCCATCTTTTCTTCTTTAAAATCATTTCTGCCAGAATCTGAAGCATTATCTCCACTGGAATCAGCCGCATCCCTCTCCAGAGCCTTATCAAAGACCGGCAATTCCACATTCTCTGCATGATCAGCTACAGATGTGACCGGGAGCTTGTCATCCGACTCTGTATTAGTCTCCTCTACCGAAGGGTCATCATCGGTTACTTCAGCTTTTGTAATGCTGGTGTCTTGAAATTCAACTGCTTCCCTCTTTGGAACTTCACTATCAGTTGGTATCACTGGTACTTTTTCTTCAGTGGTATTGGGTAGACCGGCAGCTTCATCCACGGTTCTTGTATCAGAGCTTACGTTTTGCATAGTATGGTGCTCGGTAGCCTCAGAATGAGTAGTACTAATGTCTCCTTGAGAATCAAGAGTAATCTTATCAGAAGGCTCATTGTTGATAGACACCTCATTGTTCTCATTGTTAGGGAGAGAGAAGCTGGCATCATCTGAACTTGGATTGGCTGTGGTATCTTCCAAACTATCACTACCGTCAGTCTGGAATTTGCCTCCTCCATTGGTCTCAGTTGTTTCCTTTTCAACTTCAAAACTATTTTCACTACTGATTTCATTCTCTGATTCGACTCCTCCATTGGAATCAATTGTCTTGTTTTCAATTTCATCAACTTTTCCATCACCTTCTAATTGATTCTGGGAGCCGAAGATCCTCTCTTCGTCAAAAGTTATTTCTTCTTCGGTATCATTTTTTGATCGACCCAATGTGACTAGCTTATTTCGTTGAAGGGAGTCATCTCCAAGGTTTTCCCCCTCGTTTGGATCCTGTGAGTTTTCGCTGTCCCTCTGACTGGGAAGCCGTAAAGCATCCATTTCGCTGGTACTCATTTCATTGCCCACTGTAACATCTCTGTTGCTGATGCTTGAGTCGTCATTGCCATCCTTATTGCCGAGTTGTTCTTCTTGAGTTTCTGTTTGGTCAGTATCTGAGATATTTTTATGAGACTCCTCTTGTTCTTTACCAAAAGACTCGTCTTCATTCTTCTCTTCGGAGTGCTGACCAAAAGCCTCAGCTTGACCTCCAGCTTCATTTGTTTCGGAGATGTCATCGAAATCTATCGTCTGCCCATTTATGACAATAACATTCTCAGATCCTGCTTTCCCTTTCCGACCAAAATCTACATATTCCTGATCAATGTTGATTTGGTCTCCAGCATATTCATTCTTGTTGATACGGTTTAGCAACCAGACAACAACAGCCAAAAGCAATGCTATCTGGAGTACTCTCTTAACCATGGACCCTTTATCTAGCGAGTTGCGATTGCTTGATTGCCGAAACATCACTTCCTTTTCAGCAACTTCTGCAAAGGTAACAACCAATCTGTAGGTTAGACAACTGACCATGTCTTGTCAAGCTGGAGCAGTACAAGGTTCATATGCCACGATAAATTTACATGGACAAACAGAGTCTGTCTATCTATCAGATTGATCACAAGGCAAAATGGAAAGTTTTGTCTCCCTTTGTCATTCTGACATATGTTCTGGTAATAAAGAACATATGCTCACACATCACCAGGAGTTGGAGGAATCATGTAGAACATGTTTCATTTGATCCATACTGTGGTTATATACTCAAAAATAAAAAAGAGTTATTTGTTCCTTACAGAAATCAATATGTCAAACGACAAACAACTTTTTACTTGCCAATGATTCTGAGTAAGAAATTTGAAAGCATACCGAAAGCTAGAATATATGAACTATTTTAGATCGAGCTTATCTTTCGAGCCTGATTTATCATTCACTTCAGAAGAATTCAAGTCGGAATGGATCAAATGCTTTACCATAACTACAAATTATTACTTTTACTGGAAAAGAAAAATTAGTGTTTCTTCCACACGGGCAGTTAATATTGCAAGAAAAATTAGTGTTAGGCTTTAGTCAAAGCCTAACAGTGTACAGAACTTCTTTAAAAAAGAAAACAGAAAAAAATTCTAATACATCAAATGACATACATAACGCTCACAATGTACTAAGCTTTTTTGAACGTTGCCAATTCATCAAGAATAAGCATAGAAAAATTTCGTGCCTTCATTTAGTTTTCAAGTCATAGTATCTAACTAAACACCAGAAACACACTGATTTCCTTTTCAAGAAGCATTGTCATAACAAGATTGAGAAATCCCCAGTCATCATATGTCTACCATAGTGTTTGTTGTTAGCTGAGATCTATTTGAGAAGCATATCCAGATCCCACAAATTTACCAATGAAAAGTAATCCTTGAGCTATTTCTTCCATAAGATCCTCAAAAGAACAATGTATTCTTTCAGTATGCTCTTCATACGGCTTCACAAATCAAATTGTCTCGCATTAAAAAACAATCAATCTAGGTAGCACAGTTTCCACTTGAAAACCACTCACTCACTCAGGAATAAAAGCATATACATTAAGAAAAAGTCGAAATGCAGCTCAAATCTGTCAAATTGAAATGTCGAGATCAAATTATGATGATTCACAAAGGCAGTCTGATTCTTTCCCCAAATTATGATGGTTCAGAACAAGCATCATCAAGAACTGACTATTTGAATCCAGATCCGACGAGATTTATCCTATCAAGAACGGTTCTTTTGATGAAAAAGAAACCGTCTTTCGAAAAGCAAACCCAAACCCTTTTAAAAGAGATCAGATACCTCAAAACCCACAAAATAAGGAAAAAAGAACAGAAATTTTCAGGAATTGAAGATATTCTCTATGACAAAAGAAGCCGAAATGGAGAAGAGCAGCGGGGATCGAACCTTTGGGCGCAGTAGATCGGACTGGGAATCGGATACCGCTGGCTCCACGACGAAAAAGGTCACTCCAACTACCAATTTTCGGAAGCAAAACTCCAATTAAGATCGAGATTGGTTACGAGACCGCCGCCAGTGTCCTGTCGGTCGATTTCAAATCACCGACGGGATGGAATTGATGCTCGTCTGAGGATTCTGCGATTTACTGCATCATCGGCCGTTGGATTCTCCCATTTCTCGACTCCGGAAGATCCGACGGGGGCGATGCTTCGAGAACTCCGAAAGGACCCCTTCAATTGGAGACGCTGGAGGTTGACGTAGGAAGCCGCTATGCGTTGATATCCGTTCGTACATAGATCCAACGGCGGAAGAGCCCCCACATCACGTGATGGAATTTGACGATTCACACTATTCCGTGACAGGTGGAACCCACAAGCTATCTGCAATTAAATGAGAGGCGGATGGCGGTGTCGAACGTCCTTGTTTGCTTCGATGATGCCGGAGATGATTGTGGATACTAGATCTGGACCCGGACCCGACCCGTTCGTATGTTCGCTAGTATTAACGGATCGTGTTGGGCTAAATGGGCCAGATCACGTGATTAAAATACAGGCCCGGCAGAACCCAAAGTGAAATCTCTTCGCGTGGTGAATCTAATAACCTTCTGGTACGCTTGTCACCGTGCACTTCTCATTTACCAAAACCCTCATCCTCAGAGGTACGTGTTAATACTTAGCATGTTCTATTGGTTTTATCCAGTAAGAATCCATGAGACTATTGTTGACGTTTTGACTGATTCGAAATGCTAAGCTAGTCGAGCTTCATACATCATATGCTTTGGATCGCCACTGGATTCTGGCTCTTCAGCGCAACCTGTTCGATTGGCTTCCCTTGTACTTTCTTCACTAGCTTTCTTCCACGGGATTTCATTATATGCGTACTACGCACCTCGAAGGACGCTTCCGATGTTTTCTTGTAGGGTGACCTACTTTCAGAAAGATCAGCTGTACATGTTAGGGCATGACCACTGCCACCGTAGCCTATGTTTGGTACATCAGCCTGAAACTTCACTGCGAGCTTTCATGAAATGTATGTAGCCTATGTGGTGACGCCATGGCTTTGTTCGTGCTTGCTTCGCTGGAGATCACGTTGTGAACTCACCAACCTTTGGCCAGATAAGAGTCATCAGTGCAGTGATACAGTACAGCGTAGAGTGAACTCGAGACATTCTGGCAAATGAGGACAAATGAACTAAGAATGGGAAGAGAAGAGAGAAATCTTTGCTTTGTAATGAAAACATGAAAGATAAATACTCATGTACGTCTAACTTATCTGTCCACAAGGACAAAGAATAGAGAAAGATAGAATCAAATGTCTATAATAATTGAGCTGATCTCTGAATGGGGGATGCAGTGGTGCAAGATGGAGGAGGGACCAACAAGCATGGCCTCATTAAAGACAGTTCACTTTAGTCACTTTTATGTTGCTCAACTGGCCTAAGCGATGCCTGCAATGCCTTCCATTATTTAGATTGATATATTTATCTACGATCACACTGCAGGATTCAAATTTAATGTTGTTTCTTTCCCAGAGTAATATAGTCTCATATGACCCTCTGCGTCTGTGTGTGTGTGTGTGTGTTCTGGACAAAGCACTACTGCACGATGGTTACAGAAAAATATTGCTAGTGGCGAACTCAAAGGATGGAGCCCTGCCGTGGATTGGGATTCTATTCGGAAATGAAATCCACACCAGTGTAGAGTATGTTATCGAATCTGATACAACAGTTCCTGCGAATAGTAGATTGGAGTTTTGGAGAAAAGCAAGACAGGAGGTTTGCTGGGCATATCATCCTAGAATTATTAAATAGAAATAATTTCATGTGATATGCGAGAGTGCTTCTTGATGCTGACTCGGGCAGCTTTTCTTGTTCTACAGCTATACCAGACATCTTTGGTTGGGGGTAAAATGAAGTTTATTTGCTTTAAGACGCATTATGAGATTGGTTACGTAATGAACCCTATTCCAGTGACCCTTGTTTGATATATAGATTTGATGCAGTTACCTTTAGCGACCCTTGTTCTTCAGCTCCTCTTCATTGTTGGTAATGTGATTCATAGCATATGTTATATAAACTTCAGAAGAAAACAAGGATTATATCTACATTTATGACCTACATCTGATTATATTTCTGTTCGTTAAGTAGTAATGAGGAGGATCAAAAGAGTTGTTTGGACCCGTGATTTAAGATAACAATGCACTTGAAATGATTTGTGCTCCAAAGGTTTGATAAAGGTTTCTAATGTTCTAAATTTAGCATTTAAGAGAAGAAAATTGATCTGTTGTGGCAATCAACCTCCTAAAGTGAGAGATTATGATCAACCTATCCTCTAAAACATGGCGCTATCAAGGTATAGAGGCTCCATGGCCAAGTCCTAAAAGGGAGCTCTCCGGTGCACTTTGGTACCAGTTCGGGTACGCTAACGTGTTCTTTTCCTTTTCCTTTGCCTTTGTTCAGAAAAAGAGAAGGGATCATACAGTGCATAGGGTCCTTCGTTTCTGGTTTGGCCTTCTTCATGGATAAGATTGCAGCGATAGAGCAGATTCCTACAGCACAGATTAGCTAGCATTTAGAGTTTCTTGTGAGTAGCACGTGAAGAGAGCCGAAGGAAGAAGGCCCGCACCAAGTCTATCGGTATCTCTTCTCCCTTGGCAAGAAAATAGATCTGTGTGCACGGTGGATCTCATACGAGCATTGAGGTTGCTTGCTGAGAATCCATGTACTGAGTAGTACAACCTGTAGGACTGGAAGGGAGGAAGAAGATGCGGGATTGTGTCAAAAAGAGAACGACCTGTGGACTGTGGTGTGCGCCTTTTGTTTCGCTTTTGCTTTCTACTGCAACCGGTGGGGCCACATGTTGCGTGCACCGACCCACTTGCTCACAACTGTGCTCCACCAGCCACTTAGGTTGATTCAGTCCCTTGTTGGATGTCGAAACCTTAATACCATTGCAACATCTGGCACATACAAAAATATCACTGAATCCACACTGCCAAGTGTGAAGAGAGTAGAACGAGCCTCCATTCGAAGTTTCTGAAGAGGTACGGAGAGGTGCTCGAGAAGGAGTTTTCACTCTCGTTCACGGTTACCCACATGAATCATGTTGGGCATCCCGTCAACTCAGCCATGGCCGCCATCTGTTTGATGAACAACAGCCTTTGGAAAGCTCAGCAAACGCAGGTGGGAAAAAGGGGACAAAGTTCTTGGCCACTAAGTTACAACAAAGTGGATGGACACTTGTGTCTTCTTCTTTCCTCAAAAGTTTGATTAGTATAGTAAAAGCATTACAATGTCGGAAAAAAGTAAAGCTAATCGGAGCGTTTTAAGCCAAGTTTGCATATCTAAACTCGAATGCCAAGTTTATACGTAATGCTTTCTTGAAAGTGAAGTCCAATTGCCACCAAAACCTCATGCTTTCTTTGGCTACAATCATGGGAGTCAGGTCAGGCCATTTACACTTCTTTTGGTGCAAGTTTCCCTTCGCTCGGTGTTTCTTTCTATAAATACCACCGCTTGCTTCCCCCTCTCTCGATCGTGCAGACCCTAAACACAAGCAGAGCGCTCTGGTTTCCACCATCTTCCCTTCGCTTCTCCAAGAATAGCTCCCTCGAGTACACCCAAATGGATCCTTCCCTGGCCAAGCGGCTGTGGCACATGATCAGAGCTGCTTGCTACATGCTACGTAAGGGTTTCTGCAAGCACAAGCTCATGATGGATCTCCACCTCCTCCTCAAGCGCGGCAAGCTCGCCGGGAAAGCCATCGGAAACTTCGTCACCTTCCATCACCACCATGACCGCCACACTGGCTCCGATGCGTACCCGGCCTGCTCGTGCCGGTCCATGGACCCCGACTTCTCCTTCTACAACCCCAAGGAGGTAGAGTTCAGCTGCAGCAATACCCCCTCCTACCCATCCTTCTTCCTCACTGCCAAGCGGAAGAACCGCCAACGCCATGGCTGCTACGACATCGACGTCACCGCACTAGCCCAGCAGCTTGAAATGCTGAACACGGAGATATCTGAAGCCGAGTCGTCGGCCATGGCGTCGGCGTCGCCATCGCCTGCGCCGATGTGGAACGTCGGTAAGAGCCCGGCAGCGGGGCGGCAACTGAGGGTAACAGACTCGCCGTTCCGGATGATGGATGGGGACGGGGAGGCCGATGGCCGCGTCGACCGGGAGGCAGAGGAGTTCATCAAGAGGTTCTACGAGAAGCTTCGTCTCCAGCAGAGCGTTCCGGCGACACCGGAGTACCAGTACCGCAGCCGCCGCAAGCCGGCCTGATGTGGCTCTCATGGAGCTTGGCCGCTGCGAATAACGAGATCCTGTAGAGAGAGAAGCACGTGAGCCTACCTTGTTCGGAGCTTCTCTGCTGCTTTCAGTCTGCTTTGGTTGCTGAAGCTGAGGGATGCAGCTGTTCATGAAATATTTTGATTATTCCATGTGTTCCTAAAATATTGAAGATCGAGTCACTGTTGGACATACTGAAGGAAAATTTGTAATGTTGATTAATCGAATGACAAGAATGTTTATGTTCGTCAGATCTTCCAGTTTATTGTAATGCGACCATATTTGGGGTGTCTGGTAATGCTTTGTCTTGTTACTTGGAGCTGAGATCCAGCAGATGCAGTTGTTCAGTCCCTCATGTCCATTGGTTCAAAGGATGACTAAGAACATTAGAACAATAAAAAGAAAAGAATAAGGTGACACAAAATTAGAACAACAAAAAGAAAAATAATGGGTCGATCACTCTGTGCCAATATTCAGTCTATCAACACACACAAGATCAGTAACATAACACAGATGTGAAGCTTCTATATAAGAAAGAACAATGAGTGCAGATTATGTTGCTTCCATTGGCAACATTTATTTCCATCCACCTAAACTACTAATTTATTGTCGATAGCCCGGGAACTAAAAACACTTTTGAGACAACAATCATACAAGGAACAATAGTTTTCAAATGTGTAATGACTATGCGACTGCTACAAAATTGATAGATTCTGTTTTGCCTATTCAACGGTAATTGCGATATGCCGGGGTGTACATGCAACTCTCTGCATATTTCACCAGGTTGTCCGGGCGAGGAAGACGAGTAGCCAAACCTACAAAAACAGAAAGGTCGTAAATTGATTGAACAAGGAAGCATGATATAATATTATGGCATTGACGATCAGAGAACGAACCAAGTTCATATACTTTTGCAGCCACATTAGCGGCAATATGCGCAGATATCTTTCGGATATTTTTGAAGGGAGGATAGATCAGTCCTTTGTCAAAATTCTCTTGTGTCACTTGCTGGGCTAAAGCTTCCGCTGTTCCAAACACCAAAGTAAACCCTCAAACTAAAGCAATTGCATAGTGAACAATTTAAAAAAGAACGGAGTAGAGAACATTTTTTTATCCTTTTATGTTTGTAATAATTTTTAGAATAGTTAATTGAACTTGCTAAATGATGAACATTTAATTCATACCTAAATAAATGCAATCTGGAACAAAAGAACAGTAACCAAGTAATTTCTGGTCCCAACCATGTTGAGACCATCTACGTCATGCTGCAACAGTATATATATACTTCTAATAACATCATTCAGTCTTTCAGAATGGTATTCGGCTGATGCTTATATGCTTTGCAATTTTGCCAACCGACACATGAAAATCTATTATATAAAGCTACAAGCAATTCCTGGATAGATGCAGAAGCTACATTTAACTTCTACTTACAGGCTGCAAGAAGCATTTCATCGTGCACACGTATGGCACCAGATATCACCAAGCCAAGACCAAAACCAGGAAATATGTAAGCATTATTTGCCTGAAAATGTACAAAATGAGTTCAGTTATCGCATGCTTTTGTAAACCCATCATCAATCAGTTCAGTTATCGCTAAGAGTCATGTCAAATTCTCGATGATAGGGGAGGAACAAGTTCAGACCTGGCCAGGTACAAAAATCTTCCCCTCATATTCAACAGGATCAAATGGGCTCCCGCTCGCAAAAATTGCACAACCCTACAAATTAAAGATAATTATAGAACTTACAGATACGATAAAACGATTACGGGTTGAGAGAGCACATGGCAAACAGGTTCTCACCTTACTCCAAGTATATGCTTCCTCGGCAGTACATTCTGATTGTGTTGTGGGATTTGACAGAGCAAGAATGACAGGTTTCTGCATTTTTGCAATGTAAGTAGTGTTAGTTTTCATCCTTGAACGCAACGAGTAGAACAACCTAAGAAATGGAGATATGGAGAACAGGATGTACCTCATTAAATGAAGCCATGGCCTCAACTACATCTTTTGTAAAAGTCTTCCCTACTCCAGAGGTTCCTATCAACACAGTTGGCTTGATGGCCTAGGAGAAACCAAAAAACATTCACCTGATTAACATTCAATTGGCAGAAATAAAATTTATTCAGGAAAGAGGGAAAGCGAGAATGACAACATATATAAAAAAGAGGATATTTGTGACATATAGGAAAATTGATTCTTCATAAAAGAAAAAAGAAAACACAGCAACTTCCTCTATCGGCAAGTGATTTTGACTCAAATAGGAACCTAAATATATGTACCAACAATGAGGATTAGCAATCATACAAGTGAAAAAAGTAGATCTACGACATGCCTGATGTATAATATCCAGTTAGAACTCAATTATCCCAAATCTAATAGACTCCAAAAGAGATTAACCCCCCAACTATTTGTAGGTTACGATTCTAATATCCTGCATAAGAATGGACTACTACCACTAATGAAAAAAAAGAAGCAAACAAATGATTGCAGGCTTTACAGATGAAAGGGTTGAATTACAAAATCAATCTTGAGAAGTTTCACACCTTCACAGCATCTAAAAGGTTGTTAACAGGTTCATGGTCATGTGCCCAAGGTTTCTTGAAGTGTTGTAGAGATTCCATCCGGGAACTAACAATCAATCCCTGTACATTTAAGGAGCACAGCAAGTTCACAAGGATGTATGATAACAAATAAAATACCACAAACTACTATCAGTATAAAACAGCAAGAGATCTACTCATGTACTTCCCTACCTTTGAGTCAACAAGCCAAATCTTTTCACGATTATTTTCGATTGGGGTACCCATCTGAGATACTCGCAGAAAAAGAAAACCAATGTTGTGAGAAAAGGATGATAGTTAGTCTCAACAGCAGAAAGAAAGTAAAGACGTTGAATCTGAATATGTGTACCTGTCTTGACATCTCAAGAGCAATGAGCTCAGCAATACCAGTGCCAGCCTGTCAAAACCATATTTGATGATGGAAAGTGGCTCAGAGTCTGGAGGAAAAAATGATATAGAGCAAGTTGATATAAAGTGTATCAAAAGACCTTCAACTTGCAAGAACCAAATACTTCCGCATCGATCTCTATATCGATAATCACATTTACCATATGAATGCATCTTAAGTTGGCTTTGTTTCACCAAAGATTGAAACCCTTGTCAGTCTAAACCATCTGTTTGTATATAATTGATCTAGAGGATTAATTAACTACATGGATCTAGTTTTATATGAATGTATTAGCAAAAAGTTTGTCTGCACTCGTCCTCTGAAAAATAAAACAAGCATGGTGCTTTTCTCACAGATCCATTGATGAGATATAATGAATCAAGTTTGTGATTTGAGCAGTAGGCACGAGACCAATGAAATAGTAGAAAATCACTAGGTAATTACCTCACCAGCACCAAGGAACAAGTAAGTATGGTCCGCTAAGGTCCCTCCAACCAACTTCAGTGCAGCAACAAGTCCAGCAAGGACCACGGAAGCTGTTCCCTGCAGTTATTACAAATTATTAACTTAAAGAATCAACACGTTGCAACTAAGTTAGATGCAAATAATAGACTAGACAAAAACAATTGATGCATCTGCTGCACAGGAAAAGCATCAATTAATTTACCTGGATGTCATCATTAAAGACAAGATGTGTCTTGCTATATTTTGCAAGCAAATCAAATGCATTATGATTGGCAAAGTCTTCGAACTGGAACCAAATGAAAATAGAACTATGATATAACTTTAAATATTAAATAACAGGGGATTTCCAATTCATGTCTATCACCAATAGATTTCCACATGTTCACAGACCTGAATTAGGACTTTCTCACCATATTGTTGCTTGACGGCACACATGAACTCATGGAGAAGATCCTCATATTCCTAACACAGCACATGCATGATAAAGGTCAGCATTAAGCAGTAAGTAGTCTGTAAAAGCTTTCTGTACAATTTCCAATAGATAAAAGTACCTGGTCTCTAGCTCGTTTTTGTCTTAGACCGATATAAAAGTCATCATTCAGCAATTGCTCATTGTTTGTGCCCACATCAATTGTTATGGGTAAGCACTGTAAGCAAATTAATAGCTGTTTAGACAACCCTTACAACTAAAAGGAAGTAGCAGCACGAAAGATAGAAGCACTAATTAATTATATCATCAAATTTGAAAACAAAAAGGACGCAAGCCTAGATCCTAGAAAGACAATATATATGCACAGCATCATTAGTAAAAAGTGCTTACTGCAGATGGACGGAGTCCTCCAAGGGCTGTATAAAGAGCAAGTTTGCCAACAGGAATTCCCATTCCCTAAGTTTGACAATTAACTGTTATCAATCATGAGACAGATATAACACACTTAATTGTGCTCAAACATTTATAACAGTTTTACTTTTACCTGACACCCAAGGTCTCCTAGACCCAAAATGCGCTCACCATCAGTGACCACGATAACTTGAATGGTCTTCTCAGGCCAGTTCTTTAGCACCTCAAGAATTTTCCCTCTGGCAAAGATGATAATCCTTGAGTTTATATAGTAAATAATAATAGTAGATAATGCAACAAACCAAATAACATACTTCTCTTTCAGACTGATATATAGACCCTGTGGACGCCTAAAGATGCTCCCATACTTTTGGCAGGCCTCGCCAACTGTTGGTGTGTATACAACCGGAAGTAATTCCTCAACATTGTCAATCAGAAGCTTGTAGAAAAGCCTCTCGTTCCTCTCCTGAAGATCAATGAAGTATAAATGTTAATGCAATGATTGTTACGTACGTTACTCGAAGCTCTGAAATCCAAAGATAAAAACTATGAGAAAATCGTGAGAATGAAAAAAATGAGGAGAAGATAGTAAGACAGTTTACCTGCAGGTCCATCATTGACATGTAACGCTGCAGGGGAACTTCATATTTGCGAAGATTGTGCAGCAGCTTTTTCTCCTGAGGAATGGCGATAAGCATAACAAGACACAGAATGAGCTCATCACAGAGTGACCAGAATACTTCAGATTAGAAATGAATACCAACCTGCAGCTCTTGAGTTAGGACAACTGGAGGCAATAGGCCTCGCAAGTAGTGAGCATCTCTCTCAATTTCAGTAAAGGCAAGCCCTTTGTTGTGGTGTGGATCTCTTAGTAGACTATACCCACTGAGGATCAAGGAAAGTTTATCACAAAAAGAAGAAGAAAATGCACATTTTGCTTGTGAGAGGTGAGTTTTAAGGACTTTGCCAGAGGAGATGTGATTCCCCTTTGCAAGTTATAATCAACCATGGACTTATATCCAAAGCACAAGTTATTCATAGAATGTCAATTAATCATTGTGCAATAAGAATGAACGCGATAGGGATCTGATCGAAAAACACAAGGTGATCAGAAATGATGTAAAAAAGTTGACATTTTTAAAGGAAAAAACAAGAAAAAATGTCGTTCTAAGAGCAGGAAAGGAAGGCAGAGATGAAAAAGACCTAGCGACGGAGAAGGTCCAGGGAGTGACGAGCTGCTCCTCGGTAGCGCGATCCTCGCCGTAGGCGTCCTCGACTCCACCGCCCACCGTCGCCGTGGGGTCGATGTACGCCTCCACCTGGCGCGCGTTCTCCATCACCGCCTTCCCCTCTCTTCCTCCTCTCGCTATAACCACCCTTCTACTCCCTCCGAACTGCACCGCTGCCGCTCTCCTCTGCGACCAGCACAACCCGCGGCAGTAAAGCTAGTGATAGATACAGACACTCGTTCTTGTGAAGCAACGCAACAAATACCTCCTCAACCGGCCCTTTTATGCCCAACCATCGCAAAGGGAAGATGGTTTTGGGGCTAAACTATTCGTGGGAATATGTGAGCAAGGAAAGATTCGCGGGGGTCAACGTTGATGATAAAACTATGAGTCTAATTTGTGATGGTCTAATCTACGCATCAACCAAATCACAGAAAAATTTTAAAAGGAGAGTTCTTTTTCTTGTTTCTTGATTCTAGAGAGGGGGCTGGTGTGGCGGCGGCAGGAAAGGAAGGATTTGTACCAGAACGTTGAAGCTGCTGCTGTTGACGAAGAGGGAGACCATGGCGAAGCAGAGAAAAGGACGGTGGACTGCTTCGTTCCCAAGCCTTTCTCCTCCCCTGTAGAGCGGAATTAGGAGGTGAAGACACGGTGCTCGTTGGGGACTGGCTCATAAGCCAATTAAAAATGACGTTGTACCAAAAGAAGTCGTTGCTTGGTTGCATGAGACCGAATAAAGGGAGGAGACACAGATGAACAGCTTTCTCTTCCTCAAGCGAAGAATTTGGACGTCGGAAGGCCATGGCACGCACAATTTTCGTTAGGTGGGAAAGGGAGAAACGATGGGCTCGAACGAACGCCTGCTTTTGACTCGTTTGCAGCAACCAAATCCCTACGTTTCAGCTGTTCTCATCGAGCAGGAAGAAGATGTATCCATGGGCTCCCTACCTCCCTATTGTCAATTAATGATGAATGTGGTTTCCACGAATTGCATCCTAATAGATTTGATTCAAAGGCATCTAAATCCAAGAAGTAAATCTAGACAAGTGGGCCAACCAAGCAACATTTGCCAACCCAATCACGGGGCCAGAGGCAGAGGTAAGAGAGATGGAGGGCGGGAGAGTGCGTTTGCAAGACGACGCTTTCTATCTTGAGCTTTGACAAGCGTGCTGTTGTCATTTGAGCACGCCTTTCTCCCGATGTTTGACGCTTTGCGCGAGCGACTCTCCTTCCCCTTTTCCGGTCTTGTTTCAGCCATGGATACCATGCGGTTCCTGTGTTCTCATTCCCTTTCTGATCACAAACTCTGTGGAGGGGGAGTCCACGGTGAACACAGTCCTAAGCAGAGAGATCGAAAAGTAGAAGGCCTTTCTTCTCTCCCCTGTTTAACTGGTATCTCATCTTGAGGATTCTGATGGTCACTAGTGGTGGTTCCACATGTGAGATCAAGATTGAGCAAGCTTTGGTTTGTGGGAAAGCAAAAGAACGATACTTGTCCCTGCTTTGGTTCAGTGCCCTTTTTTTTGTCGTTTTGGAGGGTCTCTCTTGCATCAAGTCGTTGTTTGAGAAGGCTCCTGCCCCTCTCTTGAAGCTGAAGACTTTCTCAGAATTCTTGCTGCTTCAGTAGCGTTTTGTGGCCTTTCTGGATCTTTTGCTGCTGTATTATTGCTGAATTGCGTGTTCTTCCTTCCTCTTTGGAGGGTGCACGAGGAGAAAGATGCCATCTTGTTCTTCTACTTTGAACCAAAGCTGAGCTACAAGTCGCGTTTTTCTCCTTTAACTTCGTTTCCCGTTCAAGACATGGGGGAGGAATCTAGAGGATGCAAAGGTCGGCCTCAGTTGCTCGATCAATGGAGCGTTCAGGAAAGTAGCAGTGGGAAAAGTAACTACGAAACTACGGAGGAGAGAAATCTGGAACTTAAGGTTTGACTCCCAGGAGGAGAAGATTGGCCAGCAGCGCAGGAGAAGAGAGAACACCGTGCTGAGTCTGCCCTGTCTCTTCGGCACATCCCTAAGGCTCCTGAAACCACCAACGCTAATGGTTCCTCTGGATCCAAAAAAGGGTTCTCGGGTGCCGATGAGTCGAAAACAGATGGAACACAAACAGATAAAACGAGTTATACCTGTTCTATTTTTTGTTTCTTTCATCCGGAGCTTTCCATAGTACGTACCTTCTTCACCATCAATCTGTCGCTTCTTTCAGCTTTCCAGCAACAGCAACAGCAGCAATTTGGGTTCCTCCAGTTGCAGGCAAAAGGATAGGACTGCTTACAGAGGACAGGTGGGAGCGCTGAGCGGCAGAGCCTCGAGGAGAATGGCTGTGGGCTGCGAGCTTCATGCAGCCGTAGCAGCAGCGGCTCCCAGTCAAGGTAGTGGTCGTAGTAGTCCTCCTGCAATCCATGCTGAACTCGTAGATTGTGAAGAGAATTTATGTTCGTCTCTGTCTTGTTCTATGTACTCAAAGATGTCAGAGGAACAATTATGCTGGTTCAACGTGTATGTTAGGAAGTTCTTGATGTTAAGAGGAACAATTATGTTCCTCGCTGTCCTTCTGGAGGTTCTTGAACTCTCATTACTTGTGTTTATGAAAGCAGAGCTGCCTCTGCGCCTGCTGTTGGCTGGCCTCCTATCCGATCTTTCAGAAAGAATCTTGCTGGTAGTGTCAAAGCCTCTGCTGAATCTCCCGGTGGGAGCTCAGAGGCTGTAAAAAAGCTTGAGAATGACAAGAAGAGCTCGTTTGTGAAGATTAACATGAATGGCATTCCAGTAGGAAGAAAAATAGACCCTAAAGCTTATGATAGCTATGAGAAGCTCTCTTTGGCTGTAGATGAACTGTTCCGAGGCCTCATGACAGGTACTCTACAAACTAGTTTATTTGATATGCGTAAGTATGGACTAATTTCATGACTTCTCTTTCGACATAATCTGACATGAGACATTTCACTATCATTTCCATTTTGTTCAATAACATGATGTATAATATATGCATATATATATATATATATATATATATATGAATAAAAAGAATATATTGTGGTTAAATATCTGGGCTAAATTAAAATTTATTGGATCCAATTTAATGGCTATTTGACGCCACCCGAGCCTGACCCAAGTGATTGGTGGGCCGTGTGAAAGCCCATTTGTAGAGAATGAGCATCTTGGCGGAAGCACAGAATATGCCGTGCCCCGAACCCAATTTTGGACAACGATAGACACCGTTTTAGTAAATTTAGCATATATAACCAAAATATCTTGGATCGAGGCCCGAATGGGCCCATCGTATTTACCGCCATAATTACATCATAGCGTAAAATTATTCGATCACAGCCGTTCGTTCATTATTGAGGGCACGTTTTATATCGTTGACGGCGTGATTAATCCCACATAGCCACGCGTCTTTTTCTATATAAATGGAGAGAGGATTAGGGTTTCAGGAGCATCGCTTGCCGCCGTGCTTCTCTCATCCGGAGGTAAAGACCTTAGCCTCCGGCCCCGTCTGTGTCCTCTAGATTTCTTCGTTGTCTAGGTTTTAATTCATCGTCTTCCATGCGGTCTGTTGCTGTATATTTCGTTCTTGTTGTTCGATCTAGTTCTGTCGACTCGAAAGATGGTTTCGTGCTGGATCTTTCGTTCTTGTTATCCGATATAGTTCTATCGACTCGAAAGTTGGTTTCTGAGGTCCAAGATTCTGTAGATTTGAATTGTTGATCTGATTTCATGTTCTGATCTGTGAAGTGTCTTCTAAATTTCGTATAGCGTTTATCTTAGTTGCTTTTTGTCATGTCGTGAGTTTACACGGTCGAAATATTGCTGATCGTTATCAAATACACGATATGTGATGTGTAGAGGAGCGAAGAATGAGATCTAGAGAGGAAGGAAAAAGTCTGAGCGATTTCACTGGATTTTTGTCCTTTTAAATAATTTTAGTAAGAATACTTTGTTCGGAAACGGTTGGATTTAGGGATTGGTATAGGCATAAGCTTTTTGGAAAGAGTATTGTGGTTCCAGATCTGTTTAGATCTCCCATGTTCGTTGCTTGTTTGCTTTGTCTGCGAGATCAACTAAATTGCTAGTTATTTCTGGAATAAGTCTTTCTATTTTTAGCTGTAGTTTGTAGAGTTTTAAGCTTTAGTCACATAAATGCGTGATGTGTTTTAATTGTTATACCATGATGACTTATGCCAATACTGACAATATAAGCTTAGTAGCTTCATTTATAAGACCTACTGACCCATACAAGGAACCTTCACTAGACAAGTTGCTTGCCCAGTCCTTATTTTAATGTCTTGATTCCTTGTTCTCTATTTAAAATCTCAAAGTGTACTTTATTAGATCTCTGTACCATCGTGATTGAGTGCATTATAAATATTGCCTTTGTTTCATGTTATTAGAGTGCTGCTGCACGTTACTATGTTGGTCTAGAGCTCAATAAGGGTTGCATTAAATGAACGTTTTCTTTAATAAACCTCTTTAATTTTGTAACTAAATGATTGAGTGCGTCATAAATATTGGCTTGCTTATAATGTTTTTATTGCCTTGGATGTTAAGATATTGGTTAAGATCCGAAAAAGGTTATTATTCAATGAAAGTTACCATAAGCCATATTTTAGGAGACATCTTTGAGTCAATTATTGAAGATTAATCACAAGAAATATATGTTCGGGGACAATTTATATCTTAATATTTATTACTTTATTAGGATTCTCATGTTAATTGTTGCTGTGTTTTTATGCACTCATGTTGCAAAAGTTATGTTTAGTTGCAGTGTGTATGTATTGCTTGATGCTCGACTACAGAGACTTGTGTCTCATTATAATGACTGCACTATTCAAATATTGTAATATTAAGTTGTATATTTTTGGGTGCAATTGCAATACACAATGATTTCTGATGTTACAACTTGTATCATCTCCAATTTATACCTGAAGAATATGTATCCAGCCTTGTTGGCGTGCATGCATGATCATCAAGCAGTGTTTGATATTAATTTGTATTGCTGCTTTAGCCCTTATTACTGCACAAGGTAGCTGTTCGTGTGGGAGCAACTTATTGTTGTGCTTTTTACGTTATGCTGGAATAGTGTTATTGGTGTTTTGTAATTAATATGATTGCTTCTGCAGGTCCGAACCAGAATAGTTATTGCCTGATCTTTAAGAGCAGTCAGGATGGTGAAGTTCACGGCGGAAGAGCTCCGCAAGATTATGGACCTGAAGCATAACATCCGAAATATGTCTGTCATTGCACATGTGGATCATGGTGGAGACTTTTTTTGTTTATGTCATCAACTTCCTTTATTATTTACTTCTCTAGCTTTTCCTTACGTGGAGACTAATCTCCACTGAGCCATTGGTTTATTTACTTATGATGATAGTTCATTTATGCACGCATGCCAATGTCATTGAAAGGCTGTGGTGCTTTGATTTTCGAGAACATGAACTTTGATATGGTATTCATAATTTTTCTATTTATTGATCATTGATTTGAATATCCTATCCAAGCATTGGAATAAAGGTAGGTAATAATAAAATTATATATATATATATATATATATATATATATATATATATAT